GGCTTGCTGATTGGTTACAGAGAAATTAAATGCATAGATCAGAAAACACATGGTCTCGAGGTGTGCTCTCTGTCTGTCTGTTTATTTAGTTCTTTATCCTTCCTCCTGTGTTCGGCTTTGAGGGTCGGCTTTGACCTGCGTCTCAAATCAGCTGTAAAGTAAAAACAGTTCTCTTTCCTCCAGTTTGGTTCTCATCTCTCAGTTAACGTGTTCGGCTTCATTATCCATGAAAATATTGATTATAACAGTTTTTGTCGTGGTCCTCGGCCTCACACAGACATCTATACTGAACTGATCTCACATGTTCGGACACGCTCGACGTTTTTTTGAGCAGGAAAAACATGAAAAATGAGAATTTCCTAAATCTCACATGATAGGAGGAGGATCTGACTGTCAGCGCACTTCTGATTTGAGTTTTTGCTCTGATTATTAGATATTGATCCAACGGGGTCAACAGTGACTCTAACACAACAAGTGCTATAATTGTAATAAGAGCTTTTAATAATTGAGTCACTTTAATTTTTTATTTTTATTTCGTTGAGGTTCCTGACAAAGTCAAAAAGTCTTGATGTAAAAAAGCAGATTTCTGTGGTTCTTTTAAGCGTTTAAAGTCAAACACGGGTCGGTGCGGACCCTAACTCAGGAGGAGGGATAAACAAACACAGAGTTACCCCCCCGTCTATAACAGACTTTAGTTTTTTAACCTGAAAATAAAAACACAAACAACTAAAACAGCAGCAGACGGAGGTCTGACAGTTTTGTTTTTCAGACGCCTACATGTGCGTCAGGGAGGAGTCTGAAGACAGGTCTGTCCCAGACTGAGAGGAGGGACACGGAGGAGGACTTAACTTCAGGATTTAAGGACCGAAATAGAGACTGGAACAAGAACGGAAACGGAGTCTTTACTGAGCAAAAGTCCTGATGATGAAATAAGGGACTTACCACCACCTGGATCACCTGCTCCGGCTCCATCCCATCGACAGGGAAACCGTTGACCTCCACGATCCGGTCCCCAGCATGCAGCAGACCTACAGGAAGACAGAAAGACCTCAGTCAGGAGGAGGTTTCACCTGGTGGTTCAGGAGGACTTCGGATCCTCGTCTGTGTCCTCATCACTGAACCATCATCAGACAAAGACCTGAACCTCACAGATGGAGAGAACCTCCTTCAGATCAGAAACCAGGACTGTTCAGATCCACAGAAGATTCCTGACAAACATCAGGACAGCTCACCGCTTCGATCTGCCAGACCTCCATGAATGACCCGAGCGATGAAGATCTCCCCTGAGATCTCGTTTCTCTTGATCGTCGCTCCCTGGAACAAAAGAGACAGAAGATAAGCTGGAGGGACGTGAAGGTGGGAGTCTGTGGAGCTTCAGGGGGACATGAGCGAGGAGGACACTGGAATGAAGACGTCACAAACAGGATGAACCAAAGCACCAAACCAACAGTCATGAGGGTCCTGAAACACGGCGAGGAGAAGATATGAGAGGATGAAATGGTCGAACACGAACGATGAGAAAGAGGAAAGTATTCTCAGATACCGCCGTCTGCGTCTGCAGGACCTCCACTCTCCAGATTCAGCTTCTCAGAACCAGAAGGTTCTTCTTTTTCTCGTTTCCACTTCCTGCATCCCTCAAGTTGCTTTCTTCTTCTTCTTCTTCTTCTTCTTCTTCCTTCTCTGCGGAGACCGGCCCCCTTTCAGGCTGGTGGTCAGGTCTTTGGGTTCCTCCAGGAGTCCGTTGGTCAGCGGTTCCTTGGACTCTTTCAGCTCGGCCTGAAGGTGCTTCTTCTGAGGCAGAGTGGCGTGTTTGGATTTCGGAGCGGGTTTCGGCGACCCACGGCAGGACACGGACAGACAGCTGGTCCCCTGAGAGGTGGAGGGGGTCTCCAAGGAGGTGCTGAGGGAGCTGGAGGAGGAGCTGGAAGAAGAAGGAGGCGAGGGCAGGGAGCACCTGGGTTGGTGAGCCAGAGATGGACGTTTCTTCTGAAGCTGCGGCGATCTGCTTGTCTTGGGGGTCCCGTCTTGATGGGGGGCTGCAGGTTTTGGGATGCTGTTGGCGGTGAGGAGCGTCTGGAGGCGGTCCACCACTTGGGTGAGGAGCGCCAGCGCCTGCGAGTTGTCCTGGACGGTCTCGGACATCCGCTCGGTGGCCGCAGCCATCTTCTCTCCCAGGAGCTTGATGTCTTTGGTGCTGCTCTCCATGGAGCTGGCAGCCAGCTGCACCGTGGTCCTCAGCTCATCCAGACTCTCCTGTTTGGCGAGCTCCACAGGGGGGACCGGAGGCAGGTCCACCACACGACCACGGCGAGGACGCATGGGGCTCGGAGGAGCGGTGCGGACGCGGGGGCTTTGGTTTTGGAGCCTCGGAGGAAGACCTGGAGGGAGGTAGTCGTCCACGTTGGAGTAATAAGGAACAGTGAGGCAGGGCGGCGAGACGGTCCAGCGCTGAGCCGAGCGCTGAGCGGGCTGGAGGTCGGTGGAGTCGTCGCTGTCCAGTTCTTCGATGACGTTGTCTCCGGGGAGAAATCAGACATTACTAACAGATCAGGAGGAGGATGGAGGAGTGATGGATGACGGACACGGAGCTTTTCTTACCGATCATGACGGAGCTGTAGACGGATGGCGCCGAGCGGTTCTGCTCCCACAGGAGGTTGGTGTAACAGACCCGACATTTGCTCACGGGCCTGCTGCAGCACACCTGACAGCGCCTCATTGGCTTAAAACGTGGCGGGGGGAAAGGGCGGGGCGCGTCTGCGTGACACGGAGGCTCAGACTGAGGGAAGCTGCCTCTCCGAACGCTACGCCAGTCCACGTCCCGGTTTCTAACAGCAGGACCCGGACCCCCGAACGCACCGCCTCTGTAAAGCGTCTGCCGGGTCAGGCGCTTCAGGGTGTCCCAGTGACTGCAGGCGGCGACTCGGGAGCGTTTTTTAGTGCAGGGGGAGGAGGAGCAGGAGAGCGAGAGCCCCACCCTGGGCTGGTGACGGAGCTGTGAGACAGCAGAGGAACTCAGAAACAGAATCAGCAGAAACATCAAACTGAAGATCTGGACTCTCTCCTTCATCAGAGACTCTCTCATCCTCACAACAATAACCTCCTCCTCCTTCTTCTCCTTCTCCTCCTCCTTCAGTCACCTCCTCTCTAAACTCAGACTGCTTCTGTATCTTCAGGGATGATCCACAGACAGAAACTCTCTTTTCCTCTACACTCTCTCTCTCTCTGTGGTCAGGAACGACCTGAGCTTTCACAGACAATTATTTTAATGAGAGATTATCAAAATCAGACATCTGCTCTGGTCAGACCCGCTCAGCTGTTTGATTCGGGTCAGAACATCTGTTTTCATGGGAGTGGAGCAGGAAACCGTCTCTTTGGTGGGTTCACTGATGGACTAAGAGTGAATATTCTTCAGAAACGTCTGCGCTCTAAAATCAGAGGAGACGGTTATTAGAGAGGATTAAAGGGACATTCCACCAAATTACTGTCTCCTCTGCTTCTTCCTGTCTAAACTCATCTACTGAAGAAATACTTCAGTCTGTTTTAATTCCTCAAACTTCAGGAACTTTTTAATATTCGACTCTGGACAAACCGGGTCGCTGCATCAAACCAAAACCACGTCAAAAACATGAGATCTGGACCCTGTAAACGGGGTTTCAGATGAACGTGGAGCAGGAGGAGAGGAGACTTCAACCACACTGAAGGTCCTGGTCAACCCAGATCCAGCCCTGATGTTAGAGCCCGATCTCTAAGAGATCCGGGTCTGTGTTTCAAATCGGATCATTACATGAGAAAGTTCTGAAAACAAAGACTGGCTGTCTCTGTGGCGTGAGGAGGATCCGTCTTTAAGCTCTGATCCCAGAAAATCTGTTTTGATTATAAAGACAGATTAAAAACAAAGAGATCCCATCAGACCCTGACCTCAGACCTGAGAACTGAGTCTGGACCGGCCCAAACCGAACCCACATCAGACTGAGGAGACCTCGGCTGTGCTGCTCACCAGAGGCTGCTTGTTCTTGACCAGACAGACGATCCTCGTGGCCTCCTCATCGTCCGGCAGCTCTTCAGGCATCGGCGGTAACACGGGCTCATAGTCCTTCTGGGCCACCGTATCGTGGGCTGAGAGGAGAGCCTACAGGAGAGGAAAACCAGGAACCTGCTGCTCAGAAACTCATCATCAAGCTTTCTGGTTTTCAGACTCTGAGGTTCTCACCTGCAGGTGTGGCTGTCTCAGGAGGCGGTAAAGCTCTTTGGCGTCTTCAGAGCAGCCCGGCAGTGATCGGATATCGATCAGCAGCTGAGAAAACAACCAAACACCGACGTAAATCCTCCGACATATAAAAAAGGATTCGATCAACCGATGATGAATCAAACGTGATCAGAGAGAAACCTGGAGGGAGAGTCCTGACGCGTAGTCCAGAGCAGGAGTCGGGGAGTTTCTCAGGTACCTCTGAAGACACTCGTAGACCTGAAACAACCGTGTCAGAGGATTTAGAGTTTAACTTCAGCTTCTGAATATCACAGTGACTGAGCAGCCAAGTGGAAAATCAGACGTCTTCTTCTTCAGCAGACAGATGAACACAAACATGAAAACTCTGAGTCAACAGAGAAACGACAAAAATAAAAACATGAAGAGCGTCTGAGAGATTTAAGGAGACGGACATGAAACTCAGCTCAGGAGGTTTCTGAGCAGGTTTGAACATTTCAACATCAGTGTGATCATGAGTCTGAATAACAGTGAGGTAGGAGGACTGTGTTTGGAGCAGGATCAGGGTCTGGATCAGGGTCCGGATCAGGGTCGGTTTTCAGACCTTTAGCAGTGACTGCAGCCAGGAGGCGTTGAGCAGACTGTGGAGGATGTCGGCGCCGTCGATGTCTGGATTCACCGACTTCCTCACCTCCTCGATCACGTCTGTCAGGATCTGTCGCAGGCCTACACACACACACACACACACACACACACACACACACACACACACACACACACACACAGCTGTTATTAAAGGGAAGTACAGACGGTTAAAGGACTTTTAAACCAGTTTCCTCGGACTGACCGTGCTCGCCGAGCTCACAGTGGGGGCTCAACACCTGAGCCTCCACCGCCTGCCTCATGGTCACTGGACCCCTGACCTTTGACCCCGACCACAGACTCACAGGGACTGGAGAAGAACCTGGAACAGAAGACAAAGTTTCTGTTTGACTTCATGTGGACCAGTCCCCCCCCCTTTAACTGGATTTCTTCTGAAACTCTCAGCTGGGACACTGGAGAGTTATTTATGTCTCTTCCAGGAACAGCAGGCGCAGAAATGACCTCTGACCCCTCAGAGCTAACTTATTTCTATCAGGGCGGAGGAGACGCTCCGTTAACGCCGACTTTGACGAGATAGACGAGTTTGAATGTGTCTGAGCGACGTGACGAAGACGACGTGTTTTTATTTCATTCATGAGAGCGTCTCTGAGACGATGAGCTGAAATCACACGGTCACTCTGCTGCAGGAAGCACTCAGGACGTTTCTGAAGAACCACAGTGATCAAATATAAAGAATAAAAAGAGTTTCCTCTCTGTTTATAGTGTTTTTGTTTTAATATATGTTGTGTAATGACGCAATGCTGCACAAGAGATGATAGAACCGCACATGAGCAGTACGACACTGAGATAAGATACAACAACACGACACTGTCTGTCGTTTATACATTATAAGATATGAAACATCATAATATTAGAGCTAACATGAAGAGTCAGGATAGGACGTCCTGATACAGCAGACTACTGTAGGATATGATGACGTGATATAATATAATATAATATTATTCATTTGATTTGTTTTGATTTGTTTTGATTTGTTTTGATTTGTTCGGCTCGTGGCCATCTTTAAGCATTTCCATAAATACAAAAGTCATTGAACAAATGTAGTTCAGGGGAGCAGGTAGAAGATGAAGCTTGTGTTTTTTTTACACACCTTTGATTTTACCTGAACTATATGACGTTTCCATGTCAGTTTGTCATCTATTATTACACCTAAGAACCTGAATTCTGACACTCTCTCAATAAGAACTCCATCTATATGGAACGAAACATTTACCTCTTTTTTCTGATCACCAAAAACCATGAACTTTAAATTTAAAGAGAACTTATTTCCATCAAACCAGTTTTAGTTTAACCATTTTATCAGTTTTCAAATTCTCTCCTGAACAAAAAAAATGTGTCATCTGCATATAATACATTATATATCTATAAATATGTGTGTTGGGACAAGTTTATGAAACTAAACTCAGAACAGTTTGAAAAGTTAAATCCTCAAAACTCTTCATAACAAACTTTCAGGAGTTCAGCTGACCGGACTCTGCTCCTCCAGGACTCGTGTGTCCCTCCTGGACTAAGAGTTGCCTCATCAGTAATCCAGCCGTGAGTGTGACCCAGGATCAGGTAGGGAACTCCATCAGGGTTAGTGTGAAAGGGGGTCAGGGGTTAATGGCACACTTTACGACAGCTCGTCGTACGTGTGACGGAGATGTAAATACTGAGATGTACCCGCTGTAATCTCTGCCCTGGTGACCCGGACTCATACAGCAGCACAGACCCGTTCTTTTACAGCGTTTTACCCCAAATTTAGCCGGTCTTTAGACTCTGAGAGGTGAGGAAGGAGAGGAGTGAGCTGGAGCAGGTTCACCGGATCCTCATATTAGACAGATACACACAGAGCCGTTCCAAGAAAGTGGTTCACGCTCCTCAGGAGGTCTCAGCAGTCTAAGACGAGGGTGAAGACGACCCTGTCCTGGTCTGAAAAAGCTCGTCTTACCTGTCGATCCGTCTCCTCAGGGATGCTGCAGGAATAATCCTCCACCTCCTGCAGGTTTCAGCACCAAAGACAGCTCCGGAGGACGTATGTGTGATATGAAATCAGGCCCCTGAGGCTGGACTCATCGAGCTGCATGAGAGAGAGAGAGAGAGAGAGAGAGAGAGAGAGAGAGAGAGAGAGAGAGAGAGAGAGAGAGAGAGAGAGAGAGAGAGAGAGAGAGAGAGAGAGAGAGAGGGCTGTAATCTCTGCCGATCCCATTTAATCCCAGGGCAAGTGAGCCGCCTGCCTCGCTCTGGCCACCGGAAACCGGTTCCTCCCTCACCGGCTGGCTGCTCGCCATCGCGGTGGCTGCCAAATCTTCTTAACTCTTTCAGCTTTCATCGGCACGCAGGAGGAGCTTCAGGGAGGGGAGGAGGCCGACAACCTGGGGAAGGAGGAGACCATGAAGGTGTTATTTCAAGATCCTGCTCTGATGTGTTCAGTTCACACAGATTCAGGAATCTTAAAAGAAAAGAGGGAAAAAAACTTGGAGGACGAGAAGTTTCAGTGACAGGAAGTTTAAGGAGCTGCACTCAAAAATCACTATGAGTTAACAGGAAGTGAAAAGGATGTTGAGTCTTTTTCTGACCCAAAATAAAGGACAGGAATGAGAATAATCTGCTGAGCGGTAATCTAATTCCCCCGCCCTCCCTCCCTCTGAAAAAACAAACACAATCTTATTGTCCCTAAAACACAGAGATTATCTCTCAGCGATTGATAAAGAACATGTTTCATGTTGGCCGCTCTGAAAAAAAGGCCAACATCGAGAGGATTTGTAAAGCTTCTAGTGACCTGAACAAAGACACGCTTCTCGGCACCAAACCCGGGTTTCACCCACTCCTGGGTTTGAAAGGTTCTGAACGGACAATGAGGGACATTAGTTCTGAACTTAGCATTTCTAAACTAGAATTAAATCTAAACATCCCATAATATAAACACATTTAAAACACCATACACTGCAAAAATACTGAGAGGCTTTCAGATTAAAGGAACAGTTCAACTTTTCTGTGGGACACAGAAGTAAAAACTCCTTCAGTTCTTTTTTTTTAAGCTGTAAATTTACTTTTTGGGTTCAACTTTATCAAAAATTTTAAATGGACAAAAATGAAAAGTTGTCATCTTCAAACGTTCAGCCCATATTTTAATTATGGGGCTTCTGAGGTCATGTTAATAATGTTAATAGAGGTACAGTGTTAATAAACCTTCATAACCAACAATCAGAGAAGCCGAGATGTTTGATGACTTTGACACAAGAAGAGAAAAAGAACAAAACTTCACCGTTTCTGTTCGAGAGAAACAACAACATCCATCAAATGCATTTATTGTCCTCGGTCATTCTTCCAAAGGTACAACACACCTGACATCAGGTAAGAGACACACAGGAGGAGTCATGTCAGCCAGCTGAAACACTCAAATGTAGCCACCAAAGCCCTCTAACAGAACACATCATTTTTCCCAGGATGCACCAGTCCGACCTGTGTGGGCTGATTTCTTCATATACAGATGTCGATGTAAAGCTCGCTAACTAAACAGATGTCAGCAGGTTCAAATCATGAGCCGAACATGAGCTTATGAGTGTTTACTTCAGTTTGTACAAAGGTTTTCAGTTTGGGTTCAACAGCACTTCATAAACAACCATGAACTTTAAATGTCTTATTCTGCCTATGAGGTTTGGTTCACAAGTCAGTTTTGATGTTTTCACAGCTTCCACCTCCTGAAGGGTCATTGTGCATGAAATGAACATGAATAATAACATGAATAATAATAACAACATGAACGCTACAGTTTAGATTTCTTACAGAAAACCTTGAAGGTGAAGCTCCATAAACTCTCATAAACCTGACAGAGAAGTTAACAGAGGAGAAATGAAACAGCTGTGAGTGTGTAAAAGAGCAGAAGTCAAACTCGGATAACTAACCATGAAAAAAGAAAACAGTTATTCCTGAACAACGTTAGCTTCACTCTGAGTCCAGTTCTCAGTCTTTATCAAACTGAAATGTTTGATTTCTAATTTCCCTGACATTTCCAATAAGAACATTTTCAGTTTTGGACTTAAAGGCCGGTATTTTGAGCACTTTTATTCTGTAGATTGATTTTCAGAACCCTAAATTTAGTGCTCTGATCCATGGGCCTCTCCATTGTTAAACCATCTGAGGAAACAAAAGCCATGTTATTAAAAAATGAAAAAAGGGCTCATCGGTCATCCTCTGAATCCTCGCTAAGCCCTTTTTTAAACTGGCATGTGTGACGCAAATCTCAAATAAGCAACAATGTCTGACAGTCGGGCTGTAAATGGTCTTAAAAAAAGAACCGTTCGTGTTAACAGATGGCGCAGAGAATCGGCTTTGAGCATCCCTGACATCTACAAAATCAGTATTTGCATTAATTTGAGCTCACCTGCTGCTCTGACTGTTTTCAGATTTACAGACTTTAAAACAGTCGTGTCAGACTTCCTGTCTGTCCTGATTAAATCGATTTCATTTCTGATTTTGTGTCTGAGAACAAGAAGACAAGAACAGAGGACTGTGGCTCACTAAACTTGAAATAAAGAACTCATCCAGAAACTTCCGGGACAGGAAGTCTTTGTTCAGTTTGAGGAGATCTTTGTTTGTTGTAATACTTTCAGAAGTTAAAGGCTTGGGATGAAAATGAATATGACACTAAAGCTTTCAAGAGGGACACACTTTTTTCACATTTCTCTGGATCTCCATGAGCCCCATTCAAACCCAAAACTTTTCTAGATTTTGCAAACTTGCAGGAACTTTCCTGTTACTATTCAGATCAGAATATTTTCATTTACTGCACACGTTTTTAACCTGCAAACTCTAAGAAAGGGGAAATACTTGAAATGAATCTCTGTCCTGGTTTCTCTTTTAATACTTTGACTTTTTCCCTCCTGATCTCTTAGAGTTCAGTCTCAGGAAGTTTTAGGTGAGTTTTCAGTCATACTGGATCTTCATTTGGAGGACTGTGAACCGTGGACTGACCCTTTAAGTGTTCCAGCCGGTTTACATAATTCAGAGGTCAGTTTACATTCGTCCCCAGCATGCTGCTCATGCTCAGTCTTCTGCATAAATACGACATCGAACCTGACCGTAAATCTGTAGCTGAGTGTTTTAGCTAACCCATCATCTTCATCGTGTTAGTTTGTCTCATGTAAAAGAGAATAGACACACAGACACACAGACACACAGACACACAGACACACAGACACACACACACACACACACACACACACACACACACACACACACACACACACACACACATTGGGCTGTCAGTTTCATACTGTCAGGAGGAAATTCTCCGTGGGGTCAGACTCAGGAGAAACACTGTCGGCGAGGAAAGAGTTTTTTTCTCTTCGGTCTGCTGAACACGTGAAGACAGAACCAAAACCAGGTCCAGTATCTCTGCAGAACAAAACCGCTCCTATTGGCACAAACAGAACCGGAGTATGAAGCCCGGTTCTTCACAGGTACTGAGTCTCCGAGGTGTCGGTCAGTTTTTCTGGACGGTCTGAAGCGGCTCATCACCGACACATATTCACATTTATACCTCAGTTACCCCGGGGTCAGCAGAGGTCACTAAAGGTCAAAACAAAGTGTGTGTGTGTGTGTGTGTGTGTGTGTGTGTGTGTGTGTGTGAGGGTGGTGGTGGTTCTGTTTCCATGACAGCAGCAGATGGACCGTCTGAACCTGCTCCTATGATCCTCCGCTTCCTATTGGCTGCTGCACACGTCCATCACCTCGGCTGATCGTGGCCCTGTGATTGGCCGATGTGGGAGGCGGGGCTTACAGAGGGTCGCACTGCTGGGGTTATGTGATCTTCTCATGCTGGATCTGGTAGTAACAGGCCTGGAGGGTCAAAGAAGGTGGATGTGAAGGTTTCTTAGGGGGTCACTTATAATCCGGACTCACCAGAGACTCTGAAATGACCTCTGACCTTTAAGGTGGTGAACATGATGCCGTGCTCGCCGTGCTGAACACAGGGGTCCATCAGGTCTTCAATCAGGCTGACCTCTGACCCCAGGTTCCTGATTCTGTAAGGAGAGAAAGGCGACACGTGGTTCTGTCATTAGAGCGATGATGAAGTTACCTGAGGAGGTTCTTCACGGGTCTCTGAGGCGTGTCTGAGTTTGGATCTGACCGTGCTCGCAGGACCACATAGAGGAAGACGGGGAAAAGCTCGTCCATCGACCACAGGAAGTCCTGCTTCAACAGAGTCTGGACCTCCTTGGTGATCTCCTCAAAGGTGAGCTGGATCACCTGCAGCTTGTCTGACGGCGTGAAGGTTGTGCTGAAAAACAAGAACATGATGGTGATTCCAGTGACCTGCTGCTCTTGAAGTCTTCTTGAACCGGGAGCTGGACTGAGCTGAACCTGATCTGCTGGAGAGTTTCCACTGCCGAGGCGAAGCAGGCGTCCTTGGTGCTGGAGAGGACCTGAAGGAGACACCAGGCCAGAAAAAAGTTTACACGGTTTTACTCAGACCTCCATCTCAGAGCTCCATCAAATATGTGACCAAGGAGGATTTTCATGAACACACCTGCTGCTTCTCCCCCAGGACGGGCAAAGAGACGGGGATGGAGACGGGCCAGAACTTCCTGAGGAGGAGGAGGGAAAGACAGACACGATGGAGAGGTTCATTTGTTCAGAAGAAGAAGAACTGGAATAATCTGGACTAATCAATAATCCACTCACTGTTGGACCCCCAGGAAGGCCAGCAGGGACAGGTCGGGCTGCTTGTTGAGGCGGAGGACGCACTCCCAGTAGACGTCGTCCTCCCTCTCCTTGTCCAGAGCGTAGAGAGTGAAGAGCGGCGGGTAGAGACGAGGCAGCAGGACGGGGAGCAGCAGAGCGGAGGAGCTCACCACACGGCTGAGGAGACGCACAGAGGAGCCGATTCAACCCAAGAGACCCCTGAGGAGCTCTGACAGCTTCAGGGACGGATGCTCAGTACTTACCCAGGTTTGGGGGACTCTGGCTGGGCCGCAGTCCCGTTGGGCTCCTTCTTGTCCTGGAGGTTGGTGGTTGGTTCTGGAATGAGGCCGCCCTCTTCTGGCAGGTCTGGGAAGAGAAACCTTCACACACACAAACGTCTGTTAGCCTCCTGAGGTCCTCCTCATCCTCCATCTTTGTTCGGACTGAAGCTGAGGGCGGAGTACCTGACGATCTGGTAGATACAGTTCAGGTAAGACTTGATCTCGTTGACCGCCTGAGGCAGCAGCCGACGATTCGCTCCGACGCCCACGTAGGTCATCCTGTAGACCGCCACCAGGGTCTCCACCAGCCGGCCCAGTGGGTGGAGGGGGGTGTCGCAGGCCTGGAGGACAAGAGGAGGATGATGATGATGATGATGATGTTTCAGGTCTCCATTCAGACTCTGATCAGGTCAGACTAACTCTGGTTTCTGTGAACCTCAGTCTCAGGGGTCTTATTATCCAGGACTGAAACCTGGAGGGTTAAAACTCTAAAAACCCGCCTTCCAAATATGGGCGGGTTTACCTTGATGAGGTAAAGGCGGATGGCGTGGTATCGCTCCATGGTGATCGGACCTTGGTGCTGTGGGATGAACTCCAGACTCTCCAGGGTTCGGCTGTGACTCCGAGACATCACCTCAGGACTGAGGGAGAGAAAACCCGGTTAGACCTCCTCCCCAGGTTCTCTGTACTCTGGCGGTCTTGTTAAAGGACTCGCGTACCTGTCCTGGATGTGCCGCCGGCTGGTGGTCAGAGCCACCGCGATGTTCTCCCAGGCCTTCCAGTTCTCTCCTCGACCCGGCGCCTCACAGCCCAGCTGACCCCAGCACTCCTCGAACACGGCCTGCCACTTATCGTCGGCGCACACGCACAGACGCCCCAGCTTCCTGCCAAACACACGGAGCAGAGAGCGTGAAGAGGTGAGAAGACGAAGGGTTCAAGGGTCAATCTCACAGCTGGAGAGCTTACACTGCGGCGCGGGTCTTGTCCTTGTCGGTGTCGAAGAGGTGAGGTTTGAAGTAGGACCCTGACACCTTTAGTCCAGAACCCCACTCCCCGCTGAAAGAGCCCTCCAGGTAGTCTCCGTTTGGCATGGTGAGGACGCCCTGAGGAGGACCAGAGGAGGACCAGAGTCTGTCAGACTGATAAAGGGTTAAATCTGAACACCTCAGAAACCGTGAAGACGGAAACAGGACGTTTATGATTGGACGTTCATTCATCACCTTCCCGTTCAGGGTCCAGTCGTCGGAGAACTCCCCCTCGTACGTGGTGTCGTCTTCTGACAGGAGGATCCCGGAGCCCTGAACAGAAACCACCTTCCTTTAGCTCCGCCTCCTCCTTCACACTCTCTCTATCATCATTAAACAGTCGTCATACCGGACCCTGGTCTACTGTGACCCGGGTCAGGGACCGAGGCGCTCACCATCATTTTATTGTCTTTGAAGGCTCCTTCGTAGTAAAGGCCGAACTGCGTGACCACCACCCCCGTGCCCTGCCGCTGGTTGTCCTGCCACGTCCCCATGTACTTCTCGCCTCTGCACAGAAACACAGAAATGACCACCTGACCTGACTCCGCCCTCCTGAGGATCTTTGCCGCTCAGACGTGTTTTCGGCTCATGTTTTCGCCGTCGAGTACGTGCTTACTTTGTGATGTCATCAAAGACGCCGTATCCCGCCTTTTTGTCCTGCTGCCATTGGCCGATGAAGACGCTTGGCGAGGAGGTGTTGAGCTTCCCGCTGCGCAGCATGCCGTGACCGTGTCGCAGGCCGTCCTGGAAGGATCCGTCGTAAACTTCCCCGCTGGCGTACCTGCAGACGGACGGACGGACAGATGGCGAGGTTGATCATTTCTTCATCAGCACACACACACACACAGACACACACACACACACTCACACACACACTCTTACCGGTAGGTTCCCGGCCCGTGCATCTTGCCGTCTCTCCAGTGACCCTGATAGTGGTCGTTCTTGTTCAGCGTCTTGTTTGGAGCCACAAACTCCCCAAAGCTTCACAGAGACATGAAGGTATCAGAGCAGGACACAAACATCAGCTCTGATCTCACCTCAGAGCTCACACACACACACTCTCTGTGTCCACAATCATCAGACAGGTGAGTGTTTTGACCATATCATCTTTTTTATGCATATTTTCCAACTCCGAGCTGTCTAACCCTGAATGCTTATTGGATATAATTATATCAGGTGATGTGTATTTGGGAGGGTGGAGCCTAAGGAGATCAACACCTGATATCAGGGTGTGCATCATTATTAGGCAGCTTCTTTTCCCTTCAGGAGAAATGAACCAAAAAAGAGACTGAAGAGACTCTGGAAAGTCGAACATTGTAAAGCGTCTTTCAGAGGGATGCAGCACTCGTGAAATTTTATTTGTAAGTTTTGAGTTGTTTTATTATTCTCTAATTAACCAACGAAAATAAACAGGTGAGATGGGAAATGTTCATTTTTAATTCAGGTACTTCATAGTTCTGCTCACTAATAGTTCCCCAATAATTGTGCACACATAGATATTCTCCTAAGAAAGCTGAAATCTCACTTAAATATTCAGGTTTGAGGTTTATTGTAGTTCACTTTACTTGATCAAAAATAGAATTAATCCTCAAAAATACAAGTTTCCTAATGATTGTGCACACACTCTGATGATGAAGATGATGATGAAGAGGTTCGGACTCACCCGTCCTCCAGCCCGCTCTTGAAGGATCCTGTGTACACCCGTCCATCAGGCCACTTTAACACGCCCCTGAAAAACGTCACACTCTTAAAACCGGGTCAGTGTTTGGATCGATAACTGGACTTCAGAGGGGCGGCGTCTCAGTCTAACCTGCCGTGTGGTTTCCCGGTGAGCCAGCGTCCTTCATATTTGGCGTCTTTCATTCGTCCGTCTTTGTAAAAAGTGTAAGAGGCCGTCCTGGAGATCGGAGGCTCCAACTTCTGTCCCGACCCGGAGCCGACCGAGGCTGCGTCCTGTCCCGCTCCGCACAGCGCCTGGTCCACCGCCTGGTTTATGGAGCGGAGCCACTTAGCCTGAAGACCAAGACCATCGCAGTTTCAACAACGGAGGAGATCGCTCAGAGTCTTCAGACGATCAAGTGACGATCAAATACTGACCTTCTCCATGGGAGAGGAGGCCAGCAGGGTGAACGTCTCCTCAGGTGTGATCACCTTCAGTCCATATCTGCAAACATCAACATTCACAGAGTTCTCACACTGGAAATTATTTTAAAAAATAAACAAAGAAATTATAATAAAGTCCGGAGGAAGAAAAACAAAGTTATTTTAAATCGATGAAGACGACACAGCGAGGGTCTGCAGACTTACACGCCTGTGTTCTCCTCTGGAATCGGCTCCATCCACAACGTGGCCAAAGGGAAGACGTGATGGGTGGAGAACTGCAGGAGGAGGGAGGGGCGGAGCGTGGACGATGGAAGAGAGAGGGAGGAGAGAGAGAGAGAGAGAGAGGAGAGAGAGAGAGAGAGAGAGAGAGAGAGAGAGAGACAGGAGAAGACCAGAGAAGTTTTCAGAAAGAAACAAAAAGATGGTTAATGGATCAGTCAATCCTCAGAGACAGGAGTCTGATCACCGTCAATAACAATGGAGTTCACAGACGACACAAGCTAAACCGAAGATTTCAATGTTGGGACTAAACAAGACCGTCCAACCAGCAGGACGACGCTAGTTTATTTATTTTACTATCAGAGGCCAAATCAACTAGTGTTACTATTTCTATTACCATGTATACTCTGTTTGATGAAACAGAGAAACAGATAAGAAAAAAATGTATGAATATGATTTTGATTCTGAACAGACTGACAAACCTGCCACACTACGGAACACTTTAGGTGTTATTTATTTATTTATGTATGCACTTATTTACCTTTTAAAAAAATGTTCTTTTTTTCCTCTTTTTTCTGCTCTGTTCTGAATTTATGTGTTTGTGTTAATATGATTTAAGTTTGATCACATGAAAATAAAATTAAATATTATGTTAAAAAAAGAGAAAACTATCAGTGCGTGAGGGGGTGGACAAATAAGGAGCAGAAGAAGGTGAAAACATGATTATTTCTGATGAATCTGAAAATCATGATTGTGGAAAACACTGAGATTAAAAACAGGAGGAGTTTAGAGAGAGTGAAGACATGCAGCTCTACAGAGGAGGAGGAGGAGGAGGAGGAGGACATGCAGGACTCCTCACAGATCTGCAGCAGACCTCCGTTTAAGGACCAGTATTTACAGGATCTAACAGCAGAACAGACAGGGGTCAAAGGTCACAGGACCACCACAAGAGTAGAGGAGAGAAACAGGGAGGAAGAGGAAGAGTGATGATGAAGAACAGAGAGTTTGAATGAATCAGCTGATCGAGTCTCAGGGGGAGGAAGTGAGAGTGGAGGAGGAGGTTAGGAGAGAGTTAGACCGACATGAACGAGCCATGAGTGGGTCAGTTCATCCTTCCATGCAGGGTGGGGTGGGGTGGTGGGGGTGGGGGTAATAGGGCTTCATGTCACTGGACTTCTTCACCTGACTCAGCAGTCGAACCCTGCTCTGACTCCAGCTGACACAGACTGATGTCTTTAAATGTGAGTCAGCTCCTGCAGGGTTAAATCCAGTGACACCGAGCCCTAAACCCCCCCCCACACACACACACACGCACACACACGCACGCACGCACACACACACACACACACACACACACACACAGGTTGAGGAAGAGTTCAGGTTCGGTGTTGTTATCTGTGCGTGTCTGCATACTTACGAGACTTTTAACAGGCGCCACGCCCTGACAGCACGGAGGCAAGCACACACAGAGGCTTCAAACACCCAGATACAGAGCTGAGATATGGACTGATGAGGAGGGTGTGTGTGTGTGTGTGTGTGTGTGCGTGTGTGTGTGAGTGTGTGAGTGTTACTCACCTGTGCGTGGACCAGAGCATCGTTGAAGAGGATGAACCAGTTGACGGAGAACCTGCCGGCGTTCTGCAGGGTCAGAGCTTTGTTGCTGCTCTCACAGATGAGGCGGCGGTGAGGTTTCCTCAGAGACTCCTGACGACACACAATGACACCATTCAGCCGCCTGTGACATCATGTGACAACACGAGGACGTGATTGGACACGCTGGGCAGTTTACCGTCATTTTCCCGGGGAAGTTCTTCCAGAAGTTGAAGGTGTAGTCGGCTTCTTTCCGTCTCTTCTTCAGCTGGAGCGCCAGAGCTTCGAACCTGGAGCAGCTTTCCTGCAGCTTCTGGTAATCATTGGAGCACTGAGGAGCGGAACACAGGAACATAAACTTACTGAGGTTCAAAGAGTCAGATTCGGGTCCGTCAGAACATCCAGAACTTTCACAGAGTCACAGAATTATTTGATATGAACAGGATTTTCTGTTTCAAATATTTTCACTGACTCAGGTCTGAATCATAAACTGAAGTTACACAGACACACTGATCTCTGTAGACTAAAATAGGTAAACAGCACCATCTGCTGGATACCAGCAAAAACTACAAGGTGGAGGTCAAACCTGAAGATTACAAACATTTTAGACACGAGTGATTTCTGATTGATCTAAGAATGAGTTTAAATAAAGCAGATCATACAGAACAGGGCTGATTATAACAGAGAGAGTTAAAAGTGTAATATGAGAAAAAACTACAGAGATTATTTGGATAACCAATGAAAACACACCTGAAAATAAAAACAAGAACGTGAGGGTGAAGGGGACAGACTTTGACGGACTGATTTATCTGATTTACTCTAAAATCATTCAATAATTATCATTATTATTTACTCTGTAATCATTATAAATTTATGAACACGATAGTTATTATATTATTGTTAATTATTATAATTATCTACTCTATGATTACCATATTATTATAATTTTTTACTCAAAATCATTATATCTTTATAATAATTACTCTATAATAATTACATAATTAGTATAATTAGTTACTCTATAGTCATTTAACAATAATAATAATAATTATTATTATTATAATCTATAATTGTTATATAATTATTATATTTATTTACTTTATAGTCATTATATAATTATCATACTTATCTACTCTATAATTATATAATTATTATAATTATTTACTCTATACTTATTATTTAATTATTATATTTATTTACTCAATAGTCATTATATAATTATCATACTTATCTACTTTAGAAATATATAATTATTATAACTATTTACTCTAAAATTATTACATAATTATTATAATTATTTACTCTATAATTATTATAATTATTTACTCTATAATTATTATAATTATTTACTCTATAATTATTATATAATTATTATAATTATTTACTCTATAATTATTATATAATTATTATAATCATTTACTCTATAATTATTATAATTATTATATCATTATTATATTTATTTACTCAATAGTCATTATATAATTATCATACTAATCTACTCTATAGTTATTATAATTATTTACTCTATAATTATTATATTATTATTAATATTATTTACTCTATAATTATTATATAATATTTTAATTATTTACTCTATAATTATTATATAATTATTTACTCTGTAATAATAAGGACAGACACTCATTCAGATTGAAGAAAAACTCCTTTAAATAAACAAAGTTTTGTTCTTCCCAGCCTTCACAATCTAAAGACGCTCTCACCACTTCGAAGCAGGTCGCCAGTTTTAGCAGCAGCCGTCCGTATTCATGCAGGTGGCGGGTGGGGAGGTAGAAGAGCGCCACCAGGAGGTCAGACATGGCAGGGTTCTCCTCACTGCACTCGGACAGCTTCTGGAGCAGCTCAGGACTCTTCCCGAAGAAATCTCTGCAGAGGAAAAATCTGCAGTTACTTCAAACAGACTCGACGGGTTACTTCTGCATTTGGGAGCAAAAAGTGAGTTTTCTTACAGCGAGGGTTTGGTCAGGCTCTGGAAACCCCCCATCACCAGGAAGTTTCCCAGAGGACCGCAGTACCTGAGCAGGAATAAAGAGACCCCATCAGATTAACTCCTCAAAGTCCAGAGTCAGCCAGTTCCTGAGCAGGTGAGGAAACACATACTCATTGTAAGAGTCCAGGAAGATGTCCACGTGGTCCAGGATGAGCAGACTCTTGACGTCTCGGCCTCGGCGCAGGTTGGCCGTGAGGCTGGCGGCGTGCTGCCCGGTCAGGTGACACAGGAGGCTGAACCTGCCCGCCAGAGTCTGCAGGAGCCCGAGGGTCACCTGACCGAGAGCTGAGCTCAGAGATTCTGAAATTAAACGGAAACTTCGATCTCAAAAACCTCTGAGGGCTCCAGACTAACTTTTCAGACACAGTGGAAACGAACCTCAAAATTTAGGAGCGCTCACTGAAATCGACTTACAATGTTTTCCTGTCATATACACTATATTACTGATAAATACTTTGACAATAAATACAGAATCCACAAGCTCATAAACTCATATTTTATTGGGATATATAAAATAAAAAAATAATTATGAAATAATAAATATATTAAATAAAATATAATAAATATATAATAAAACAAAATTAAAAAATAGATCAAATTTTAAAAAAAAGCATAAAATCTCTCTCTCTGTCTCTCTCCCTCAGTGTCATTCTCACCTAGCTCCAGCAGAGGGCGTATGATCTGGGTCTTGATGTTGCTCAGCTTGCAGTAGAACTTCCTCTCGGCGGAGGCGAGCTCATGGAGGCTGGCGATGAAGCCCATCACGTTCCTGTCGGAGAGCGCCACGCAGCTCTGTCCGCCGGCGAACACGTTGCTTACGTATCGCAGCTGAAAGACGGGAAAACGGGAACAATCATGGAGGCCGTCTGTGAAAATCAACCAACCTGCTCAGACAGAACAACGTCTCCATCCTCACGTTCATGCAGAAAGGCAGCAGGACGGGCTGCTGGGTGTAGCCTCCTGCACGCTGCTTCTCTTCCTCCTCCTCCTCCTCCTCCTCTTTCTCCTCCTCCTGAGGGCGGCGCTCCTCCTCTCCGTCCTTCACCTGCTGCCCGCTGTAGTAAATGATGGGCTGGATGCAGTCTCCGTCTGCCAGCAGGACCGTGTGTCTCTCTCCTGCACTCACGTCCCAGACTCGAATTCCTTCCGACAGCTGCAGCCGACAGGAGCGTCACTATCTCAACTCTGACCTTGCTGTGTGTGTGTGTGTGTGTGTGTGTGTGTGCGAGGAGGAGGTTCTCACTTTAGCGAGGCGAGGGATGGTGCTGGGCGCCTCCATGTGTCCGAGCTGACCGCAGCTGTTACTTCCCCATGAGAACACCTGAGAGAGAAAGGTCCACATTTAAACCGGGTCTCACCGTCTCACACACACGACCCAGAAGTGAAGGATCATTTCAGAGCGGACCTGAGACTGAGCCGTCAGAGCCAGGGAGTGATGAGCACCAGCAGCCAGACGCACCACCTCCTTACTGTTCAGACTCTTGATGCACAGCGGCTGTAACCTGCACACACACACACACACACACACACACAACAATTCTGGGGTGAGGCTGTCAGAGGAGCACCAAACCCAGGAGGTCTAAGACTGACCCCAAAAACTAAAATGTGGTTGTGAACGTATACTCCGATCATTACGGTAAAAATCTGATTCACTGTAGTGACCCTTCATCTGTTTGAGCTTCTTCTTCCTACCTGGCGAGACTGTCTCCATGTCCCAGCTGTCCTTGCTCACCGTGACCCCAGCTCCACACCTCCGTCTGCAGGGTGGGAAACACCTCCTGGGCCTCAGGGACCGCTCCTCCCAGCGGGGTGAGGGCCGCGGCGGCACGCATCCTCGGACGACCGACTTTCCTCAGCAGCCGAGGCGAGACTGTGGGAGTGAAGATGGAGAGATGTTAACTCTGTGTCCTCCACGAACAGATGTTTGATGTGCAACAGTGAGGCAGAGCCCCCGCACATGCATCCTTCCTCTGCAGTGAACCCGCTAAAGTCAACGAGCGTTCAAGGCCAGAGACACGGACAGACCCTCAGCATGAATTCATCTGTGGTGCAAAGTTCAGCCGATCGGATCGATGAGTGTTTTTAAAAACAGAGACAGCAGCAGGTCGAACCGGCTCTGCAGCACAAACACAGACAGCAGCCTGCGCACGCACACACACACACACACACACACACAATAGTTAAGATAGCTGATCAGCTGATATTCTCTGTCAGGAAACAGTCAAACCTTCAGTTTCCAAAAACACCAGAAACAACAGAAGATCAGGAGGAGAGGAAGTCCAACACTGAGACCATGATCTTAAAGACACAGAGGAGTTCTGCTCTTCATCAATGGGCGCCTTTGTGTGGTTAAACCCCGACCCGGGAATTTTGAACCCTCAGCCTGACAGGGTTTATCAGAGATTAAGTTTGTAATCAGATTTAAACCCTGAGAGTTCGAGCTGTTTCAGAAATAAGAGGTGTTCACTGTGTGGTTGGACTTCCTTCTCCTCCTCTGTTCTGTCCTCCAGCTCTCACTGTCGTCATGCTCGTGAGCTCGATGAAGACGCCTGAAGCCCAAACTAACCCACACAGAGCGAGACCAGCCGCAGGAGCACGGGCCGTACTTACGCAGCAGATTATAGGAGGAGGAGGATAAGAGCTGAACAGCGTATCTACCCTGTGAGAGGAGTCCTGGGAGCGACAGGCGGCGCCGCAGACCCTCCGCCTCCTCCTCGCGGATGTCTCCAGTGCTGGAGCTCTTCTTGGCCTGTGAGGAGTCCTCAATGCGGACTCGGTCTGGGGTGTTATCACCTGTGAGTCCTGCTGTCCCGCTGGGCCTGGGCGCTCCTGAGGGAAGGTAGTTCATCATCCTTTTGAGGGACAGCGCCTCGTAGGTGGAGGCCACGCGTTCGCCCACCGCTGAGGCGCAGGAGGCCACGAGGCTGTTGAGCGCGGAGCCGGGGGTGGAGGAGAGACCTCCTGCTGAGGGCTGAAGGGGAGGAGAGGAGAGGAGAGAAGGGAAGAGGAGAGGAGAGAGGAGGAGATGAGAGGAGAGGAGAGGAGAGAAGGGAAGAGGAGAGAAGAGAAGAGGAGAGGAGAGGAGAGGAGAGGAGAGGAGAGGAGAGAAGAGAAGAGAAGAGGGGAGGAGAGAAGAGAAGAGAGGAGAGGAGAGGAGAGGAAAGAAGAGGAGAGGAGAGGGGAGGAGAGGAGAAGAGGAGAGAAGGGAAGAGGAGAGGAGAGGAGAGAAGAGAAGAGAGGAGAGGAGAGGAGAGGAAAGAAGGGAAGAGAAGAGGAGAGAAGAGGAGAGAAGAGAGGAGAGAAGAGAAGAGTTGATGAAGTATCTTCTCGAAGAGTTTTCTTCTTTCTGCTCGTTTTTGTTCACATGTTTTTTTCCTTGTTTGTGTTGAAGGTTTTAAAGATGAACTGAATAAAATAAAAGGATGAAAATGAAAAGTGACTCACCAGCAGAGTGTGCAGTCCTCCTCCGGGGGCGGAGGTCCTGGTGGTCTGTTCCGTGTTGTCAGTCAGTTTCTTCAGGTAGTCTTTGACCGCCTGCTCGTCCGGATACAGAGAACTCTTGACCCCCGAAACAACGACCCCGACTTTAGTCTGAGCCGAGGAGCTCAAGTCTGCGGCTGGGAGAGCCCCGTTAGCCAAACCAGACTCCTCTGTCTCCTGAGGGCCGTCTGAGGGGTCGGAACATTTGGCGGGTCCTGAGTTTGGGGTGGAGGTCTGGGAGGGGAGGACCGGCTCAGACGGGGACGTCTTGAGGATCTGGATCGGAGCGGGCGCCTCTAGTCGGCCCTGGTCCTCAGTGAGCTCCACCCCCAGGGGGCAGTAGTGTCCGTCAGAGATGATGACGTGGTCCTCTTTGTCTGTCATGGTGTAGAGCAGCTGGTTACACTGTCTACATTTGTCCACCAGGGGGCGCTGCAGGTCGTGTGGACCGAGGCAGCGCACCAGAGCCAGGCTGTGTGAAGCCCCACAGACCACCTGCAGCACACACCTGCCGGCCAGGTGCTCCACCTTCTGAGGCTTCCACACGGGGAAGACGGTGGCGATGAGGCCGAGCTGGCAGCCGCTGCCCCACGCCCAGACCTCCCTCTGCGCCGACAGAGCCAGGGTGTGCTGCCCCCCACAGGCCAGCTCCAGGACCGGCACCGTCTGGGGCGGGGTGGTGTCCGAATCCTGCAGAGCCACCGGCGTTGGGTTTGGGACGGTGCTGAGGCCGGACAAGCCGCACTGACCCCAACTGTTGTCCCCCCACATGTGGACTCCGCCGTCCTCCGTCACGGCGCCGCAGTGGAAGCTTCCGGCCGCGATGGAGACCACCCGCTGGCCGCTGAGCGCGCTCTCCAGGGCGGGTTTCTCTGGCTCGGATGGCTGACTCTGTCTCCATGGCAACTCCCCAAAACTGTACACCTGCCCACCTGGACACAGACAGGAACACTGACGGGTTCATGACCTGGAGTCAGGATCTGAGGGTCTGACAGGAGCGGTCCGTGCTTACCTTCAACCAGGAGGACGCCATGGCGTGTTCCCAGGGCGACCTGCAGGACGGGCCGGGGGAGGAGCAGCCTTTCGGGGGTGACACTGCAGGAGTAACCCCTCCAGGTGTGGAGCAGACCTCGCTCTCCTTCACCGTCATCTCCAGAGCTGAGGAGACGAGCGACAACAACCAGATTATGATCAGTCATGATCTCTGAAGAAGGTGGAGGACCTTCAGGGATCCAGATCATCTCCTGGACTTCCTGACCACCAGGCAACACACTCAGAAGCTCACTAACACATCCACCTGGAGAACTGCTGAGCTCAGCGGCTGTTAAAACGGCCTAAATGTTGGAGTGGAGCCGACCCGTCTGCAGAGGTTCATGGTCTAACTTCTGTTCATGTAAGGAGCTGAGCTGGACCTTCTGTGGGTAAGACGCGACTATTTACACCCAGACTACGAAAAACTCTGAACTAGCCCTTTAGAAAAGCCTCACAGTGTTTCTTTAGTAGACAGAAGGCCCCTGAGGGCCGCAAACACGAGCACGCTTCACAGGAACGTCTCAGGAACATCATGTTCTGCAGAAAACGACTCATTTAAAACACAAGTGTGAAGAAGAGGAAGAGGAGAAAACCTGAGGGCTTCTCTGGAGCCGCTCTGAACATCAGATGTTTGTGTGGTTGAAAGCAGAAGTGAGCAGCAGAGTCACGTGGTCATCTTCACATCCAGGCAGCTGAAAAACAGGAGGAAGATGAACCTACCTCTTCCTCTGGGTTTCCATCAGTCAGGTTTAGTCCTCCATCAGTCTCAGGTGGATCTGCGGGTCAAACAAAAACAGGCTGAGAGTCCACACCATGGATGGAGACAAACACAAACACAAACAGAACAAACGGCCCTCCAGAGATCAGAAAAGAACTTTCACTTCCAGGTTTCACTGACATGCGCACTCACGACCTGACACCCGCGGCAGGTGTTTACCTGAGGCTCTTAGCCGTCAGGAGCTAACGTGGTCCCCAACGTTCACGCGCAGTCGATTAATCGGAAATCAGCCCATTACTCGGAAATTCACGTGAACGCCCCTCAGTGAAGACAGTACTAACAGAAGAGTGTGCTGAGAGAGCAAACATGACGGTATATCCCACAGAGACGGATTAAACTACAGTAAATAAAAAAACAGAATGAACGGTGACTTCATTTCTGATCATACAAAACAATAAACGAGAACAAAATCCCAGTTTCACTTCCTCTTGACTTCATATCGATCCTGATTCAGGAGTGAACGTGGTGACCTAAAAACAAGCAGAATGGAGTCCACGTACTCCCAACATTGACGCCCAAATGTTGATAAATCAGAGAAACGACAGCGAAAGCTGGAAACTCCGAGTATCTAATGAGCAATTAAAAGCAACATTAATCCTAGCAGCTAACGTGAAGCTAGCTAATCAGTTCTGTTAGCGAGCCGAACCGTTCGTCCGAACTACAGCAGTCCTGTCCTTACTTTGGTCTTTTCCGTCGTATCTGTTGGCTCCACACACCTTCCCCTGAGGTGTCCACACACACAGGGAGCCAGGTCATGTGTCCGTTAGCTTGTTTTGCTGCTTAATGCCGCCGGTTGTTGTTTCATCTCCTGATGTTGACACGGAGAGGCGAAGCTCCGCCGAAGATCGTAAATAAAGAGGAGGTTTCACTCTGGCAAGAAACTAGGTGACTAAAGTGCAGACGTAAAGTGAAACTGGGAAAAAATAAATAAATATTTATCGCGTGAAAACTCCTCCGTGTCAGATGAGTACTGTCAATGGTGTGGTGGGGGTGGTGGTTGGTTGGAGCACATCTGCAGGAGTGGCTGTGCTTTTCTGTTGTTCATGTCTTGTTACTGAAGTTGGATTCTGTTCATGAAAAATGTTAAGAATTAAACTGTTAAAAACATCCTCCATGTTATATAAGCTTTGGTCCTGGGGGTCGACACATAAACATTTCACTACAATCGAAAATCATTTCCCTGAAGGTAAAAAAAAGTTCACCAAACACAGAACAGCTTCATGAAATCCAAGAACATGTTCCCAGTTCAGGAAATATTGTCCTTTTCTTATGTTTGTGGGATCAATTACATTAATTTTTGTTTAACAATATATATTTTTTAGTTAAGAAATATTTTTGCATTTCATTTCATATTTTTCAATTCACAAAATTGTTGTTTCATTTAAAGTTTTTGAACTTTAAATGAAACTAAAAAAAATGTTTTGCAATTAAGTTAAATGTTTTCATACTTGAAAATTGTTTTTGTAGTCGATGATTTGGTATTGAATAGAATTAAAAACAAAAACAGATGAAAATCGTTCACTATTAAAGTCTGCTGATCTAAACAGAGTTTCACGTTGGCGCCATCTAGTGGACTGCCTCAAACTCATCTTCTTCTTCTTCTCCATGTAAAACTATCAAAGAGATTCTGTGTTTGTTCAGACAGAGTTTATTTTGTTTCTCGATTGTCCATCTTTAGTTTTTCCGTCGCCATAATCAGCCTCTCTTCACGGTTCGTCCTCAAACAGCTGCAGAAATGTCACTCTGACTCCTGCTCCTTAGCGTCTCATCCCAATCTTCATTAATCCATATGCAGTTACAGTTTTGGCCACCGGAGGGCGCCGATGAGTAATGAGAGTGCTATGAGGAAAAGGAAGACGTCTCACTCTGCTGCTGTTTTGATGGCTGAACGGCAGCTGAACTTTATTTACCGGTTCTGAGCTGAAGATGGACAAGAAAAGCTGTCAAATTCCATCACACTCTGAGTTAATGTTTATCTTACAATAAACCAACATAAACCGTTTTTACTATCAGACAGTGGCCGTAAGCAGAGTGAAACACGTTTAACTGTAATGTGAACCAAGTTTTACCGCCAAAAGGGAAGTAGAGGAAGATGAAACAGCGGTATGAGGAGAAAAGCTGTCAGTTTGTTGCTGCCAAACTCCATCACACTCACACAGTTAATTTATATGTTGTGACGCTCAGATCAGTGTAAAAGAATGAAAGGACACCTCAGCATTTCTCCAGCCTTGCAGCCCACCTCCGCTCCTCTCCTCCAGGGATTTGTAACGTGGAGTTGGAGGGACGCTTAGCCGCGGATGCTATTAGCCTAGCTCCGGCATGAAATAAAGTTTCGAGGCGGGAGGTGAAGTGGAGGGATTTCCACACTGAACATTTATTCACACATACGAACCATACAAACAAAGAGCAAAGATGTTCGTGGATTGAAGCCTTCAACGGCGTCCATATTGCTGAGGTCTTCTTCTTCTTCTTCGTTGGTTTTGGCAGAGGGGGGCATCTATCATAGACTGTATAAACACTAGATGACTCATTCCAGTCTACGGTTCATGTAACATTTAAATAACCAGATTGTTTAATTTTAAACTGATTTTTAGACAGTTTGGTTTGTTTCAAACCTCAGAGTTTTAGTTTTGTTCCTGAATACTCAAGAATAATTTTAACCTCAGATTTTCATAAATAAACAATAATTAGATAGGTAGAGCAATAGCTATAGGCCTACACACACAAGGTAGAATATCAAATCATTTATATATAAAATATTTTATCAGTCAGTGAATGTTATATGAGTAATATTTCTGTTAAAATTATAACTATAAAAACATATAACATCAACATATCTGTATTCATTTTCAAGATAAATATCCTTCTCATGTTGCCTTTCTGTATATCTGTTCTGTGAGATATCTATCTATACATACAGTATACATGTGTGTTTTTCTCCTTTTGCTTTAGTAACCCCTTTTCAGATTTCTGGATCAAAGTATAAGAGACGACCACCTGTTGTTTAGAAAACTAAATCTAGAATATCGTTGATGTCCTGCAGAAATCTCCTATCTTCATATTTGACCTTTTTTTGTTAGATGTGTGGATTTGTCCTCCACATACTTTGAATGAACAATAACCTTAGAGAGAATATCACCAATAAAAACACATGAAACAACTGTGCTGCATGATTAAGTTTGTTTTTCTCAAAGAAAAGCTTCAATTTCAACATGTCCAAACACCTCAGAGCCACAATCACTCTGCTGTGAGACTAAAGTCTTCAAACCTGACGGGGACCACAGACTTTATCTTTGAGTCCAACAGGAAGTTTGATTTCCAAGAAAAGACGATCAAATCAAAGTTCCTGTTTAATAAAAACTAAGACCAACTAAACACACCGATTTTCCTTCACGCAGCGTCCTCCAGCCTCAGCTGAATCAAGGCTTTGAGTCTCTATGATCCACTACCGTATTGACCTGAATATAGGAGCACCCTGATGAGAAAACCTTCCTCCACTTTTCAGACTCACTTTGAGGACTTTTTTAAGACCAAATCTAGTTTTTGTTTGGATGAAAAATAATAATAATAATCAACTGGACACAGTGACTGAAACAAGCTGAGTTGATGTTTTTAACATGTTTTGGTTCAAATAAAGTTTTTATTGTCTTTAAATGACACTGTTACAGTGAAATTAAATCAAAAATGATCTGGTGTAAATGAAGAACCAACATGGAGTTACACAGACAGAGCATAGATCTATTGATACTAGATAAACTGAAGAGGACAGATCTGTTCATAATAGTTCTATGTTTAATGTTTCTCTACTGTGATCAGACTGTGACATGAGCTGTCCTGACTTCTGATTGGATCTTTACAGGTCAGCTGATGGCAGATACAGCCTCTGATTGGCTAACAACAGAAATGACACTTTGTTACTGAGATTAATCCATAAACCATCAGATTATTTTCATTTTGGAGGGATGGGATCAGGAAGGTCTCTGAAAACACACCGATCTTCTCTGTGGGATAGAAAAGCTTTGAAGTGTCACAGAAACACAAACTGATCTCCTGAAAGCTGACGGTCTCACAAAGCCAGTGGATTTTATAGGAAGTCACTCCACTGTAGCATCAATTAATGAAGCTGAGATTGTAATCAACAACACTGAGTTTATAAAACAGCATCGACCACGTTAATGACTTCACCCTGAATAGATGCTGATCTCACTTCTTCCAGACTCCAGTCAATACGGTTATTTTTGTCTGTCAGAGGAAAACTTCTCCGTCATAATAAAGTAAAAATAATGTTTTTGTTTTTGTTCAAGAATCTTTCCTTTGACTGATTATATTTCACACATTTTACTCTCAGGTCTCATTTATGGTTTCATAATTGTGTTTGTTCATCCAAACAGGAGAGAATTGATTATTGATGAGCACAAAGATGATCTGAAAACAAAAACATGAAAAGAAAAAGAAAATAATGTCTAATAATATAAAATAAGGTCAATATACCTCCAGTCAATATTTACAATCATTTCAGAAACTGAAGAAGAAAACGAATGAATAAAAATGATCAAGTGAAAGAATAAAGCTTCAGATTTTTGTTAAAACCCCAAACCCTGTCCTCCTCCTCCTCCTCCCTTCACCTCCATCTCTCCTCACTCCTCTTCCTCTCCCTTCAGTTTATATTCGGTCTCTAACGGTGCAAAGGAAAGAAAAAACCTTTGGGTTTAATCTGAACTTCTGACTGATCTACTCTCACACATGGTATCAACTCCTGCTGCAGAAACATGTGGGAATAAATCAACTCCACCTCTTTATATTTCCACTGGGTGGCGCTGCATCATGGTAAAAACAAAGTAATCCAATCAAAGTGTAAATTTACGATCATGTTTCCATCAACAAAACAAACCTGTTCAGACTGTTTGATCCCAGAATATGAGGGAAAAGATCAAATATCCAGAGTCCAGGTCCTGAGCTGATCTCAGAGCAGGTCAAAGTGCAGCTCCCAGAGTCCTCTCCGCCCGCTGTGATTGGTCAGTCAGTCTCTCAGTCAGAGACTCACCTCACCCTCACTGCTGCTGCCTCCACCTCTCTGATCGTCAGGAAACAGATGATCCTCTTCTTAATCACTCTGACAGCTAATACTCCCATCTGAGGAGAGAAAAACAGACGATCAGTGTTTCCACTCTGAGACTCACTTCATCAGCTGGACTGAAGAACATCCAGTTTACAGACCAGCAGGTCTCAGTCCTGCTCAGACCAGAAGTGATGGTGTAAAGCAGCAGGTTTCCTCACAAATAAACCAACATCATCAAAATAAAGAAATCATTCCTGTCAAATGTGTTAAAGCTGATCGAACAAACCTGCTGTGAAAATAACAAGTATAAAGAACAGCTGTCTGTTTTCAGACTTAGAGCTCAAAATCAACAAGTTAGCAGAGAAATAAAGTCTGTGTTGAATACAGAGAACTATAAACTGGACTTCAGAGCAGAAACTGAACATTTCTGTTTCATTATGTCTCATTTCTACATTTGATCTGAAATATAGAGACGAGGAGACACTTTTTTCATCACTGACACTCTTACACTCCTGGTTTGATGATTTCTGTTCTCACAGCTTCACTAAAGAAAGAATCCTCTGAGAGGGTCGAAGAGTCAGCAGGAAATACTGAATATCTGCTGTGATACTGTGTGGAGAGGAACAGGAGAGATCAGCACAGACTAACTCCAACTCTATACTGACTTCAGAGTCTCCAGTCTGTAGTCTGAACTCTTCTGAAGATCACACAGCAGCTCCACGTCTGAATCCTGCAGATTGTTGTTTAACAGCTCCAGAGTTTTCAGATGGGAGGGGTTGGACTTTAGAGCTGAGGCCAGAGAAGAACAGCTGATCTTTGTCAAACTGCATTTATACAACCTAAATAAAGAGGAAATAATGAGATTTTAGAGAAAAATGATCCAGTTTGAAACCTGATGTCTTAAATCTGTAGAGTTCAGGGGAAAGGTTTGGAAAGTCTGAATCAGAGAAAAGTGACGCTCCAAAGAGCTGAACCAAACAGGAAGTCAGTTTGAAACAGTGAATTCAAAAACACATTAAATAGTGAAATAAAAAACTCAGAGACTTTTTTACTGATTGTAGATGCAGATCAATATTTTCAGAAAATGTCAGCGACTTCAGGACGGATGGGAAATAAAGGATGTTCAGAATATTTTCACTTTGCTGAACCAAAAATATCACGTCTTTGAGAGGTAAATATTTCAGTCTAAACACAGCAAGGCTTCAGAAAAGTGAAGATAAACCAGAAAATTCAGATTTTCACACAAAGATTCAAAAACAAAATTCAAAGTAACAGAGCTGGACTTTCATCAGAGTCAGAAACTAAACTCTGAGTTTTTTCTAGTCCCTGATCTTGTCCTGAACAAAAGTTTGAATGGTTCTCGTCTGACAAATCTCCCCCTGCTTCTGTTTTCTGTCTGAATGTTCTTCTCACTGTGAACTCTACAAAGAGTTTTCTTCTTGGGTTCAGGTTTTAATTCACTGGAGCTCAGCAGTGACCTAACTGGAGTCAATCAAATAATCCACTGATGCAGAAAATCTACTCTGGACTGAAGGTGTTCAGTCTGGGTCAGTGTTTCAGTGCTGAGTCAGCAGTTTAGTGTCATCATCACAAACAAATCATGATCATGTTTGAATGGAGGAGAAAAGTCTGACCTCAGAGTCTCCAGTTTACAGTTTGGACTCTGCAGAAAGTCACACAGCAGCTTCACTCCTGAATCCTGCAGATCGTTGTTACTCAGGTCCAGATTACTCAGATGGGAGGGGTTGGACTTCAGAGCTGAGGCCAGAGAAGAACAGCTGATCTCTGACAAACTGCAGCCAAACAACCTAAATAAAGAGGAAATAATGAGATTTTAGACAAACATGATCCAGTTTGAAATTTGATGTTTTTTTTAAAGGGGACCTGCCATCAAAACTTCATTCCCATTTTTATCATTTTTACATAATCCTTGATGTCCTCTGATCATGTCTGCAACATAATTTTAGCTGAAAAGTTGTTTGATGGTTTGTTTCAAACCATTTTAGTATGCCTTAAAAAACCTTACAGGACAACTAACTGCCTTTGGCTCATTAACATTTATGTTAATGAGCTTTGCTCTGATTGGATCGCTGCTGTGAAACCTGTTGTGCCCTGATTGGCTCAGCAGTGGAGGTTCTGATGCCGGTTTTGCTGATGTGTGCTAAAGGCTAAAAATGGCAGGTATTAAACCATATATTTTTGACCCTGAGTCCGAGTCCGAAGAGGAGGTGGAAGTTGAAGAAGAAGCCGGAGATCTCCAGCCGTGTTTTCTCCTTCATTCTGTCCAGCTTTAAGTTCATGTTCCCCGCAGTGAACCCAAGGAAACACCGGTCCTTTGGAAGAGACCCATAGTGGATACAGTGGTAGCTGCGTCTCGCTCTGGCTGGAGAGTTATGATGACTGTGACTGGGTACGAGAACGAGAGGAGTGGCCTCGCAAAAAACCAAACCGAAATAACTTCGGAGTATGAATCAGCCCTATCAGCAATCACCCCCACAACCCACCGGGCCGATTAAACGCAGCTACATCCCCCACGCTGACCGCGGACGTCCTGGGCACGGCTCACAGAGGACGCGCTCGTGACTAATAATGAGCAAAGTCAGCTTGATGTCAGAATGACCTGCTTTTTCAACTGGCCTGGTTTACCCATTTCTTTATTTTAAACCTTTACAGAATGAAAACGACGTAACGGTTTATTTTCACATTTACAACACAAGACGAACATAATATGGACCTTATCTGACACAAAAACACACAAAATTACATTTTTGATGGCAGGTCCCCTTTAAATCTGGAAAGTCTGAATCACAGAAAAGTGACGCTCCAAAGAGCTGAACCAAACAGGAAGTCAGTTTGAAACAGTGAATTCAAAAACACATTAAATAGTGAAATAAAAAACTCAGAGACTTTTTTACTGATTGTAGATGCAGATCAATATTTTCAGAAAATGTCAGCGACTTCAGGACGGATGGGAAATAAAGGATGTTCAGAATATTTTCACTTTGCTGAACCAAAAATATCACGTCTTTGAGAGGTAAATATTTCAGTCTAAACACAGCAAGGCTTCAGAAACGTGCAGATAAACCAGAAAATTCAGATTTTCACACAAAGATTCAGAAACAAAATTCAAAGTAACAGAGCTGGACTTTCATCAGAGTCAGAAACTAAACTCTGAGTTTTTTCTAGTCCCTGATCTTGTCCTGAACTAAAGTTTGAATGGTTCTCGTCTGACAAATCTCCCCCTGCTTCTGTTTTCTGTCTGAATGTGCTTCTCACTGTGAACTCTACAAAGAGTTTTCTTCTTGGGTTCAGGTTTTAATTCACTGGAGCTCAGCAGTGATCGAACTGGAGTCAATCAAATAATCCACTGACGCAGAAAATCTACTCTGGACTGAAGGTGTTCAGTCTGGGTCAGTATTTCAGTCCTGAGTCAGCAGTTTAGTGTCATCATCACAAACAAATCATGATCATGTTTGAATGGAGGTAAAAAGTCTCACTCTAGAGTCTCCAGTTTACAGTTTGGTTCCTGCACAAATTCACACAGCAGCTTCACTCCTGAATCCTGCAGATCGTTTCCACTCAGGCTCAGATGTCTCAGATGGGAGGGGTTGGACTTCAGAGCTGAGGCCAGAGAGGAACAGCTGATCTCTGTCAAACTGCAGCTCCTCAGTCTGAAAAAAGGAAAGAGAATGAAGATAAAAATAATTAATAATCAAACTTCAGGCGTTCAGGTTTAAAATATGGAGCTTAGAGAACTCCAACAGGAGACCTTTGGACCAGATCCAGTCTGTCAGAGCTCATGATCTGGTCTGCTCTGACCCTCCATGTAAAATAACAGACAAGACATCAAATGTGATGGAGCACTGGTTTGGATTAGAGGTTCAGGTGATCAGAAGGTGGAGTCCTTGTTGCAGCAGTTGCTGGTTGGTCTCCCATGATCCTTTGCTGTAAGTCCTCCCTCACTCTCTACTCCTGGTTTCCTGTTCCTCTTCAGCGCTCGGATCAATCAAAGTCTTCAAAATGAACTTGAACTGTGACATGGAGGAAACAGGAGGATCTTTGTCTGCCTTCATCCCTCACTGTACACTGATCTTCAACAAGAACACTCAACCCAGAATAACAGACTGTGTTGTCTCTACTGTCAGAACTGGACCGGACCAGCCAGCAATCCTCCAGATCTGAGTTCATGGAAGTCAGAGACAAACCAGAAATACTCTCAACCAAGAAGAGCTCAGAGAGAGTCACCCAGGACACTGAGCCCACCTCCCTCAACCAGGCTGGTCTCAAGAGTTTGTATTGAGCAGATCCAGCCCATGTGAAGCTGAACCTGAATGTGCTCTCAGACTGTAACATCAGCGCTCTGCCAAACAGAGAATGGATGAGACTCTGATGAGACAGGTCAGCTGACTCTGTCTGCAACAACATCACCTTTACTGCTTTACTCTTCTCCCTCACCTTCATCAGGATCAACAAGGTCAGACAGCAGACAGATCCACTCTTCCTCTCACTTTGTCATTGATTCACTGATGGCTGAGTTCACTCACATTTCATTTAGTCCACTCTCTAATCGGGTTTTACTGCAGGAACCTTTCAAACCATATGAGCAGTTATTGAGCTGCAGAAAAGAGGCAGTGGAGCCAAAACAGGAACCTAATCAATCTGATCATTAATATTGATCAGGAGAAAAATCTAAATGGTTCAAATAATGTTGAGAAGAAGAAAATCTGAGAGTTTGGTTCTTTAACTTCTTTGGTTCAATCATAAAAGTGACGAAGAAAACTTTGTTTTTGTGACTTCAGTCATCACAGCAAAGAGACGAAGAGGAACATCTCTGTGTGTCTGTGTCTGTGTGTCTGTGTTTGTCTGTCTGTGTTTGTCTGTCTGTGTTTGTGTGTCTGTCTTTCTCTGTCTGTGTCTGTGTGTCTGTGTTTGTGTGTCTGTGTCTCTGTCTGTGTTTGTGTGTCTGTGTTTGTGTGTCTGTGTTTGTGTGTCTGTGTCTCTGTCTGTGTTTGTGTGTCTGTGTCTCTGTCTGTCTGTGTTTGTGTGTCTGTGTTTGTGTGTCTGTGTCTCTGTCTGTGTTTGTGTGTCTGTGTCTCTGTCTGTGTTTGTGTGTCTGTGTGTGTCTGTGTTTCTCTGTCTGTCTCTCTGTCTGTGTCTCTGTCTGTGTTTGTGTGTCTGTCTGTGTGTCTGTGTTTCTCTGTCTGTTTCTCTGTCTGTGTATCTCTGTCTGTATTTGTGTGTCTGTCTGTGTCTGTGTTTGTGTGTCTCTGTCTGTGTCTCTCTCTGTCTGTGTCTCTCTCTGTCTGTGTTTGTGTGTCTGTGTTTGTGTGTCTGTGTCTCTGTCTGTGTTTGTGTGTCTGTGTCTCTGTCTGTGTTTGTGTGTCTGTGTTTCTCTGTCTGTCTCTCTGTCTGTGTCTCTGTCTGTGTTTGTGTGTCTGTCTGTGTGTCTGTGTTTCTCTGTCTGTTTCTCTGTCTGTGTATCTCTGTCTGTATTTGTGTGTCTGTCTGTGTCTGTGTTTGTGTGTCTCTGTCTGTGTCTCTCTCTGTCTGTGTCTCTCTCTGTCTGTGTTTGTGTGTCTCTGTCTGTGTCTCTCTGTCTGTCTCTTTGTCTGTGTCTCTCTGTCTGTCAGTGTAAATTCAGGCGTCTGTGTTTCTCACTGTCAGAGCAGATCTTTCTCGTTTCCTCCTCATGAAAACTCAAACCTCATGTTCTGACCGATTAAACTCATTTGATGAAAAAGTGGATTTTTTTCAGATTTGGTTTGTTTGGTGTTTTTTTGTGACTCTGAATTTATGAAGCATCATTATTACTTTAATAACTGTGATGAAAACAATGATGCTAACTGAAGAAACAACAACAAGGAAACTGGGAGGACAAGTTTAGTCCATGACTTTATCCTCATGATTGTAACGTGTCAAAAAGACTAATAAACACCTGTCACACTCCTGTCTGATATCAGTATGATATGGTTGTAATTCATGAATATTAACTCATGAATATGTTCAAAATGTCTCTGAAATTAAAAGACTAAAACTCCAAATCTAAAAGTTTATTTAAAAAAACAGCTGTCACATTATCATGACAAACTAAATTCAGTTTCAACTATTTAAAGTTTGTGTGGAAACATCAAAATCACAAAAACCATCAAATCTAAAGAGATGAGGGAAAACTCTGGGACTGCTGATCTGGTTGATTAAAGGGACGCACAGACGTCATGAAGCCTGATCTAATGTCTGCCACCGCTGTCTTTGTCTCAGGAGGTTAGGTTGAATTCACTCCAGCATGTCCTCTAGACATGAAAACATCATCAACATGAGTCAACTCTGCATGAGCGGTGGACACCTGAATTTTCCAACCACTTCAAAGTTTGTATCCTGGACTGTTTGGATGAAATCTCTGCTAACAGCTGATTGTTGTTGTTGTTGTAACTAAAGCAGCATGTTGTGAGGATGTGCTCACAGGGTCTGGTCTGTGCTGAGGAGTTATACAGAGGGTTGAAATGACGGAGCTCTGACAGCGAGGTTTGTGACTGAAGCTGCTGACTGATGGGACTTTAACACACCTTTGTTGTTGACAAAGTTTCCTGTATGAAAAAGATGAGCTGTGTTCCTGAGCTGCATGGATAGTGAGTTCACTGCATCCTTGAACATTTGACTGATTTAGAGACCGAGGAAGTAAACCCGTCAACATCACTGCAGTGATCATCTGAACCATTTATAAAAAATCATCAACATTCAATCAACAAAATAACTCACAGTTTTCCTCCATCTGTATCTGACTGATGATTCAATAAAAAAAAACTATGAATTTATGTGAGAAAGAAGAAAGTTCTGGAAATATTAAAGAATTCTATGAACATTTGAATTAAAAAAACTGAATAAACATAAAAATCCACAACAGAAACAGACAAAGACTAAACTTACTTCAGAGTCTCCAGTTTACAGTTTGGACTCTGCAGAGAGTCACACAGCAGCTTCACTCCTGAACCCTTCAGATTGTTGTAACTCAGGTCCAGATGTCTCAGATGGGAGGGGTTGGACTCCAGAGCTGAGACCAGAGAAGAACAGCTGATCTCTGACAAACTGCAGTAACTCAGTCTGAAAAAAGGAAAGAGAATGAAGATAAAAATAATTAATAATCAAACTTCAGGTGTTCAGGTTTAAAATATGGAGCTTAGAGAACTCCAACAGGAGACCTTTGGACCAGATCCAGTCTGTCAGAGCTCATGATCTGGTCTGCTCTGACCCTCCACGTAAAATAACAGACATCAGATGTGATGGAGCACTGGTTTGGATTAGAGGTTCAGATGATCAGAAGGTGGAGTCCTTGTTGCAGCAGTTGCTGGTTGGACTCCCATGATCCTTTGCTGTAAGTCCTCCCTCACTCTCTACTCCTGGTTTCCTGTTCCTCTTCAGCGCTCGGATCAATCAAAGTCTTCAAAATGAACTTGAACTGTGACATGGAGGAAACAGGAGGATCTTTGTCTGCCTTCATCCCTCACTGTACACTGATCTTCAACAAGAACACTCAACCCAGAATAACAGACTGTGTTGTCTCTACTGTCAGAACTGGACCGGACCAGCCAGCAATCCTCCAGATCTGAGTTCATGGAAGTCAGAGACAAACCAGAAATACTCTCAACCAAGAAGAGCTCAGAGAGAGTCACCCAGGACACTGAGCCCACCTCCCTCAACCAGGCTGGTCTCAAGAGTTTGTATTGAGCAGATCCAGCCCATGTGAAGCTGAACCTGAATGTGCTCTCAGACTGTAACATCAGCGCTCTGCCAAACAGAGAATGGATGAGACTCTGATGAGACAGGTCAGCTGACTCTGTCTGCAACAACATCACCTTTACTGCTTTACTCTTCTCCCTCACCTTCATCAGGATCAACAAGGTCAGACAGCAGACAGATCCACTCTTCCTCTCACTTTGTCATTGATTCACTGATGGCTGAGTTCACTCACATTTCATTTAGTCCACTCTCTAATCGGGTTTTACTGCAGGAACCTTTCAAACCATATGAGCAGTTATTGAGCTGCAGAGAAGAGGCAGTGGAGCCGAAACAGGAACCTGATCAATCTGATCATTAATATTGATCAGGAGAAAAATCTAAATGGTTCAAATAATATTGAGAAGAAGAAAATCTGAGAGTTTGGTTCTTTAACTTCTTTGGTTCAATCATAAAAGTGACGAAGAAAACTTTGATTTTGTGACTTCAGTCATCACAGCAAAGAGACGAAGAGGAACATCTCTGTGTGTCTGTGTTTGTGTGTCTGTGTCTCTGTCTGTGTTTGTGTGTCTGTGTTTGTGTGTCTGTGTCTCTGTCTGTGTTTGTGTGTCTGTGTCTCTGTCTGTGTCTCTGTCTGTGTCTGTGTGTCTCTCTGTCTGTCTCTGTCTGTGTTTGTGTGTCTGTCAGTGTAAATTCAGGCGTCTGTGTTTCTCACTGTCAGAGCAGATCTTTCTCGTTTCCTCCTCATGAAAACTCAAACCTCATGTTCTGACCGATTAAACTCATTTGATGAAAAAGTGGATTTTTTTCAGATTTGGTTTGTTTGGTGTTTTTTTGTGACTCTGAATTTATGAAGCATCATTATTACTTTAATAACTGTGATGAAAACAATGATGCTAGCTGAAGAAACAACAACAAGGAAACTGGGAGCCCAAGTTTAGTCCATGACTTTATCCTCATGATTGTAACGTGTCAAAAAGACTAATAAACACCTGTCACACTCCTGTCTGATATCAGTATGATATGGTTGTAATTCATGAATATTAACTCATGAATATGTTTAAAATGTCTCTGAAATTTAAAGACTAAAACTCCAAATCTAAAAGTTTATATTTAAAAAAACAGCTGTCACATTATCATGACAAACTAAATTCAGTTTCAACAATTTAAAGTTTGTGTGGAAACATCAAAATCACAAAAACCATCAAATCTAAAGAGATGAGGGAAAACTCTGGGACTGCTGATCTGGTTGAATAAAGGGACGCACAGACGTCATGAAGCCTGATCTAATGTCTGCCACCGCTGTCTTTTTCTCAGGAGGTTTGGTTGAATTCACTCCAGCATGTCCTCTAGACATGAAAACATCATCAACATGAGTCAACTCTGCATGAGCGGTGGACACCTGAATTTTCCAACCACTTCAAAGTTTGTATCCTGGACTGTTTGGATGAAATCTCTGCTAACAGCTGATTGTTGTTGTTGTTGTAACTAAAGCAGCATGTTGTGAGGATGTGCTCACAGGGTCTGGTCTGTGCTGAGGAGTTATACAGAGGGTTGAAATGACGGAGCTCTGACAGCGAGGTTTCTGACTGAAGCTGCTGACTGATGGGACTTTAACACACCTTTGTTGTTGACAAAGTTTCCTGTATGAAAAAGATGAGCTGTGTTCCTGAGCTGCATGGATAGTGAGTTCACTGCATCCTTGAACATTTGACTGATTTAGAGACCGAGGAAGTAAACCCGTCAACATCACTGCAGTGATCATCTGAACCATTTATAAAAAATCATCAACATTCAATCAACAAAATAACTCACAGTTTTCCTCCATCTGTATCTGACTGATGATTCAATAAAAAAAAACTATGAATTTATGTGAGAAAGAAGAAAGTTCTGGAAACATTAAAGAATTCTATGAACATTTGAATTGGGTTAAAAAACTGAATAAACATAAAAATCTACAACAGAAACAGACAAAGACTAAACTTACTCCAGAGTCTCCAGTTTACAGTTTGGACTCTGCAGAAAGTCACACAGAAGCTTCACTCCTGAATCCTGCAGATTGTTTTTACTCAGGTCCAAATGTCTCAGATGGGAGGGGTTGGACTTCAGAGCTGAGACCAGAGAAGAACAGCTGATCTCTGACAAACTGCAGCGCCACAGTCTGAAAAAAGAAAAAATCATGTAACCTCTGAAGAAACTGTTCCTGCTCTTAATGATTCAATGTTCTTGAGCTCCTGAAGGTCATGGAAGAAGAACTTTTTCAGAGTTGATCTTGAGGAACTTTGTAAAATCCTCTCTAAACTTTTTGAAGATATTGAGGAATTTTTCAGAAAACTTTTCACAGAAAACTTTAGTGAGATCCTGAGAAACTCCTGTGAGAAATCTCAAAGGTTTTTTTGTAGTCCTGAATTCTTCATGAAGATGAAAACAGTCAGGAGTTTATTCAGGGGTCTGTCCGTCTGCTGTCAACAACTGCCAAACTACTCTTAAATAAACCAACAGATCATTGATCAGAGAGGTTTTTATGGACCAACTGGACAAGATGATGTTCATGTTCAACAAACTGAAGTGAAAACTGCAGAAAAATCTGGATCTGGTTTTTACATTTGAACACGACTGAGCAAAGAAGAAATTCAAGTTTTCAAGAGTTTCCAAATGAAATCTCCAGAGTTGGATTAACTTTGTTCTTCAGGTTTCAATCTGCAGCTCCTCATTTCTCTGACACTTCATTCATTCATTAGTGATCACATTAACTGTGGATCAGTTCAGTATCAGCCTTTAGTCTGTGCTGCTCCTGCCCTCTACAAGCATGTGTAATATTTGTGGGACTGATTTTCTCCTGCTTCCTTTCTACATCCATCGTTCTCCTCAAAGTCAACTCTGAAATGTCGGATTTTTCTTCCTGTGTCGAAGTTTTACAACAACAAATTCAAACTGCTCGACCAAAGTTGATGGAAAAACCACAGAGAAAAATCTAAGGCAGCAGCTGTCACATCTTATTGTTAGATCAGAAGGAAATGGTGTCTCACTTCAGAGTCTCCAGTCTGCAGTTTGGACTCTCCAGTCCTGCAGAGAGAAGCTTCACTCCTGAATCCTTCTGATCCTTTTCACTCAGGTTCAGATATCTCAGATGGGAGGGGTTGGACTTCAGAGCTGAGGCCACAACTTCACAGTGAGTCTCTGAGAGTCCACAGTTAATAAATCTGTAACAACATAAATATCAACAATATTTCATTAAAGGGTAATTTGATGTTTCTCTTCACCAAAAACAAACATGATCTTTGGTTTGACAGACGGCCTGTTTTTAACCAGACAGATACTAATATCAGGACCACAGCCATGAGAGAAGACAGGAAGTCAAAGTTTAGAAGAAAAAAAAACTGTTCAGATGTTCAAGACAAATGACTCCATGACTTATTTTAGTCCTTCTGTTCTCTAACAGTGTTGTCTTCATGTTAGTGCAGCTGGATCATTATGACTGAGTGAATTCTTGAGTTCTGGTTGGAGAAGGGGACTGAGAACCAGGTTTTTGGTCCTGGTATGTGATTGGTTAGTATCCAAAGTACCTCTTGGAGGATCAGTGCTCCTCTCAGTGTTTAATGTTGACATCCTGCTGTAATGTAAGTCTTTCCATAGACACTGACTGTTGACCAATCAGAGGACGACTCACTAAATCACAGCAGCTCCTTTTTCTCTGATTGGTTCAGATAAAATCGTTTTTTAGCAGGTTAGAGCTGGTTTGACTCTGAACATTTGAAGATTTCTTTGTTTTCACAATCAAAGTTTTTTCTTCATGTAACATTCGCTTCAGCAGCAGAAACACGTTTATAAAACCTGATGGATCCAGAGAGACCTTTAAGAGACAGAAACAAAGACCCACTGAACCTCTGTCTTTGGGAAGAGAGAGAGAGAGAGAGAGAGAGAGAGAGAGAGAGAGAGAGAGAGAGAGAGACATTAACCTCCTATCTCCACCACTGTTTTCAGACTCATGGAGCTGCTGTCCAAATACCTCCTGTGTTCTCATCATTCATATGTTCTAGTCCAGCAGATCATCTCCAGTGAGTGGTGGAAAATGATGTTAGTTTTCATGGTTGTATTGATGATGAATATTGAATGATGAACATGATGGTACAGAGACAGTTCTGCCACTGTGTAGAAAATGATCCAGTTCTATTTTCACCATCAATGCTGTCAACACCCTCATTTACAACAGATTCATCATTTCCAACCTGAAAACCAGCAGGAAGAAGCTGCAGACACCTTCTTCAAACTCAAGTTCACCACAACTGACTGAGATGTTGATCTGGACTGATACCATCATCAGAAGACCTCTGTGTGTCCTCAGATATGGTCGCTGATTTGTCCTCAAAGTTCCACTTTATTCATTACAGACACGATTCAAAACAAAGAGGTCCTCCACAATCAGGACAAGTTCTCAGGGGTCCACAGGTAGACCTCATCCTGGGCTAACAGGACTTTAGACACCAGGATCAGGTTTTTGCTAAAGAAACCCCCTCCCTGATATTTGAGTGGATTTCTATTTGAAGAAGAACATCATCAGTAACGTGGACATTAGAAGAACTACAGGGATCATTTACACTATTCTGAGAATAAAACCTGGACTTACACGGCCTTTCTGCAGTTCCTCACAGCTGGGATCAGTCTCAGTCGTCCCTGGTCTGATGTGTTATAGTTATGTAAGTTCAACTCCTCCAGAACCTCCTCTGACATCTGCAGCATGTAGGCCAGAGCAGAGCAGTGGATCTCTGAGAGTTTCTTCTCTGATCTGTTCTCTGACTTCAGGAACTCTTGGATCTCCTGATGAACTGACAGATCGTTCATCTCCATCAGACAGTGGAAGATGTTGATGCTTCTGTCAGGAGAGATATCTCTACTGTTCATCTCCTTCAGGTTCTTGATGACTCTTTGGATCATTTTTCGACTGTTGTCTGTGTGACCCAGCAGACCTCTTAAGACTCTTTGGATCATTATTTGACTGTTGTCTGTGTGACCCAGCAGACCTCCTAAGAGTCTCTGGTTTGACTCCAGAGAGAGTCCATGAAGGAAGCGAACAAACAGGTCCAGGTGACCGTTTTTACTGAGAAGAGATTTCTCCATGACACTCTTCAGGAAGTTATCCAGAGATGAGAAACAGACATCCAGGTTTTTAAAAGAATAAGGAAACATTTTGTCTTCGTCTTCATCTTCATCTTCATCTTCATCTTCATCTTCGTCTTCGTTGCCTCTTAGGAAAGTCTCCAGAGCTTCTGTGTTCCTCTTCTTTGTGAAACTGTGGATCATGTAGACTGCAGACAGAAACTCCTGAACGCTCAGATGAATGAAACAGTAAACAGTTTTCTGGAAGATCACACTCTCTCTTCTGAAGATCTCTGTACAAACTCCTGAGTACACCGAGGCCTCTGAGACATCCAGACCACACCGCTCCAGGTCTTCTTGGTAGAACATGATGTCTCCTTTCTCCAGATGTTCAAAGGCCAGCCTCCCCAGCTTCAGGAGGACTTCACTGTCAGCCTCCGTCAGCTCCTGAGGACTTGTCTCATGTCCTCCTTCATACTTCTGCTTCTTCCTCTGAGTCTGGACCAGCAGGAAGTGTGAGTACATGTCAGTCAGGGTCTTGGGCAGATCTCCTCTCGGCTCTCTCCTCATCATGTCCTCCAGAACTGTCGCAGTGATCCAGCAGAAGACCGGGATCTGACACATGATGTGGAGGCTCCTGGAGGACTTGATGTGTGAGATGATTCTTCTGGACAGATCTTCATCTGTGAACCTCTTCCTGAAGTACTCGTCCTTCTGGGCGTCAGTGAAGCCTCGTACTTCTGTTACCCTGTCCACACGTGAAGGAGGGATCTGATTGGCTGCTGCAGGTCGAGAAGTTATCCAGATGAGAGCTGAGGGGAGCAGGTTCCCCTTGATGAGGTTTGTTAACAGAACGTTGAGTGAAGACTTCTGTGTGACGTCAGACAGGACCTCAGAGTCTGTGAAATCCAGAGACAGTCTGCTTTCATCCAGACCGTCAAAGATGAACAGAAGTTTACAGACAGCCAGCGTCTCTGCTGTGACCTTCTCTAGTGTTGGATGGAAAACATGGAGCAGACTCAGAAGACTGAAGCGCTCATCTCTGATCAGGTTCAGCTCCCTGAATGAAAGCAGGACCACCAGATGGAGGTCTTGGTTCTCCAAACCCTCTGCCCAGTCCAGAGTGAACTTCTGCACTGAGAAGGTTTTTCCAACACCAGCCACGCCGTTGGTCAGAACCACTCTGATGACCTTCTCCTGTTGGTCAGGTAAGGTTTTAAAGATCTCATGACACCTGATGGGTTCGTCATGGAGGGTCTTCATCTTTGAAGCTGTCTCCAGCTGTCTCACCTCATGTTGGGTGTTCACCTCTTCACTCAGTCCCTCTGTGATGTAGAGCTCAGTGAAGATCCTGTTGAGGAGGGTTTGACTACTTCCTGTTTCATCACTTCCTTCATTCACACGTTCACATGTCCTCTTCAGACTGATCTTATGTTCATCTAAAACCTCCTGCAGACCGCCATCTTCTGAAAGAGAAGAACAATAAAATGAACCAAACTTCTCAACACTAATAAACACACAGTTGTATTTATTTAACCTGTTTTTGCTCTTTGAGAGACAGCACTCCAAAGTTTTTGTTGTAAATATGTTTGATACTCTTCAAATTTCTGAGTTCAAATGAAAAATCTGTTCATGAAGATTTTCTGTTTTTTAAAACTCAAAAAATCTTATTTTGTTTTTGTGTTTTTCTTTATCTTAAAATGTTAAAACACTCTTTTAACAGACAGTAAACTGTCAATGACAGACAGATACTGAAAGTTCAAAGTGTTCTGGAAAAATGTGTTAAAACACTCAAAGGACATTTTCTGTTGATTTTATGGTTAAAATAAACAAAATAATTCAAGCAGAAATTGTGTAATTTAGGGTTTAAAGGACAGATGTTCAGACTTACTTCCATCAGAGCTGGACTGACTGTCTGTCTGAGAGACAAGAACTGTTCTGGTTCTTTTTCCACACTGGGGACAGGAGGTGTGTCCTGAAGAAGTCGACTGGTCCCTGAATGAGGCGAGGCACTGTCTGCAGAACCGGTGTCCACAGAGGGTAGAGACTGGATCCTTCAGGACGTCCTGACATAAAGAACATCTGGACAGCTGCTCCTCCACAGAGTCACATCTCTGTGTCTCTCTGTGGAAATAAAGAACATTTATTTTCTTTATTATTTCATGTTTGAAGATTCAGAATAAGAAACATTTATTAAACCAGAGTTTCTCTTTTCTCGAACATAAAACAGTAAAATATTCAGCTGCTGCTGCCTCAAAGTGTGGAGACAGGAGAAAAAACTCAACTGTGATTTTTGAAGGTCGAGAGATTTTCTCTGACAGTTTCAAACATTTTTTAACAATCAGATCTAAAGGTCTAATAACAGACAGATGCTCTGAATGAGTTTTTATTTCTCAGGATTTATTTCTTCTTTGGTCTTCTGGTATTTTCTGACCCACAGACTGTTTTCTGGGGTCTATACACCACAGTCCAAAGACTAACAGGCTCAAAACGTCCCAAACACAGGAACCAAATCAGAAAATACAGAGGTCAGGATCCTTTTCTAATGCTGTTTTATACCACCTTCATTTTTATCAACATCAGGAATAATAAGTAAATCTGAGCTCAGTGACTTTTTCTTTACCAGACCTTTATTCAGGTTGGAGGTTAAAGAGGAAAATCAGCGTTTTCAGAACAGAGGAGAAAACAGAGGGGTCAGGATTTAAAGTTCAGATTTTGAAACATCAGCTGTTGTTGTTTGAGAGTTTGGAGGGTGAAAAGTGTTTCTCTTACTGTGAATCTGAGGGTCCTGGTTCTTCACTGAAGAATACACGAAGATCTTTAGACCGGTCACTCTTCATAGACAGACAGTCGGACATGACAGACTCTGCTCTGCCCTCCTCTTCCTCGATACAATCACTCATCTTCTCAATCTTGTGTTCTGTAAATTTATGGAAGATGAAACCGAGTTCTACAACCTGAGGACAAAGTAGACAAACAGGTGAGACACAAACAGGAAGAGAGAGTTTCAAAATAAAAGAGGAATCAGAAAGGAAGTAGAGAGTCTGAAAACAGCTTCATCCCCCTCTTTAAGAGTTATACAGGTTTAATCATAGATATATGTATATAAACCTTTCTTATATATGTCTATGGGTTTAATATCTGAACTCTTCTGATGTCTCCCCACCCTGCAGGGCCTCTCTCTGATCCTTGTCTGATTCATGGTCCAAACAAAATCAGCTGTGAGGTCCCTGAACTCTCAGAAAAACTTAAGGAACTGGATTAAAGTTGAAATGAGAGGCTAAAAAGATTCAGATTTTAGTTTTTACCACAAAGACAAGTCTGAACAAAGAGGAGGAAGAACTGCACGTACACAGTTTCTGTATGAAGAACTGATCCAGCTCTTTGTCTGCTCAGGTTTCTTTGTTTTACAGTTTTTAAGTGTTTTAGTCAGTAAATCATTTTTCATTAACGGATAAAACAGATAAAGAGTTTGACATTAAAACTAAAACAGAGTAAACACTCACCCTGTCTCCTCGTCCTCTCCTCTCTCTTCGTTTCTCAAAATGGAGTCTGTTTTTCAGCTCACATACTTTCACTTTCACTCTGACTGTTTTCACTGAAACCTAAACCACCAGATCACAGATTCTTCTCCTCATTTACTGACAGTTTTTCATCATCTTTTAAGTTCAGTATTCTTGACAAACATCTTCCTCTCCTGAGTCTAAATTAAAAGTTCACTAAAACAGGAACTTGTTTGTTTGGTTGAGTCTCAGTTTATTGTTAATGCAGCAGCTCCACCTGCTGGTCAAACCAACAAACTACAGATGAGCGCTCCTCTCCTCATCCCCCAATAAATGTGAAGATTTGGTTGAACAGGTTTTACTTGTTTTTTTTACTTGAGGCCGACACACACAAGGCAGTTATATCAACTCATTTATATATAAAACATTTAATTATTCCATGTGTGTTATATTAGTAATATTTCTATGACAGGGATAACTATAACAACATATAACAATAACATAAATGTATTTATTTTCTATCTAAATTTCTGCCTCATGTTTCCATTTTAGATGTTTTTAACAAACCAAACAGTTTGGAAATCATGAACAACTGAAGTTATGTTGAAAAGAAAGAGCATTCCTGCCTCTTTAACTGATGTAAAACTACTGGATCAACTTTGTAATATGTACTTGGTCTAACTCACACTTAATAAACCAAAATAAACCGTTTTCGCCACCAGAAAGTGTCCGTAAGCAGAGTGAAACACGTTTAGCTGTAATGTGAACCAAGTTTTACCGTCAAAAAGGAAGTAGAGGAAGATGAAACAGCGGTATGAGGAGAAAAGCTGTCAGTTTGTTGCTGTCAAGCTAACTCAGAGTGTGATGGAGTTTGGCAGCAACAGACTGACAGCTTTTCTTGTCCATTTTCAGCTCAGAAACCGGTACATAAAGTTCAGCTGCCGTTCAGCCATCAAAACAGCAGCAGAGTGAGACGTCTTCCTTTTCCTCTTAGCACTGTCATTACTCATCGGCGCCCTCCGGTGGCCAAAACTGTAACTGCATATGGATTAATGAAGATTGGGATGAGACGCTAAAGAGCAGGAGTCAGAGTGACATTTCTGCAGCTGTTTGAGGACGAACCGTGAAGAGAGGCTGATTATGGCGACGGAAAAACAAAAGATGGACAATCGAGAAACAAACTAAACTCTGTCTGAACAAACACAGAATCTCTTTGATAGTTTTAGATGGAGAAGAAGAAGAAGAAGAAGAAGATGGGTTTGAGGCAGTCCACTAGATGGCGCCAACGTGAAACTCTGTTCAGATCAGCAGACTTTAATAGTGAACGATTTTCATCTATTTTTGTATTTAATTCTATTTTCTTCTTCTTCTTCTTCTTCTTCTTCTTCTTCTTCTTCTTCTTCGGTTTTGGCAGAGGGGAGAAGCAAGGGTGATACCAAGTGACAAAACAAAGAGAGGCGCCACCGTGTGGCATCAACTGGAAATGCTCTGTTCTACTCTGTTAGAGAAAGGGGAGAAGAAAGGAGGACAACTCAGATATAAAGGAAAAGAAACCGACAGGAAGAGGGAGGTTAGGATTAAAATACATTAAATTCACTAAAAAGGGTCCATGGACAAACATAAAAACACACAGGTTTAATTTTTGTAATAATAATACACGTTTAACCCTGTTACACCTACTTATTTCTAATTAAGTATATTAGACAGTATAGAAGGTTTAGAGGGAGTTTTCTCCTTATTACTCAATTTCTGCGTTTATCAAACGTAATCTTTATCCAAAATTAAAACATAACAGTTTTTGATTTTGCTTGATGTTTGAGTTTATAGACGCCAGACCCAGTCTCCATTAATAAGACACAAACACTGCCCCCTACAGGTCAATGTTCGAACAGAGACATTACTCAAAAAATAAATATTAAAGTAAAATAAAATAAATAAATAAACAGGACCTGAGGCAGTGAGGCGTAGAAAAACCATAAAAACAGCATTACACATTTATTTCTATCAACCATAAAGTAGAAGTCAGAGGGCCTCTACATGTCATTTCTTTAAAATGTCTCCCTTTTTTATTTTCTTAGCTCCATATTTACCCTCAGCTCGAAGTATAGATCATGTAAGTGAGCCACTAAGGTTTTTACTTTTAATTTAATTATTTCTATTGATCATTCAGTTATTTTACATTAACTATAATAATCTACCGGACAGTCAGCGCTCATGTCGGCCTCATAGATCATGGATGTTTGCTGCCCTCCTGTGGACATGTCGCGTTACTACAACTCTTACATGTTCCTGATTTTATTTTGGTGGGTTTTGTCTCTCCTCTCAGACAGTTTCCACTTTTACTCCCAGGACTTTTTATTCCCACCATTTAAAAACTCTCTTCTTGCAGATGTGACCCGACCAAAATACCCCATCTGTCTGTTCTGTCCCCAAACTGAAGATGATCATGTGCAATGTTACAGAGGGAAATATATGTATAGGGATTAAAGATTATATCACCACCAACAGGACAGTTTGTCTTCTTTAAACAAGCGGAGACAGAAAGTGAAACAGACACGTCTTTATTTGCTTTAACTGCATCAGTTGTAGATATAATAATAATAATAAGAGTAATGATCCCACAGCCTAAAGAAACAAACCAACTAAAAAATCTAAAGTACATCCTGATGAGACAAAAGCACAAAAACTCCTCCCACATTTTCCTCCCTGAGCATGCCGTGAAACACAAGCTCGACTTCATGCAGTTACATTCACGTTCATGTGGTCTACAATCGTCCTGATCGCTCCAAACAGCCACAAACAAACGACAAAGGAAGAAGCTGGAACCAGGCTCAGAGACGGACTTCAGGGGCCCACAGTCTGCTGCCTGAAGAGTCGGCGCTCTGACATGGATCATTCAGGAACATGCTAAAGAAAGCAGCACAGACTTGAATACAGCTGTGGTTAAAGGGTAAAGTACAATCTTCTGTTAAATATCTGGATACTGTGGGACTCTGGGATTCAGGGGATTTTAAAGGCACAGGGTGTGGCAGAGTGACAGACAGACTCTTCTCTGATTGGTCGATATCATTTCACCTGCTGTCTGTCTTTGTAAGTTTCTGATTGGCTGATCAGGAGCTTTAGAGCGTGACATCTCTGGGACGCCTGATTGGCTGGTCAGTGTCCCTGCAGGACGTCAGAAAAGCGTCTCCCTCCACAGCAGCTGTGAACTCTTTAAAGTTAAGACTTTTTTTTTTAAAACTGGGACTTTTTTCTTCAGGAAGATTCAAATGATCCTTTAGCGGTGATTGTCTCCCTAAGAGTGAGGGGTCAACATGAAAATAGGACAAAGTTTCAGAGTGTTAGCGCTGAAGTGAAAGAAGCGGGGACCAGACTCACTGCAGGTCAGATTTAGTGACTCTAACTCACCTCCGTCTGCAACCAGGTGAGAACTGACAGACTTGGATCGATTGTTTCTTACGCTACAAATAAAGCTACACCTGCTTAGCTGAGCAGGAAGCCTGGAAACAGCTCACCTGACTCTGTGCCGAAGGTCAAACTGATCCGACCCTCCAACTGTGAAACCAGAGTTTCAGTCGGATGGACTCTGAAAAAACAACCTTCACAGAGTTTTAAAGCAGCTTCGGTTCTCCACGTTTCCGCTCTCTGAGCCAAACTAACCGCAGACACTTTCAGAGCGCGCTGTCCTTTTTCCTGTTTCAGTCTAAACAACAAAGTCACTAATCCTTCCTTTAATGTTTGACATTCAAACAAACACTGAAAGAAAATAAAACTGCAACCTAAAGATGGATGTGAGCTCCTGACAAAGATCGAACTCCACAAATCTGACTCCAAACTTTCAGCTAAACTTCTCGTCTCCATCTCTCAGGGCCTCGTTTGAAAATCATGACTGATGAATCCGACCACGACCAGGAGGGTCCGCTTCGTTTGTTCTCATCAGACATTTTCCACTAAAATCAAATGAGAGACATCGAACATGTTCTTTCAGAAATCTACATTCAGCCGGTTGGACAGGTTTCTACATCTCATGTCAGTATTTACACCGTGTGACGTTTTGCTGCTCTGAGCGCTGACAGTCTGTGGTGATGGCCTCCCGTTAGTGCTCCAACAGGAGGGGCGGGGCTTGTGGTTTCCAGGTGAGGCGATGGGCATGCGTTGAGTCAGGTAGGGTCAGTCTGAACAAAGAAAAGGACAGTTTAGACGTCTTTACAACACGGATGAAGGAGGTTCAGATCAGACTCTGAGAAAACACCGGACCCTCACAACGGACCCTCACGGACCCTCACAGACTTGCCTCTGCGTGTTAGTTGTGTGTGTAGACTCCTCCGGCCCTGATGGAGCTGCAGACGGGCGATGACAGCGGGTGGTGTCCTGGTCGGATCGGCTTTGCTGCAGCACAAAGAGAACAAAGAGGATTTGATGGAGTCCTTCAGGTTCCTGTACCTTCTGAATCACCAACATGAACCTGCAGCTCACCGATCTGAGCCGAGTAGCCCCTCCTCGCCATGTTTTTGGCCCTCACGGCCTCTTTGATGCGGTCCACCTCCTGCTGGTAGCGTTTGCGGTCTCTCATGGCGTTCTCCTTGGCCTCCTTCAGGGCGTTCTCCAGAGCTTTGACCCGCCCAGCTGTGGCTCGCAGACGCTTCTCCAGTTTGGGGAGCTCGCAGCGGAGGTCAGCGTTGTCTCGGACCAGCTGGAGAGCAGAGTTCGGGTTTTTAGTTGAGGACCAGATCTTGCATGCATACAGGTTCCTGCTCATTATTCAGCAGGTCCTGCTCCTGTTGGAGGTCTTTACCTGCTTGTGGACTTTGGTGAGCTGTTCCAGGTTGTTCTCCAGGAAGGAGATCTTCTGTTTCTGGGCCACGTTTCCAAGTCCCTCCTCACAGTCCAGCTCTGCGCTCTGAAAACACACACAGAGAAAAACCGGGTCAGACTCAGAGAAGCGACCACCACAAACACCAGGCGGAGGGGGCGTGTACCTTCTTGACGCGCGTGGTGAGGTCCTGGACAAAGAGTTTGCGGAGGTTGTGGAGAGTCTGCAGCTCTTTGGCCTGAAACAGAGAAGGTCAAAGGAGGTCAAAGGAGGTCTCACATGGAGGTCAGAGTTTGGAGAAGTTAGTTTAAAACCAGGTCGATGGTGAAGCTGACAGAGATCCAGATGATTGTTTGGTTCTTCTGTGACCTGGACACTCAGCTGAGAGTCCTCAGGGATCAGTCTGACTGGGTCTGATACTCACCACGGTCTCCTCCAGGCCCTTCAGGTCCTCTCGAGCCTGCTCCCTCTGCTCATTCAGCAGTCTGAACACAAAGCACAGCATTCACTGAAACCAGTCAGTCAGAATCAGTCAGTAAGAAGTGTGTCCCTCTGGGGTACCTACATGAGTTTCTGCAGCTTGGCGTCCTTCTCCTGCTCTTCGGTCTTCAGTTTCTCGTAGTCGGACATGAGTCTCTCCTGCTCCAGCAGCAGACCCTGGTTCAGACTGAGAGGAGGAGATCAGTGTGGCTCTAGATAACATAGATCTATGATGATGTGAGGAGGAGGAGGAGGAGGAGGAGGAGTGTGTTTGCTCACTCGGTCAGCTCGTCCAGCATCCTCTGCTTGTCTTCGATCTCGTCTCGGAGGCGGCTGAGCTGCTTCTGGTGAGCCTCGCGGTGGTTCTCCAGCTGCTCCTCCAGAGTTTTCTGCCGGTCAGACACACGCTGGTTGATTCATGTTTTTCTTTTATCAGCTGCTGTGATTATTTCCCTCCTCCTCCTCCTCACCTTGATGTCCTCGTCTCCATCATGTCTGCCGATGTCCTCCTTCTCCTTCTCCTCTCCTGACATCTCGTGTCTCTTCTCTGAGGAGGAACGATGTCATGTTACCAACATCTTTATCGTCACAGAACATGAATATGAGCGTGCTGTCATAAACCGACCATGAGCCTGCAGTTTGGCGAGCTCCTCGGTCAGAGCGTCCTGACTCTCCTCCAGCTGCCTCTTCTTCTGCTCCATGTTCTGCATGTAGTCGGTCAGAGACTTGATCTTGGCCTGGTGCTGCAGGAGGAAACGGCGTGTTTTTCAGCTGAACTTTGACCGAAGCGTCCGAACCTTTGTCTGATCGTTACCTGGGAAATGAGCAGCTGACACGACGCCAGCTCCTTCTCATTGGCCTGGATCTTGCGGTGGGCGTCGGCCTGCGTGCTCTCCAGCTGTTTGCTGCGGTTCACCAGAGACTTCACCTCTGACTTCATCTTACTGATGTAGAGCCGAGCCACGGTGAACTCCTCCTCCACCGCAGAGCCGTTCCCCTTCGACTCTGAGGACTGAGGGGGGTCAGAGGGGGAGGAGGTGTGTGTACAGGTTTAACCGTGTGTGTGTACAGGTTTTACCGTGTGTGTGTGTGTGTGTGCGTGTGTGCGTGTTCTCACCGCTGCAGCCTTCACGTCGCTGGTGCCGATGATGGCCCCGATGTCGCTGAGGTCTCGCAGCAGCAGGTTCAGGACTTCAGCGGCTCTCTTCCTCTGCAGACCGTTCAGCTCCTGCAGCTGACTCAGCTCCCTCTGCACAGCTGACAGCAGCGCCTGTTCACACACACACACACACACACACACACACACACACACACACACACACACACACACACACACACACACACACACACGTAAAGAAAACTGGCTAACATTCAGACTCCTCCTCCTCCTCCTCCTGATGTTTGGGGTTGAAGGCCTCCCTCTCACCGTCTTGTGCTGCAGCTCCTCCGTCAGCTGCAGGTTGGCCTGGTCTCTCTCCTCCACCTCTTGGCTCTTCTGGTCGTAGTTGACAGCCAGCTCCTCCAGCGCCTGCAGCACCTCCTTCACCTCCTCCTTGGCCAGCTCGTTCTCCGTCTGCAGCCGGCACAGCTCCTCCTGGATCTTCTCGTAGTCGCGCCGCGTCGATGCGAGCAGCTGGAGGAGAAACGCGGCGTCAGTAAATACATGAACCGAGGGTGGATCAGATTCAGGGGCGGCGACACCAACCTCCTCCTGGTCCAGCATCTGCTCCTTCAGTTTCTCTGCCAGCTGACTGTGTTGGTTGATCTCATCATCCTGTGACGGAAACATTTTCAGCAGAGATCAGAGATTTGAAGATACTCTCATGTGTCTTTATTTGAACAAACGCCATCGTCTCACTTTGTCATCCAGCTGCTTGTACAGGTTGGTGATGTCCTCCTCGTACTTGCTCCTCTCCTCTCCGCTGACAGAGACGCCTCCTCCGGCCGGCGGCAGGTTGTCGATGACGGGGGTGTTGTCGTTCTGCTCGATGCTCTTCTGATCTTTGGCGTTCAGCTGCTCCTCCTCGGGGACGTTCTCACCTGAAAGACACATTTGACCCGTCAGCTGACACTTGAGTTTGGAGTCCAGATGATATTCCTGTCCAGATTAAAGCTCCCGGAGTGACTCTTGCAGATTGAGACGGGAGAGAAAAGGTAAAGAGAGCTGCGGCTCGGCGTGAAGCCAGCAGCTGACTCACAGCAGAAACACGGCGTCAGCAGAAAGTGTATTTCAGCGAGCGTCTTTGCTCACTGCTGCTGAGCTTATCTGCAGCTCAGGAGGAGAAAAAAAACAAAAGAGAAATAAAAAAGAAAGAGAGAGGAGAGGAGAGGAGAGGAGAGGTTTGATTTCAACGTGACAGAGATGAAGAAAACACGGCGAGAGGAAACATCAAACATCTGTGTCCGTCTTTGGTCGAAGATGATCATCTTAAATCACCAACATCGAGCACATTTCCAACCATGAGTCCTGATTTTAGGATCAGTCATGGAGGTTCAGGGAGCCGTGACATGGACTCGGACTCGGACCCTGACCCCTCACTCCTCTGCTCTGAGTTTTTTTGTCTCACCGTTCCTCCAGCGGTTCAGCTCGGCCTCCAGCCTCTGGATGATGTTCTTCAGGCTCTTGTTCTTCTCTTTCTCCTTCTCAAATTTCTTCTTCCACTCCTCGGCCGTCAGCTCCAGGTTCACCGACACCGTGTTCTTGATGGTCTTGGCCCTGCAGAGTGAAGATAGTCTTGATGTCAGGAAGATCATCTCACAGCTACAGAGTGAAAATCAAAAGATTTTAACGTTGAGTTTGTGGATAAATGAGAAGCTTTAACTGTGGAGTAAAACAGCAGACAGATTCTCCGTAAACAAACATTTAAACTCTTGAATCTTTTCTAAATTATTCCATATCATACGACCAAAGTGAACATAAAACAAGGACCCAGGAAGTCGAGGATAACTGGAAATAAACCAGTAAAGAGATCTAAAGGTTATGTGAGCAGTTTGACAAAATGAAGGTCTGGATTTTCTGCAGGATCAGATATCAGACTAATGAAAGAGGAGCAGAAGGATCCAGCACCTTTAGAGGAGCATGCATGTTTGAAAAGGAGTTCTGCAGGACCTCCATGAACCGGTCTAGAGCTATAACGGATAGAATGACACTCAGAATGATGTAATCTATGAAGCTTTTCCGCCGTCTCTCCTCTCACTCTTCATCTCCTCTCAGCAGATGGCTGCACAGTGATCAGTCTCTCCTGACTCGCTGATTCTGCTGCTCGGAGGTTTATTACAGACTGTAAGCACTTTGAGACTCGGAGGAGACGGTGGTATTTTTCTGCTGGATTTTTCCACAACGATCTGGTCACACAAATGTAGACCACGAAGAAGAAAAGAGGAGGATCTGAAAACAGGAGAGGTGTGGAAATAACCGCTCTTCTGTAGAAGGACCTGTAAACAGAAATCAACACGGATGCACAGTGGGAAACCTGACGCCATCTGTTGTCCAGTTTTAGTACTTCCGTCAGCTCCAGTCTGAATGAGTCACCTTCCTCCTCCTCCTCCTCCTCCTCCTCATCATCCAGATATCACAGCCAACGTCTCTTCAAACTAGGCCTGTCGCGATAATCAATAAATCGCCTTATCGCTCGATAAATAAAAACGAGGTCGGTCATTTTGCCAGCCGCGATAATTGACGTGCGTTTGTTTTCCTCCTCTCTCGCTACCAAACACGCTGGATGAGAGAAGAGGTCTCACTCTGCGCATTTTTCTCGGCACCTGGGGGCGTTGGCTCTATAGCGGAATGAACGGAGTTAGTGAACCCTCCTGTCAGTCATTCAGTGTCTTTGTCACGAGGGGGCTGGCGCGCACAGGCACACAGACACAGACTTTTTGGATACAGTGCTGCAAGTGAGCGTCGTGAGTGAAAAGCAAGCAAACAGAATGAACACGACAGCTTTGGTGTCGAAACCGAACGCAACAGCCCAAGTGTGGGAATATTTCGGCTTTAAACCAGTTTTGTTTTCGTCAACCACAAAACTCCACGTGTGTGCGCGCGCGTGCGTGTGTGTCTGTGTGTTGGAGGAGCACAGCAGGCTGATGAGAGCTGTCAGAGCGGACTGAAGCTGCTCCTATATGTTAAGCGTTTAACTGACTGAGTTTTGCAACTCTGTTCGTCATTTTCGTCTCGTCCCATCAACGTAAACGCACTTTCGTCTCGTCACATTTTAGTCATCTCCGACTTATGTTTAGCTCGTCAACGTTACGTCTTCGTCGTGGGGAATATTTTAGTCAACGAAAACAACCAGTGTTGTTCTCGTGTGGAAATTAAAGTTTATCACTTTTGACACGGTGTACTCGCATTATTATGCCATATAATATCATTATCTATAATTTAAAAAACGGTGTCAATAATATCGTTTATCGGCGATAATTTGTAGCACAATTATCGTCCAGCAAAATTTGTTATCGTGACAGGCCTACTTCAAACAAACCTGATCAGAACTTCACTCTGAATTTACCGCCTGTAAGAGTTTCATTCATGTGTTCATCATTCATTCATTCAGACGTCTACAGTGTGAGGTACCTCTGTCCGAACATGAGGGTGGACTTGGTCTCCGCCTCGTTGTAGACGGACGGCGAGCAGCAGATGATGATGGTGGTACGGCAGTTTCCTCCCAGAGAGTCCTGCAGGATGCGGGTCATCTTGCTGTCTCTGTAGGGCACGTGTGTTTTCTGTGAAAACGAAGGAACCACAGTCACGTATGATCGGGTGGAGGAAGTGTTCAGATCTTTGAGGTGAAGAAACCTTCTTACAGTTCCTTCTGCCAGAGCTGAGATGACGTTCCCCAGCGCCGACAGAGACTTGTTGATGTTCTTGGCCTCGTCCAGCACGGCGCCCTCCGCTCCTGTCTTACTGACCTGTGGAAAAACAGCCGACAACGACTTGACTTAACACGCGCTGAAAACAGTCACCACTCTGCAGCTGTGACCCATCTTCAGGAGGAATGACCTTCTCGCTGCCCGCCAAGTCCACCAGGTAGAGCTTCCCCGACAGCTTCTTCTCCGTCTCGATGTTCTCCTGCTTGATGTTGATGAGGAAGATGCTGTGGCTGCGAGAGCTGTGCTCGTTCATGTCTGAAAGATTCAAACAGACCTTCGTTCGTTTCGTTTCATACTGAAGAAGGCGGGAAATGAGGGATGTTCAAACACGGACACGTACTGGTCACCGCCACGTGACGGTTGGCTTTGCCCTCATCGATGACGTCCATCACCTCCTCTGGACTCGACACAAAGCGCTCGGTACAACCCTGACGCAGAAAAAAAACAAAAGAAGGTTTTTATTTTGATTTATGAAACCAGGAGAGAGAAGAAGTTCTCAGTCCGGTTTGAAGAACCATCAGAGCTTCACTGACCTTCACGTAGGGAACTCTGTTTTTGTCTTCATGCACGGACAGGTTCGTCTTCGACACTGTGGAAGATCAAAATGAAGCTTCACTCCTGAACTTCACATGTTTTAAATCTGACTTGAATGATTCTCCTCACCGTCCAGCAGATCTCTGATCTTGTCCAGGTAGATTTCGAAGTAGGACACCTGCAGAGGACGTCCACAGAGCGTTAGTTCCTGAGAGTTTCATCAGCCAGCGGTTTCACTCTGATGGGACACTCACCTTGATGTGGAACTCCAGGTTCTCGTCCATGGAGTAGATGTGGTCGAAGATGTCGTGGGCAATGCGCGGGATGATCCCCATCAGCTGGGGGTCGTGCAGTTTGCCCTGAACACAGCAGCAGCAGCAGCAGATTATCAGGTTTAACGCTTTTGAACGTTTGAGAGGTTTTCTGAGAGGCAGCTGGGGTTAGAGGTTCAGATTAGAGTGAAAACAGAGACCAGGTTTTTGACATCACAGCTCAGATTGGAGGATTAAAAACGAGGCTTCAGGCTGCTGTCGCCGTAATAAAGTCTGACGGTCATTTACATTCAGGATGAGCGACAGAGGACGCCGATCTGCTCTGAGTGCTTTTGTAGGGATGGATTTCACTTCTTCAACCTCAAACTGCCTCAGAAACCTCCTCTGATCACCTTTAAAAACAATAAAATTAGAGATCTGAAGGAAATCAAACTCTTTTATCTCCTGCAGCTTTCTAATGACAGGAGCTTAACAGGATTTCATGTTGGTTTTAAGTCTGTTACACAATCCCTGCTGAGCTCTGATCCTTCAGACCAAAGATCCATTTCCGCTCTTTAAACACTTTCTCTGGGTTTGTCTGATCGTCTAGAGGAACTACAGGGAAGAACAGGAAGTACAGCTGAGTCTCTCACCTCCATGGTGTGTGTTTTCCCGGAGGAGGTCTGTCCGTAGGCGAAGATGGTCCCATTGTAACCGCCCAGCACATCTGTAGAGACACAGAGATCAGACTTCTGCTTCTCTGTGCTGATAGATACCAACCCGAGTGTTGATGAACTTTAGACCTGAAGCTTCAGGCTCAAACATCCATCTGGAGTTTAACAACACGACCTTTAACCTTTTGTTATTTACATTAATGCAACTGTGTGTAATGGAGATCTTTCTATCACTGGGCTAATATCAGATTATCAGAGTTTATTCAAAGATTAGATTAACCAAATAACTCTCAGAGTCCGTGATCGAGTCCCAGACATGTCCGAGTCCTGAGCCTTCGGTATTTTAGTCCAGGTAAGGTCTGGTCTGAAGTGAATCAAGTCTTAAGACCTAGGATCATGGAAAAAGTGAAGTCTCCAGTCACAGGATCACGTCTCACATCACTGAACCAAAGCAAAACCAGGTCTACTGTCTTTGAAAGTAAACCTGATCCAGGTCCTGAGTTCAAGTCAAATCCTGGAATCACAGAAAAGTCACGTCTTCAGGATTTCAATCAGGTCTTTTCAAGGTCATAAACCAAAGTCAAACTCAGCTCCACTTTCTCAAAATGAGACAATATTCAGTTCGTCCAGCTCAGGTCACATGACCGTTCAAGACATCAGGGGAGCGGTCTGATGAGTCGGCACTAAATCAGCTCTGATTCCTGCAATGATAAAGACGTTACATAACCCTGACGAAGCAGAGGAGATGCTGACAACAGCAGTCTGACCCAAACAAAGCTGAAGAACTCGCTCCTCTTTTCCTGCTCCATGAACTCAGATAACCACGACAGATTAAAGAGACGGCTCGGAAACATCCTACCTTTGACGATCTGTTTGGCACACTGGTCGTACACTTGCTCCTGCGCCGTGTTGGGTGGCAGCACTCGGTCGAACACGTACGGTTTACCCTGTTTCAGACCAACACATGATATCAGTGTTAAGATGACAGAGTGGGTACAAAGTGAGATGAGGTTCATTTGATCATTTTTACTGGATTTATTGTGACACTTTCACCCTAAACGAGACTAAAAGACGCTCATAAACCCCATCAACTCCAGCCGCTTTCTCTCACTCTGCTGTTCTAAATCTGGACGTCCTAAATGCTCCAGCAGCTTCCAGGATCTCTGACCATCCATCACTCCTCCTGCCCTTGTCAAACGCCTGACTCTGTCTCTCAGGGGGGGTTAAGAGCCGGTTTGCTGTAAAAAGCAGCTCTCAGCACTCACAGGCAGCAAACAGCAGCACTCTGAGTCTGTCTGAAGCTCCGAGATGAAGAAGAGAAACTACTGACACAGTCTGTATCGGAGAGTGTGGCCTCTGTAATGTGTTTCTGCGCTTTGATGGATGGCAGGAACTCAGCAGAGGGAACGGTGACCGACCTGCAGCAGTAAACCCTGACCATCCTTAACTGTCGTCTGCATGCACACGTAAACTCCACCAATAATCCTGAAAATATCTGACGAACATGACTTTAATTTCCTGTTTAATTACAGACAAAGAAACACAATCAGAGGCAGTGTTTGTAGGACAAAACTGAAGCACATGAAACGTCCATGAAGACGACAAACTGCTCAGTGATTCGTATGAAATTTCACTGAAATGTTATTAAGAATTAAACAAGAGGACAAAGCAGACAGCAGTCCTCTCCTCAGTGCACACAAAGGCAGCCTTGTTACCCCACCCACTCGCTATAAACACGGTGTACCGATGTTCCCGGGGCCTCCTGAATCAGCATTTATATTTAATGATGCAAAGTCATTGTGGGAATAACCTTTGACCTCAGATTATTGGATAGTTACCTCCTCTAAGTGCCTGCAATCGTGAAAAATCAATATTCTTCAGCAGAACGTCTCTGTGGATCAAATTTAATGTTGAAGGTTGGAGGTTTCAGACTGAGCAGAAACTCCGTATTTAAGGACTTTTATTACAATTTTATTTAAAGGAAAGAAATTTCAGGCACTAAAGGGGGCGTGCTACTTACTGATTTTAACCCTTTCTGATCAGCTCAGCTCCTGTTTGATGTTATTGAAACAATAAGAGTTTAAGACAAACAATTACCCTCTTAGATTAGATTCACCTAAACCTGGTTTATCCAGATTTATAATTATACAAGCTCATGTTTTTGCAGTTTGTTACTAACCTAATTATAATATGAACTTATCCTGCAGAGATACGAGCAGAATTTATCTTCACACATGTTTTGCATAATTCATGGTGGGTTTTAAAGGCCTTGTTTAGACCACCTGGCTGCAGTTTTATTCACTATAGTCTCTGAAGCATCATGTCCACAAACATATAGAAGCAGCTCAGTAGCTGAACCTGCAGAAAATCCCTGACGGCCCCTAAAATGATCCTGCAGACTTCTGAGAGTGGTCTCTGTTATTGTTCCTCCTCTCTCTCCTATAATATGTTTTCAGATTTTATGACTGTGCTGCTGTTTTCATAGTCCTCTAAGATCCATCACCACACTGTGTTGTTATTGCGCACTTGGCATCTCAGCCTCCCTGCAGAGCTCCAGGTGACTTTGTTCCTCTGAAATACTGCAGTGTTAGTATCTGAGCCTTCACACAGACACACACACAGACAGACACACACACACAGACAACATCAGCATCACCAACAAAGAAGGTTCAGACTCACCGTGATGACCACGGTGTCGTCCTCCTTGAATTTGGGGATGTATTTGTCTCCTCGGGTTATTTCGGCCTCGTTCAGGGGCCTGAAGCGACACATCACCCTCACCCCGCACTCTGCCGCATCCATCATGTCTGCTGCCTCTGTTTACACCAATCTTCCAATATAATGCAGTTACAAACAAATGAACCCGCAGGGGGCTGGAAACTGAGGAAGAAGAGTCTTTAGTGCGCAGGGTGGTGCTCAAACTGAGGTTCAGGGAGCTCCAGAGGGGCCTTGAGTATTTTTTTTGATGTCCTGGGCCGAGAGAGGGTTCGGGTTTTACCCAGACATGAATCTCAAAGCGGTCGACAGGCTGGTTTCCTTGTCTCCTCCCCGCAGGAAAGTTAAGAAACCTCTTCGTCCTTCATCCAACCCGAAGATCTCGGAGTTTCCTCAGCTGCGCCATGGCCGAAGTGGATCCACCGCAGCGCTGCGTCCCGGTGAAGAGATCCAGAGCTCGGTGTGCGGGCCTCCCGCTGCAGCGAGGACACCGAGAGTCGAGCACCGACACCGAAATGATGACGAGGATTCAGGGTCTTCACGGCAGACCCTGTCTGCCCGGTTTGCGGAGGGAGAGCCCGGAGAGGATGCGCAGAGACAACCGCATCGTCCTGTCTTGCAATAAAGGCGCGCTCCCTGCACGATGCTGCGGCGCGCCCCCGCGCCCTGCATCAGCACCACCATCACCGAACGGCCGGGGACGCGCACAGCAGAAAACTGCATCAATTTTCATGATTCTGGTCATTTCAGCTTCTCCTACAGTTACTACACACTGCCACACAACTCATGATCTCTTCTCTGAGTAAATAAAGGTTTCTGGGTTTCCTTTTCTACAGTAAATAACTGCGTTATATTTATAGGCATTATTTCAGCTTCCAGGGCTTACAAAATGGAGTAAACAGATATATATTCATATATATATTTAACCATAGCCCTCACCTTACCACGTATAACCTACTCCTGTGATATACTTCAGATAAAAATGTGCCTTATTTGTCAAAAACAGTCTCCTTTAGTCAAAAAGAGAAATCTTATCCACTGCTGTAAACGGCTAAGCTAACAACCGTTAAAAGTTACTTAAGCGATTCACTTTTCGTAACTTTTCATATTTCAACATAAAAAGTGATTAACCTTCTGCTGAAGACACCCATCATTCATTTTGGATGAAAATCTTCATTTTAAATGAATTTCTGTTGATGATAGTCAGTCTTAATTATCTCCGGAGAGGAGACTGTATATACGGCTATCCCGCCAAAAAAACAAGCTAAGAGTTAAAACAAGTCGAGCAACAAATAACATCTTTTTGTAATCTCCGACAAATAAGACGATTTGTCTCATTAAAGACGTTTTTATATTTAAAGCCTTCAAAGTCAGTTTTTTCTTTATTATAATAATTTGTTTTAAAAAGTTTTTCCATCTTATAAATTTACAGCCAGATGAAGAACGTTTGATTTCTTCAAAGTCACTAATCGACCTCATTGATGGACGGTCATTGTTGTTTTATTTAAACCCTTTTAGGAGTATTGGTGAGTTTTTAAAGCAGATTTCTTACGTTCATGGCATTTTTCCGTAATTTCATCCTCACATCCACATTCATGAACATAAACTCTGTTGTTGTTTACTGTACAGTTCACTGTGTTCCCATTATTCCCCACTAGGAGGCAGTGTACAACAAGTGACACTTGCAATGAAAGGGTTCGACGAGTTACACATTAACTGTTTAAAACAAGTAAAAATCCAAGTTTGAATAAAAAGAACAGAGAGCATAGATGCACTTCACACAACAGGTTATTCAAGTAAGAGTGACCATGTTTTTAATATCTTAAACATCTGTGCAACATTGTTCAAAATGTTACATCACTGCATGACCTGTAATGTTTCACAATATTTACAAAAAATGCTGCTTACATCAAACCATTAAAAAAAGTCCAAACAATCTCAAAATAATGGACTCTGACAAACTATCCCTAGCCCACATTAATGCAAAAAGAAAAATAAACAAGAGCAATCAAGTGCACATCATACTTCACGCAAGTCTATTTTTTGTAAAGTATATATTAGTGAGAAAATATATACTTAATTACAAGTTGTAAAAATAAAATACTGACAATGAAAGGGTGAGAGAGGAGGGTGAGAGCAGAAAACAAAGTTCACTAGAGGGGAAATAAAAATGAAAGTCACACTCACACCTCAACACACACGATAACAGACGAGAGGAGGAAAAAATAGACTGCACAGACCATCTCAAACACAAAAATGCTTTGAACTCTTGACCACAAATAACATGAAACTGATCGAACAGATCCATAACACATGGGATCCCAACATGAGAACGGGGTCCTGCATGTAATTGCACAAAAAACGGGGAAAGGGGTTAGGCAGAATGAACTTTACCGAAAGAGATCGTGTTCTTGACACTGGACGTCACGTTTTCTGATTTCTTTTGTTTCGTTCATCTTTGAGCAGGTCGGGCCTCGAGATGTCTTCAGGAGCTGCTTTTAAATACTGACAACGTTTGCAGCAAATTCAAGACTTCTTCAAAATGTTCTGCGTTTTTCAGCAAGCACACAACAGACAAAGTGAAAATGTTTGTTTTTTAAATCGGAGTACAACAAACATTTCAAACATAAAAAAGCAAATAGTTATGAAGCTGCTGGACTGTATGTTATGAAGTTTGAATGTGAGGCTGGGATATGCTTACTGTAGTGTGGGACATCTATGAAGTAGTGTTTTCTGTTGTTAAAGTAGTACTAAGAAGTATTTCAAGCTTGGGCTTCAATCCAAATGCGTTGTACTTTGATTTTCAAGGCGTGACATTTTACTGGAGCTCTCTTTTAAAGGTTTAGTGTGTACCGAAATGGAAAAAAAGAGTGAGATTTCAACCTGAAATTAGGACTTTATTCATGAGGAACAACTTAGTGACTTGTGGCTCTCACGCTTGGAAAAAGGAGAATGAAAAATGGGAAGTTTTGAATATTTCTGAGCATTTTCAAGTCAGAGGAGATGCTACAAACAGGACATACAGTGCAGAGGAAACAATCAGAGACGCAGAGTGAGTGAGCCGTTGATCTTTGCTGTTGTTTTGAATATTGCACTTGATCATTTTGTCGTGATTTTGGGTCATTTTTGATCTGGAGGAGCAACTGTGAGTGACTTTTCCAAATACTGTTGATTTCAAGACTGATCCAGGGTTTTACTTGTGGCTAGTTAGTGTCAAAACTGCGTTTGTACACAACATGAACACTGTCTGCCTCTCTCTGATGTGCATTAGTATAAATAGTACGGTCTCGTAGGCAGACGTCTTAACATTTATCTGATCATGACAAAATCTGTAACAAGAACAAGTTGAGCAGGAAGTCTCTCTGTAAAAAAAAGTGTCAGCTGTAATGCTCACTTTTTAAATAAACTGGAGCATGACCTCTGTAATGGACTCTGAAAACAAAATCTATTATTATTCACTGTTAAAAAAGAACAAAAGAAAAACAGAAATATACACATTTAAGGCTTGAGTTCTCAACTCATGGTAGTATTATTGCCATCTAGCATATTTGTAAAGCTTAAAATAAATATGGAGTCCTGTACATAAATAATTTACATCAATAAGCAAAACAAAAAGACAAAAAAATGTAAAAACACAAGGCCCCTAAATAAGAGAGATACTTTTGCTGCTCTTGAGTTAGTGTTCGTCATGATAACTAGACTCTGACGTTGGTTACTCCACTCAAAACTAAAGATGTGAAGAAAAGAGGAGCGACGACAGCCATGGAGGAAAACCACCCGACAGACGAGTGTGAGAACATGAGAAACAACACAATAAATAAAGGAAAAATCCACCCGAAAACACTCTTGGTCACGCTGTGATGATGCTCTCTGGGTCAAAGTTTCTGCTACATTATGAATTTTGAAGCGTGGCGACATTATCTCCTGATATTTCACCATAAATAAGGGAGATATTAAAGGACGATCATCACAGGTCAAAGGTCTCAGGCCTGATGTGGTGCCTTTAAACACATGAATGTTGACGGGCCTCGACAAAGCAGCTTTCTTAAATGTCACTTCAATGACAAATGTTGAAGTCTTTATATTTGCAGCGACACTGACAGTTACTGCAGTGCATGCAACATTGATAATGTGGAGTTACAAACAGCTAAAAACAAATAATCTACTGTTTTTATTTCAACGATTCTACTGATCGAACTTATCAAATATCAAAAAAGGAAAACTAATCTGAGGATGTGTAACCACGCTTTTATTTCCTGTAAAAACAACAAAAAAAACTATCAGTACGGTTTTGTACTGATTCTGACCGTTCATGTCATTTCAGCTGTAAAGTCACGCACTCTCAGACCCCTAAAGTCCCTAAAATCTTCTTCCATGTTTCTCTGGAAACCTTTTGAAGCAGAGAACATCACAACACACTCCGGAGTGCCTCAGGGTGGATTTCTCACACTGAACATGAACGTAACCAACTCTCTTTAACTTGACGTAACAGAATCTGTAAACCCAAATATTAAGAGCTGTCAACCAAACCTACAGATCTTCAAATGTCCTGATGTTTCTGTCAAAGTGTCCGGTGGAGCAGATCAAAACTGACCATCATGAGTGCGGCCGGCTGATGGAGATTTCCCAGCCCGCTCCCTCAGAGGAACATCGAACACTTTCTGCAGGTAAAGTTCATTCTGTTTTTCTTTTTCTTTTTTTTTTAATCCAAAACAAACGAACGCTTGAACTGGCGTGAAGTGACCTTCGTCATGGAGAACTCAAAGACTCATGCCTGTTTCACTGCTGTTCCCTTACAAAATCAAACCAAAAGAACTAAATCAAACCAAACTAACAGCACGTCTTACAGTTCGTCATATAAAAGCTTTAGGCTGTATTCTTATTTATCCTATGCATGCGGCCGTATACAGCCGCATTTCTGAATAGAAACCAAGACATTGGTACACTTCTGCTTTGTTTTTGTACAATAAAAGATAAAATGTGCATTAGGTATGCTTGTACATGACATTGTACAATATTTACATACAATTCTTAATAGCATGAAATTTCAGGATTATCTATATACATATTGAAAATGTATCAGAAATATTTGGACTGTCTATTTTCTTAAATATGTAAGGTAATGCTTGTAGCTTTTTTTTGTTTGTTTTACTATCTTATACTAGAAAAAAATAGTTAATTCAGTGAGCTGTAGACAAATTGCAACCATTTTTGACGTTTTTCTCTACTTTTCTTTTTTTTTTTTCCCTACAGTTAAAACTGTATTGGTGATTGGAATTCCCAGCACCTTCTGTGGTCAGTCATTAAGTCAAGTTGAAATCATGGAACAAAGATGTACCACTGAAAGTCCATGTGTAGCACCTGTTAGAGAGCTCAGATCGCATCAAAGGCTGATCGGACGAAGTCTCCGAAGGCTTTGAGGACGACACATTCAATGTTATCTGGATATCTTCCTCCTCTTCGGCTTAGGGAGCTTCACCTGACGGTCCCTCGATGGGATCTGAAAAACGACACGTCGGGAGGAACGTGATTCAAACAGCCTGATTAAAAACATCCGCCCCTCCATGGATGTAGGTGATCAAATACTCACTGTGCCCGACATCTTGTCCAGCTCACTCATGGCCTCATGGATAGCAGCTTCCAAGTGATTATTCAGTTTCCCCTGTCTGCTAGGAAACAAGAACATTCAGATTACTTACTCAGGTCAAAGTGAAAAGAAACAGAAACTTCACTAAAAATTAACTAACAGCAAAGACAGAGTTTGACATCCTTCTACAGTCTAGGGAAGTCTCACTTACTTCAGGCCTCTTTTGGCGGCTCGATCAAGTGCCTCTAAGTCATGAGTTAGTGTTTTCAGCTTCTCCGGCTCTACCTGCATAAAGAAGGCAAGAAAAAAAACATCTGAGTACACGCAGAAACTGTTTGGTAACAGTCTGAGGATTTCAAACCAGCCAAAACCAAGTCCTGGTGATTTTCGCTGTGCTTCTAGCAGATATTTTGGCAGTCGTTATTAGCAGTAGCGCTCTTATTTTCACAGGTAAAACAGTGAAAATGTTTGCAGCGTTTTGGAATCCATCTGCTGCTGCTGTGGACAAATACGTTTGCTTCCTTAGAGGAGATTTATGGGGAACATTGTTGCTGAGCAGCTAAAATCAGCCCTGTTGTTCGTGGTCCAATCTACTCTGAACTTTTACGTTGGCAGGTAAAAACAGAGACAGGTGTTCACAGAGAGGTTTCTCACCTTGGCCTGCTCTCGCAGCTGCATAGCAGCGCTGTGCACTTGTTCGTCCCCGGCCAGCTTGGCAGGCCAGGGTGGGAAGCCCTTAAGCTGGCCCCAGACCAGCTCCCCCATGTTGAAGGTCCTGGAGCGGTAGTGCAGCAGCTCTGAGGAGGGTGAGTCGGGCTGACGCAGATCCTCCTCACTGCTCAGACTCTTTGTATCTGAGGGGCTGGGCGCCATACCGTTGAAGTGGCCGTTGTAGTGGCTGTAGTCTTTGGCTGTGGCCAGCGGTCCCTCCAGGCTGGTGGAAGAACTGGGCGACTGGTCATCCCCAGTTAGCTCCTGGCGAGGGGGGCCCAGGACCTCCCCGTAACCCCGGGTGTTAAAGTGGGGGGTGGCACCGTTAATATGGGCGCAGCGCTCCACTGTCTGCTCCAAGCGTTCTTTGTAGTTCGCTGGAGTCCGGCTGCAGTTGTTGAAGCGATAGCTGTCATCCAGGAAAGCCTTTTCATGGGCCAACGCCAGGCCGTGGTCGTTGGACCCCTCAGTGGGGCAGGGTGGGGCGGGGGCCAGGCTGGCGGGTCGCTCCATGCACGGACTACTCCTCACCTGTGTGGAACACTCCAGAAACTCCTCACCACCCCAGGCACTGTTGTTGCTATGAGCATCGAAGCCTCCTCCGTGCTGCCCCTCTCCGTCCCACTGCCCTCTGGGAGTCCCACGTCCGGGAGAACGGAAGTACTCGTTGGCCTCGTGGCCGTCTGGAGTGCTCTTTCCTGGATCCATGTTCTTTGGACCCTGACCCGGCCTCACCTGCCTCTGTCTGGCCTGCTGAGTTAACCCCTCCCCTTCCTGGTGACCGTGCAGGACTGTGCTGACCGCTTTGGGGATGTTGACAGGCTCCCCTATTGAGGCGGTGAAGGCACTCATGGCGCTGAGGGCGGGCACTGGACTCGCCTGTGTGGTACCGCTTACCGTGGTCGTTATGGTAACATGCATGCCCTTGCTGGCGGCGTCCACCACAGCTCGGTAGATTGCATCAACCGACTCTGGGCCGCCACCGGAGCCTCTGTCAGATCCCGGTGTGGCCCCTGGAAGCCCCTCCCCTTGAGGCTGTTGCCCCTCTGGGAATTGTGGGTGAGGCAACATCCCCTGCTGTGGACACAACAGTGCGGTTACTAAACGGTTTGAATGATTTCATCGACAATATTTAAGCCTCCGGGGGTCAACTCCTCACCTGGTAGTTCTGGTAGAGGCAGGCCATGGAGCCCGCGTTGGCGTTGTTGCTGTCTGTGTAGGGGGGGTTGTCAGAAAAGTGCTGCTGCCCCTGGTAGGCTGGGTGTGAGCTGACCCCCTGCTGCATGGCCTGGTGGACCTGCTGCTGGTACATCTGACTTCCTCCAGGGTTTACGTGAGGCTGCATAGTGCCCATACCGCAACCGAGGGATGACGGGTTTCCTGCAGAACCATGGACATGCACAATGAGTCAAAACAGCCGCAAATAACACAGACAGTAAAACATCAGAAAGAAGTTTATCAATTAATTAATAAGTCAATCTTTACTTATACAGGATTAGGTCACGACAAATGTTATTTCAAGAAAGAGCAGATCTAACAAGGTGAATTTACAACCAGTTAGTCACATGACTGGGTCTAAAAAGGACATTCAGAGAGGGAGGATAGGGAGAGGTTCACCACTCTGTGAGCTAACAGTGTGACAGCTCCACACAGTCATGTGTTTTGGCTTAAATTAGATTTCTTCTGTATAATCAGGTGAAATTTAGACTTTTTCAGTTTGCAGGTGTCGATGCTAAATGAGCTGCAGGGCTGTTAAAGTAAATCTCAACAGATCCTTTGAGTCTGAAAAAAAAAAAAGTTGCACATTAACAATCTGTTGCAGCAGAAGTAACAGACGGACAGGCTGCCAGATGCAACGTGCGGGCAGACTTGTTAGAGGAGCGTGCGGGGACAGAACATGAACAACATCCACGAAGGCCACGGACGTATCAATGGATGAAGAGAGCGCCCAGCAGCAATGTTGTTCAGACAAAGAGGAAGCAAATACAAAATCTCTGAGGCCTGACGCTGTGTGTGTGTGTGTGTGTGCGTGTGTGTGTGTGTGCGCATGTGTGTGGACGAGTGGCGACTGGAGCAGCTGGTGCGATGCTACGTAGCTGAAGGGCAGCTGTGTGTGCTCTCCATTTTTTTTCTCCTCTTTTCTTTCACCCTCTCCTCTCCAACGCTGAGAGCCACGGCTCGGCCAACCCCCCCCTCCCCCCTCCTCCTCCCCACATCCTCAGCTACCGCTATGATATAGTGACGGCTGTTGCCGGGGGAGGTTGCCATAGGAACCGAGTGATGATTGGTGTTGCTGTCCACTGGCAGGAAGCTTGTAGGGGGGAGTTCAGTGGGTGGATGAGGGGGGTTACGGGGGTCGGGGGTGTGATTTTACCCTGCTGGGGGATGTGGGGGTGGTCAGCTGGGTGGCAGGAGGTCTGGGGGGTTTACAATGAACTTTGGGGCGTTTGTTGATGGCAAAAGTAGGGAGGAGGGGGCAAGGGGGTTGTTCAAAGCTTGCTAGCTGTCTGGAAACAGATGGTTAGAGGCTAATGCTAAAAAGCCAATGACGAGGCCACTTTCAAAGAGATTGGAGTGCTCTTAAGATCCAAAACATGTCATCCAAATTAGCTTCAAGTCCGGCATCGCATCTGCCACTGGCTGACACAATATTCTGTCCTAACCCAGAAGACTGTGAGGACTTTCTGTGCTCTTTCTAACAGGATGGAGTTGGGGATAAATGTCTTTGTTTTTCTCATATTTTGAGTATAAACACACAAAAATATTCAAATTAATGGAAACATATTTCTTTCTTTTTATAGCTTTTAGAGGGGCATATTGTAGCCATGACCAATAGACTGTTTTTTAGAATAGTAAACAGCCTCAGAAACCTCGGGGTTGTTTTTGATCATGTCTTCAGAGGGTCATTCACGACAGCTGACCATAAACTGTTTTTATCATTTGTTTTAATAAGGTGGTGATAAAGAGTCTTCAGTTTGTCCAAAACTGAGCCGCCAGACTTCTGACAGACACGCCCACATCACCCCTGTCTTATTGCATCTTCACTGGCTAACGGTCAATTTTCACAATCATTTTAAAATTTTAGTTCTGACCTTACAGGCGCTGCATGGTCAGGCCCCCCAGTATATCACTGATTTGTTGTGCCCCTACTCCCCAGAGCGCACCCTTCAGTCATCAGGCCAGAACCAAAGACCCGTTTTAAAACACGGGGAGACCGGACTTTAAAGACTGGAACGGTCTGCCCCTCTCCCTCCGTTCGATCAAATCGGTGGAAACTTTTAAAAATCAGTTGAAGACTCTTTTATTTAGACGAACTTTTAATGAAAAGGGTTTTGTTTGTCTCTTTTACTTATCTTTTATATCTGCTCTTATTTCCGTACTCACCTGTACTGTATTTGTATTTGTGTATGTATATGTACTGATCTTTTGTACCATTATTGTTTATCTAATTGCACTTATTTTATGTACAGGGCTTTGTGATTCTTCATCTGTGAAAAGCGCTCTATAAATAAACTTTACTTACTTACTTTTTACTTAAACACATAGGAGCTTATTGTTATCATCATTATAATTATTATGAAAATGCTGTTAAAAACGATCATTTCTGCTTTTCTTTTCAAATTGAAACGTCACTTTAAATTTGTGTCATCAGGACTGCAGACAATCATCAGGGGCAGCCTCCTGACCTGCACAGGACCACCTGAATTAGAATGACTCTGACGATATCTGGGATAACAGGACACCTGGTGATAAGAACAGGTGGCCTGCAGCAGACCTCGGTGATATCTCCATTATAAACCATATGAGGACACATGGACGCACAGTGAATACAGAAACTCATCTTCTGCTGGGGAGGAAAAACACTCGATCTGTGGCTTTTCACAAGAAAAAAGTGTGACACACACATCATCCATGTGCACAGCAATAAATTAAAACACACACACTGTAAACACAAGTAGTACACACACAGTTATTCAAACACACACAGGCCTAAACCCTCATCAAAGGCTTCACTCAGCTCTCTATTCAGGCTCTATCGTTACTATAGCGACCAGCTAGCTGGGAGAAGCTCTTTAGAGCGCCCTATCTGGGCCGCTTCCCTTAAAGCGTGATCCAGATCCCATTTCCATCTTCTTACACCATTGACTGATGCTAGCATACAAATAAAACAAAGAGAAACACTGGCTGACTGACAATTAGCTGGGCTTCCAGAGATGAGGGGCCTGCTCATTAGCTCACACATACTGGAGGAGTCCCACTGTCTCGGCTCGGGGCCTATCACCTAAATCCTTTGGTTTTAGTTCACTCAGAACCACAGAAACCACACCTTCATCTACCCGCAACCTCGTCATAACCAGTCCTCTACAGTACAGGACACCCACAGCCTCCTCCACAGAGACAGGAAGAATTACTACAGTCAGCAGGTTAGATGTCATTTCTGGACCTGGATCATTAAAGCTGCAGCTGAGCCTTAAGAACTTCCTGACAGGAAGTGATGCTGATCCATAATAAGTGTGTGTGTGTGTGTTGAATAATGCTCTGGTTGAAATAATTCAGTCATTGTAGAGCAGATGTCTCACCTGTATCTGAGATGCTCTGATTACAGCTCCCATCAGCGCCTCCATGTGGCATCACCACCATGTTAGTCCGTCCCATACCTTGAAGGAGACTCTGCTGTGAGGGGTGAGGGCTCGGGTGGGACAGTGGTGGAGGATTAGCGTTTTGGCGACCCAGTGGCATACCGTCAGGGCCCACCGGTCCGCCTCCTGGTCCCATAGGTCCACAGTTACTCATAGAGGAGGCCTGCATCTGGGCCATCATGTCAGGAAACTGGCCTTGACGAGGGCCCAGGTGACCCCCAGAGGTGTCCATGCTCTGGCAGTGCTGCATGGGATCTCCAGGGCCCCGCAGCCTCTGTTGAGCCAGGAAGTTCTGTTGAGGGCCACTGGGGACCATACCTGTGCTGTCGTTGTAGTGCAGCTGTGCCCCTCCTTGAGGACCAGACCCAGGACCGGGACTCAGACCTGGACGATGGCTGTTACCAGCCAGGTTGTGGGAGCTCTGGCAGCTCATGGACTGGAGAAGCTGAGCCATGGAGGTGTTTGGGGGAAGGTTTCCAAGTCGGCCGACTTTCCGCAGCTGCTCGGTGGCGCTGGGCCCCTGCATGTGAGGACCTCCCATGCCTCGTTTATTGAGCATGCTGTAGACCATGTTGTTACTGTTATCATGGTTTACAGCGGCGCCGCCTGAGGACTGCCTCCGTTTACGCATGGGGTCCCTCTGTTGGGCCATGAGCTTGTCCCTAAGAGCCGCCCGACCGCTCTGGCCCTCTGGGCTGTTGAGCAGCATGGTGGAGTTTGGCGGGAGCATTGAGTTTAAAGTGCTGTGTCCCTCCATGCCTCGAGGGCCGCTCATAGAACCAGGGTGCCCACCACCTCCTCCATTACCGCCCCCACCTGCCCCCACGCCTGCCATACCAACACCACCACCAGCCATGCCAGCAGTGCTGTTGCCAGCAGCGCTGAGTTTGTTTTGATTTGCTAGCTGTGCTTTGGCTGCGGCTGACAAGAGACTGCTGGCGGGGAAGGAAGCAGCATTCTGTTGGTTTAGGATCTGGTTGAGGGGCATCCCCAGGAGTCCTGGGTGGCCCTTCTGGGAAGCGCTGGGGGTGGCCAGAGAAGAGGATGAGGATGAGGAAGAGGTGGGTGAGTACATGGGGTTACTGTGCTGCTGGGTGCCAAGTGAGTTTCCCATCCCTGGCAGCAACTGGGAGTCTTTGTACTGGTGAAGTGGGTCAGATTTGTTGGTGGAGGGGCTGGAGGGCATAGCTGGCCTGGGAGATCCCATGGCAGACCTGGGGGAGCGAGGAGGGACCTTCATGGTGCCACACGGGGCCTGATGCCCTGAGGGCATTGCAAAGTTCCCGTGGTCAGAGGAGGTGGAGGACGAGCGTGAGCGATGAGGAGAGGCCTCCATTCTCCCAAGAGCAGGCCCGGCCATGTGGACAGGGGAAGTGACTGGGGAGGGGGACATAGAGGATGCTGGACCCCCCTGTTGAGTCCTTTGAACATGGCCACCGTGTCCCACAGGCCCAGGCTTCACTGTGGGTAAAGGTAAGTTGCTTGGCAAGGGAACAATGGCTGGAGGGGGGATGTTTACATTCATCATTGGTACCTGAGAGTGGATGTTAGGCTGGAAGTTGGAGGGGTTTTGGGCGTTGTTGGGGGGCTGGCTGACTGGTTTGCTTGGGATGGGGTCCAGGATGCCTAAGGGGTCTTTTTCAGAGGTCAACTGCCGTTTCTGAAGAGCACAGGATGGCGGTATGGATGGAGGAGGCGGTACGGGATGCACAGGGGGCTGTGTTTTGTGATGAAATGCTGCACGGGGCATATCCATACCAGGGGGGAAGTTCCCCCGCGGCATGTTCATGTTCATGACGGGGCTTTTGGCAGTGGCCGTTGGAGAGAGGGGTGTGCTAGTCCTTCCTGTCATGGCACAGGATGACTGGCCCGCAGGAGAGCCGTGAAGCATTACACTGGGCGGAGAAAGGGGCGTCCTAGTGTTCCCGTGTATGGAGGCTGAGCCTGGACTGCCAGCTCCTGGAAACCCACAAGGATTGGTCCTTGGAAAGCCCTCAGGGCTGCCTAGAGTGTCCGTACTGGGAGACTGTGAGCCTTCTCCATACAGCTTTGCACTGGAGGGAGGTGGACTCAGCATGCCTCCATACCCAACCCGGTAGGGGGATTTGGGTCCTTGCTCCCCACCGCTCATCCTTTGCTGCCTAGAGTACCCGGAGTAAAGCTCAGGCTGCTGGGCTCCACCCATCTCCTGGGGTGGATACAGCCTCTGCTGCTGCTGCTGTCCAGCTGCTATCATCATCTTGAAGGGATTCTTGCAGTCTGGGCCGACAGCGTTGGGCAGACCATCGTGGGGTTTCGTCCTTATTGCTCGTTGAGTCGTGGAATGGGCAGAGACAACAGATGATGTACCTTAACAGGAAACAAAACAAGATTTCGGTCAGAACAATGCCAACAACATATTATGGCGAAACAGTAAAGTTGTTTGAAAGTAAGGGGCAAGCTATCTCAATCAAATTCAAATGTCAACAAACCACCAATATCTGAGAATCAGAATCAGAGTACTTTATTTATCCCAGAGGGAAATTTGGTCGATTTAACATGAGATCAAACATGTTGACTCTGAGGGAAAAGAGAACTGAAAACAATAAATGAGATTAAAGATAAGTTAATAAAATAAACATGTGGTCATACCTCCTCCTGGGCTGGTCAGCGTCAGAGGGGGGTGCGTCTCCATGCTCTTGTGCAGCGTGGCCACCGCCAGGAGCTTCCTCTTGTGAATGCAGAGTTTGGTGACGTCTTCGTCTGCTTTCACATCCTCTGCTGTCCTCTGCTTGACAGCCGCCCCGGGGTCAAAGTTGAACACCTGAAGAAAAGGATATTCAGATATGACTTCACAGCTTTGTTTGTCTCATTCTTCGTGAAGAGATGACGTCTCAGAGCAGAAAGGATCGGTTTTACGCTGGTTCAACGGTGTACAAAGATCAATAGAGAGGGAGAAAACAATAACAGAATCAAACATGATCAGATTATTGTGTTTCCAATCTACAGAAGACAGTCTACGGGGGCAGCAGAGTCCACATGTTTCCATAGCAGAAAAGCATCAGTCTGATAATGGCCTGATAGGACGGACGGTGGTGTGTTGGGGACAAATTTAGCCTCAAGAAGGATAATTGGTCGGATTATCCGGTGTAATGTGAAACCCTGGACTCCTTACTTGCCCCCTACATTTGTAGCTTGGTTCTTCACACACATCAGCACAAGAGGGAAGCTTGACTTTATTGCTGAGCGTAAAGAAGAGAGTAGAGCAGTGCAGGAGAGCTTTCTCTGGATGTTTTAGATTCTTCTCTGCCGTGAAAACTGCTCACTTCTGGAGCTCATAGTGACGCTCATTCAAGCTGACCACAGCCACAGCGCTCCCTGAAGGACGAAACAACTAACTTTTTACAGCCACCCTTCAAAACCAGCAGAGGTGACTGTCTGATCATTCTCCGCAGAAACAAAAGCATCACTTTTAACAATAGCCTGTCAGAGGATGTTTTAACCTTGGTATTGACTGGTATGACATAATTTCCTCTTCTCAGACATGTTTATTTTCTCCCTCATCAATTTCTCTTGTTTTTAGCTGCAGAAATGTCAAATATGAAATGTGTCTGGTCTTGAGTGTAGGACATGTCAAGAGCTGATCGTCTGCTCTGAATTTAAATATCATGCTATCATCTAAGGAGGCCTTCAGATGACAATCTTCAAGGTTTTACCTGGACATGAAACACTGATGAAAACAGTCTGACCGGGTGTGACATATGGAGAACTAAAGCACCGTGTCACGTCTATAGGTTTGATTGAGAGTTTGTCACCCTGAAGGGCTTCTCTGTTAAGCTCAAGTATTTTGTTAATTTCATTTACAGATCCGTACTTCCGTCTCCTGGAGCCTCAGTTAAGAGGCAGCTGTAAACTCTCCGCCCCACTGCTGTGTTTTAAATGAATCAGGATGAAAAAAAAGTTACCTTGTGGAGGATGAGTGGGCACTCCAGGCCGCATTTGCAGGTTCCATCTGTCAGCAGGTAGGTCTTCACCTGCTCCAAGCTGGACAGCAACGAGCCGCTGGGACTGCAGGGAGAGAAAGACAATTTTAGGGATGTGAAGAAACTCCAGCTGTTGTAGCTCCAGATGACATATCGTACTTCACCTCTTCACTTGGTTGGGTTGTTTGAAAAGAAGTTTTTTAGTTTTACTTCTGTGCTTTCAGACTGCAGCTCCTGAACATTTTACAACAGAAACACTACAAAGATACCGTTCTCCCACCACAGATTTATCCCTGACTCAGAAGAGTAAAACCGTTGCACTGAGGAATTCTCCGCTGACAGACACACAAATGATTTTTTAAGGTGGGTTAGCAGCTGCTTCAGGCAGGTTCTGCTGCAGGTTTTACAGGCTTGCAACCATGAAATCAAAAGGTAAAATCCTCCCACTCAACAGCGCTTCACTACAGTGGAATTCATCCAGCTGTATGAATTAAAGTAACAACTGAGAGCGTTTTTAGTGGCTATGAAGGACAGGAAACCGTACTGCTACTGGGCAGTGATAGTTTGAATAAAAAAAACTAACTTCTCACTTTCCAGATCAACCGAGCAATGGGGGATACTTGACTCCACTGGTTTGGAGAGAGGAGTCCGAGTTTTGAACGTTTATAAGAGGTTTACTTCTTTTCCATTAATTACATTAAAGCATAAGAAGTAGGTGATACAACAGGGATGCTCTGCCATGAACACTGATTGTTTGATATTTTTGTTTCAAACCAGGCCGTTCCTTTTTCTCCAACAATGTCACTTCTGCCCCAAAACAACCGAGGTGGCATCAGCCGAAATGTTCAAAATGAGGCTTTGAAATAAAGACCAAGATCTCATGGATGTGTCGACTTCTGATATTCAGATATCTTGTCTGTAAAAGCAGGAACACTGAAAGACTTAAAGTAAAGACTGTGAATGATACAAGAAGGTCAGTGCTGCAGTCAAGCAGGTTTTCCCCATGAGACATCAGAAAGACATTAGTGCCGAAAGAAGTCGAGAAAAGCCTAAAAAATTCTCCTGAGAAACATTTCAAACTGCCCATCAACAAAAAAAGAACACCATGTACCATCTGCTGATTCCATCAAACAGAGACAGAGGTAGGTTGACATAACAACCAGAGGGTGAATCATCAGTCACAGAAAATGTGTACAGTTGGACATCCCTGCAGCAAAGACACACTTTTAATGTAAAAAAAATAAATACACAGGAGCAAATCCATGTGTGCAGTGACAGTATCAGGCCACGGTCACAGAAGTAGACAGGATTCTTTCCAGCCCCCAAAATAAACCTGACACCAGCCAACTGCTTTGGTTCATTGTGGCTGGTAAACACACGTGCTGGAGGAAACCGACTTCCAGTCTGCAAGACACAATGTCGACGAGACGATCTAACCCATTAGAAAAAGTCTCCCTGTAGATTTGGGTGTATCGAATAAAGCAAAGACCTTCTTGTTCAATTTCAGTTGTATTACTAGACCCCAAAACTGTGGGCTCCACTTTGTAAGTGTAAAAGGACAGTAAAATGACCATCCCAAAACAAACAGGTTTTAGTTTTTACAGCTGTTCGATGGCAAACACACCGTTGATGAATGATTCTGGTCCAGACCGCAAGCAAAAGTCACCGCTTCTCAAATCATCACCTGCAGAGCTAATCAATCGAAAATACCTGACACAAATAAACATGAAGTTTACTACTGATATATTCTGCAGCCTTGATGATCTGATAGATGCAATCTGAGCAATTCAATGTCTTTTATTTTGTTATGTGTTATATGTAAGAATCTCTGCAGCTCAAGGTTTCTGCTTTTTTTCCCCTACAACACATGTGCACAGCACAGATCAGCATCCATCTCCAGCAAGTTGATCAGGTTGAAGTTTAAAGGGAAATTACGCCACATTTGAGAGACAGGAGGGACTCTGCTGCTTGTGCTGACTTCTACAAAGTCTGATTCCTCTGGGAACTTACCTAACGTACACGACCCCTCCGCCGTGCTCCGCCTTGCGCTGCCAGCCGATGGGGACCTGGACAGGGACGGCCTGCCTCTCATCTCCTGCGTCACAGTCCTTTCCGCCATTCATTGCTCCGCTGGTTTTACGCTCGACACCTCAAAGGGATATATATCAGACATCAACCAGCGTCTTCGAAATGCTCGTCATGTTCGTCTTCCAAAGCCGTGGTGGTGGAGGAGGTGGTGCGAGGGTTGTAGAGACAGGTAGAGCTGCAGGATTATGATTCAGGGTGGGACTCTGCTCTCAAGTGGAGCCGATGGGGAAGTGGGTTTTTTGGGTAGGGTGAGGCGAGCTCACGACAGACCCTACCCTTTGAGCGGCGTCATGGTTACAGGGCTGAATGGTGTGTGGACTTCCATTACTGCATCTTGTCTGATAAAGTGAAGAACGAGAAAGTCTTTTAATTTGAAAGTTTTACCATTTGTCCAGTGGGGTGTCTCAGAAACAGTCTCTCAGTCAGATAAGTAGAGTGTGTTTAACATCTTGGTTCCCAAACGCGGTTGGGTAGTGGTATTCCCATGGTTCCTGTGGCGAGAGGACAGAGGAAAAATGGCCATGAGTGAGTGGTTGATGCTCAAGAGTTAAAAACCACAATTTCATTAACTTTCATTAACACCAAGGTTCATTTTCTGCAACATGAAAAAAGACAAAAACAAAAGGACAAAAAATGGCTGAAGAATCTTGAGCAAAGTTACTACAAAGTGCTGTTGAACCTTTTGGAGATTTAAAATCTGTTATGTGGCTCATACTGGAGTCCCTGGATCATGTTTCATTGTCTCAACAGAGCTAAGGCCACACATGCCCACCTTGGTTGCCCCTCATGTTGTTTTAACACAGATCTGAATACCTACAGAGGAACAGCTTCTTATATTTCAACGGCATGCTTTTTGACATTTCAAATGAAGGAATGTAAATCATGCGTAGAAAATCAAGATGAGTGTAAACCATCTTTGTACAACAGCTATAGGTTATTAAAGATTTGACTCAGGAGCAAAATAACCACAGGTACAGAGATGTTTTTGTTATATGGGCTCTAAAATGGAGGTGTACTATAGAAAAAAATATTAGGGTGAATTTTTACATTAGGGGACGTCATTACATCCTGCTCTACAATAAACAGAAGGATAGGCAGCAGATCTCACTTTAGATAACCAGGCCTACAGAATGACTGCATTACAGCATTAAAAATGTTTCAACACATCTTAACAGCGTGGTGAGATATAAGAATTTTGTTAAAGAAACAAATTCTTTAATTAAATTTTGCAGCACAGTGGAAAGATTTATTTTCACACTAAAATATTGGCAGTATTTCTTCCCCCGTCTCTCAGACAGAGAATTTCAAACACTGGTGGGAGCCCATCAAAGCTGTTAAATCGGGCTGAACTCTGTACGTGAGTGAAGGAGCTTCATGCAAAGCCTCCTCTCAGCCGCCGGTGCTGCTGACTCATAACTGCCCTGTGAGCTGCTGAGACCAAACCCAGTGACACCACCACAGAGGAAGAGAGGTACCATGGCACAGTAAAAAACAAGGCAGCAGCACTTAAACGTACGCCGTTTATCTGGAAATACACACAGCAGCAACAGTCACACCTCATCATCCCAGGAGAGGTGCATCATGTCCTATCACAACCAGCACATCATTAAAATCTCATTTTCCACGAGTCCATGTTTAGAAAATGCAGAGGTAACTGAAAAATACGATTTCTTTTGTTGCATCCACATCGAAGCCAAAACGCTTCTACAACAAGAGCTTGTGAAGAATCGCCGTTTTTAAAGTCTCCTGCGTTGCCAAATGTTTAACCCTGATGTTGAGAGGTTTCGCTCAGGTATTTGGTCTTTGTTTGCTTGAATCAGACAGAGGGTGACTAAGAGAAGGAGGTAATGTGCAGCAAAAGTCCTGGACCGGATTCAAATCAGTCATTTTGATTAAAAATTACATTTGTACCTTTGCCAAATGATTTCATCTCAACCTTTGGCAGAGCAACTGCTCTTAAATCTGCCACCTTGCTGATGTGAAAGCACAAAATTGAATCTAAAATCCCAACATCATTTCACTGCCCTTCCCCTCCGATGTTTCCTCCACCAGATCCAAAATAAATACCTGCACTTGCAAATCTGTAACCTTTTACTGCATGTTGATACATATTTTTTTAGTATGTTCTTGGACATTTGTGTGTATCTCTTAGAGAGAAAAAAGGACATGCGGATAATGCAGTGTGACTATAATACACCGATGTGTAGAGTTTTATTTTGCAATAAAGCTCTAGAGCCTACGCTGCACTTTAGGATATGCACTACAGGACTACCAAATAGCTGTAAAGCACATGAATGTAATTTTCTACAGCTAAACCATAGCTGCAGCAGGCCACCTTTTTATATGTCAGGGTCATAGTGTCTTCAGATATGTTGTTTCTAATGTTTGCAGATATGGCACAAAGAGGTAGAGGGTAAAGAACTTGTGCCAAAAAACAAGAGGCAAGAAGACTGCGACGAGAAGAGATTTAACGCCTCGGAAATAACTCAGAGTTAAGAAGAAGAGAGGCAGCGGATAAAAGTGAACATTGACTGCAGATTTCTGACATGATTTCAACCCCAATGCTGCGTTTTTTTCTGCCCTGAAAATGCTCATGACTCCTGAAGCCAAAGTTGCACCAGGAGGACACCAAAATCTTTATGTGTCCTTCTCCTACTCTGTAGATGTTTGGATCTACGAGTTGATTCTGCAGAGGGCACAGACACTTGTCATCATCATCATCATTCCACCATCAGAAATTATACTGGGGAGAAATGTCAGCTATAAATGACAAAAAGGGTATCGTGGAGTTTGATAATGCTACTGCAAAGTCACCGAGGTCTGTGATTTTGAGACAAGACTAGAAACAGAGAGCATGTCGTACATTTTGTAACGCAGAGAAGGTTGATCTGACCTTATCAGAAACACACAAAAGCATACCCCATTTTTTTCTCCCCAACAAAACATTCAACACATATTTGGGGGGAGAGGGAACAATCTTTGGCCCTGCGTTTTGATGGGAATGCTTCAGTGTTTGGACTCAATCCAGCTGCTAACTTCATACAGTCAGTATGGAACAAGGAGGGAAGTTAATGCAGCGAAAGACATAAATACAGAGGACTTACAGCAATGCAGTCTGTGAAAGAAAAAAAAGGCTTTGATAAGAAATCGCATCAACATGACAAGTGGAAGCGCAGCCAAAGGTTGAGTAACTAAATTTGCGGTCCATTAAGCATGGAGGCTTATGTAAATGAAAAATGCTCTCAATGTCTAAATTTTGAGGAATATGTGCAAACGAGAAGCTTGTGTTCAAAGTATTTTTTCATTTCTCTCATGTTCATGTGCCATTAAAGTGATTTGTGTTGTGGTAATGCAGTGGGTAACAAACATTTGGTGGCAAAATGGTAACAGGATATCATTTGTTGTGCATTTTAGAGTGATCTTATAGAAACATAATGGTTACAGAACATCACACATTGCCTTTACGTTTTGTAGATTGCAGATAAAATTGAAAAATGCAAAAACAACCGCTGAAGATAGCGCTGCGTGATACTGGATTCTGTCAATGGTAGTCGGGTCAGTATTTTCTAACTCATCTTGGTCGATATTAAAATAGATACTCAAACATAAACACTGTTTTTTACTGTGAAGAACACCAGTCCACCCTGCACTAGAATTCACATTTTACTCTTATTGTGACAGTATCCTTATTTTAGTGTTTGTCACTGAGGCTGATATGAAATTTTAACTCCAAAATGACGATATCCTTAAATTAAAAATGTAAACTACAATTAAAAATATCTGTTCAGTGTTAAGAAATAATGTGCTCATCAAGCTTTTTACATTCAGGCAACTTTGGGTTCAGTAAATCTGTGCTTTTAGATGCAATTTTCCATTGTAAAAAAGACTGTTTCCTTTTTTTTTTACATTTCTGATGAAGCTGCACAAATTCATTAATCAAAAATAGTGAAATCACAACATGGTTAAGTTGCTGGACACTGTAATACTAGACAAAGGTATGTGTCATGACAGAGTATTATGATGGAGCTCTGTGGTGCTGCAAAATTGTTCCTGCCTTATCAGTGTTGTTTTCCTGATGTACTAAAACACATTTTTGGTACACACTCCAACAAGCATCACTACATCACAGTTTAACGTGTTTTTTTCAGTGCAAATGAAAAACGGCACACACAACGTGCTAATACATACTTATCATGATGAATCTTACAATATCTGCCAAAATAATCTAACTATGAGTTTCTTAACACATCCTAAAGCGCTAATTTCTACCACAATGTAAGAACTTCTTTCAACAACTATGACGTCTGATTACAAAAGCTTTTGGCTAATGCTGAAACAGATTCTAGGATTGTAAAGTATGGCATCACATGAGCAGAAACATTAGTTAACATCAACCCTGGCAAACTGTTTCTTTAGTGGACTTGTCTTAATTTGACGGAGACCTTTTGACATGTGCTGAAAGACACTCTGGTCTCTAGACTCGGCTCTGTCTCACCTAATGCGCTGCCGTCTGTACACTTCATGCAGAGAAAGTCTCAGTATAAAGGGAACTGGGGGGAAAACTACCAACACTTCAAACCACTTATTCAACAAATGCGTTTCTGTTCCATAAATTGGTTTTCAGTCTAACAAATTACCAATTAACATTATTGGTACGGCTGGGCGATATGGAAAAAGTTTATCACAATATATATTTTTGTCACATCAGTCGATATCCATATATATCACGATATAAAAAATGAAATGTAACAGTGTTTATTGGTTGCATGTCTTTTCCAATACAATAATCTACTGCATCTGTGAGGTCTTTGTGTCTCTGGCATTTTGTTGTAAGGCGGACTGAATGGTCGGCTGTTTCGACTGCACAGGCGCCATGGGCTCCTTGCTTTGCTCAGGTTTGTAAACCTTTTGCGTTGCGCGTGCTCTGTGGCGTGGCGCTGCTTCAGGTGGTGAAAAAGATTTGAGTACATGTTCTCGACTTTGTGAGAACGTGTACTCGACATAATTTGCAGCGCACATTACTCTGCTTCATGTCTGACCTCAAAAAAAAAAATACCTCCACAATTTTCTCACCAACAGTGCTGTCGGCTTCACCTGTTAAAGTGCTATGGTTGGGTGTAGCTGCTGTCTGCTATGACGCAGTTGTTTGTTACTTGGTTCTAATTCAGCACATGATTGGTTCAGCACGAAGCGGACCCAGAGAAACTCCCCTTTTCATTGGCTATTCTTAAAATCGACCAAAACATGGCGGAATGCAGACTATCGAAAAGCATATTGACCATATTGATATTGAGGGAAATTAATTTTGGATATATGTATCGTTATCGTTTTATTGCTCATCCCTAATTATTGGTATTGGTCAACCACTGGTACAAAGCATAACACTGTCAGCACGTGCAATATATTTCTTTTGCAAAACCTTCAGGGCGAAGTCATGTTCATTTGATAATAACTCATACAGAGATCTTCTTTCTGCAGATATTTGTCTCCAACTGAAATTAACAGACAGGCTACCATGAAGAGTGGCATACGGTGCATTAAAGTGACTATTTCAGATCTGTATTTTGCATAACTCTGGTGCTGCTTCATGTCACCTTGAATCAGGACCATGTTTGGGTGTTAAAATGTGACAAGGAAGAGCATGCTTCCTCTGTATATTTGTGTGTGCTGTTAAAAATGTCACCCTGACGTAGGATGTGTATTTTCTCTGCAAAAAGCCTCAGCTGTGTCTGGAGTATGATTAAAAATATAAAGACTTTAAGTGTGCCACACTAAAATGATTCAGCCTCCTCTTATTGAGCCCCTGATTCACAGGTATCTACCACTTCTCTTTTTAGTACCTGCTGAGATTAAATCCATTAATTCTCAGCCTGGCATCTAAATCTTGCTGTAACCCCTGGTAGCAGGCTAAGGCTAGCTTTGGGGGTAAATTAGCCACTTTATCCTGCTGCAGCCTTCAAAGTTGACAGCTGCTCCCAACATGACAAGACTGTTTTCTCCAACTACACAACATGACAACAGCTTGAGTTTACTACAAGAGCAACCCTCGGTGCCTGAGAGTTAGATAATGGCAAATTAGCTCTGTGAACATTAGCCAGACTGGTCTATCAACTATGCCAAGTGTTGCTTTATTAACGTTGTAATCAGAGTAATATGATGTTAAATACAGTCTATTTCACTCACATGCATCTAAAAGTGAATAATCCGCGGGCTTTTCTGTTCAGAGCGACTGTGTCAGCTCTTAAACCTGCTGGTCTGCCTGTTTTTGATGCATTAGACCCTCAGACCCTCAGTTAGCTCGGAGACCGTCAGCTGTCCGGCTACCGTTAGCAGCTAGGTAACCTGCTAGCTTGTTGTAAGGAAAATGAATCAGAGCGCGAGCTCGGCTACGCTAATTACCGTTTAACGGTTAATTCACCCGCCGGAACCGGGCTCGCTCGCGCCGAGGACAAAAGGGACGGGTTCCGACTTCAAAATGTCGAAGTAAAAAGCAGCTGGGCCCGCGTTAGGGTTTTGAGCCCAAAGGGGGCCAGGCAAGGCCAGGGCCAGGGCCGAGTTAGCACGGGTTAGCTTAGCATGCTAGCTAAGAGCCGTTGCGTTCGCAGAGAGAGAGCGAAGAAGAAGAGAGAGAGGGAGAGAGAGACGCTTTAACGTTTCTGTCTGCGCCAAATTCAACCCCAAACAGGCCCTTCTTACCCCGGCATCCCCGAGAATGCACTCCGGAGCTGAAACAGTGGTCAACGAGAGCAGCGGAGCGTTTGTGAGCTGAAGAAAAATAAGAATAAGAAGCCTACCCATTAGTTCTCTGCCTCTGCTGGTTCTCCTACACTGGGATATTGGAAATGATGGAGAGACGCACAGCGCATGCGCGGCAGGAGCAGGCAGCAGATGGGAGAGGTGATGCACAGTTACCTCCTGAGCTCAGATACACAAGGTCTGCAGGGTCGAAGTTAGCTGTAAAATTATCAATATAAAGGTGGATGATTTTGATCGGCTGACTCTGACATATGTATCATTTTTAATGGTTTCTTGAGTGAAGTATGAGGGAGTAACAGCTGTTCAAAATAAAGGACGGTGCACGTGTTTATGATTTGGATGTTCAAATATCAGTACAGTACAAGTCAAAGATGCACAGACAAAATTCAACTGTAATTTAAAAAACTGGAGTATTATAGGATGTGGTAGGATTAAATAACTCATATTGACCCCTAATGGGGATATTTGGTTGTTGCAGTGTCACACAGACAAAGACAGTATAATGATAATAATAATAATAATAATAATAATAATAATAATAATAATTATTATTATTATTATTATTATTATTATTATTATTATAATTATAATAAATATAATAATAACTTTATTTTTATAGCACTTTTATAAACAGAAGTTTACAAGGTGCTTTGACAAACAGTCATTTCCAGCACATGGAAATAAAAACAATAAAAACAAAAGCTCGCTCAGTTAAAAACAAGACCTCCAAATTAATGGACAATTTCATTTGTCATAAGAAACCCAGACAATACAAGAACCTTACAACATAAAATGGGACCATGAGGACCAAAATAGTTCAGAAAAACAAAATGTAATTTAAAAAAGGTGGGATAGAAAACAGGAAACAGGATAGTAAATATAAAAAGACAATAATGATAATGATAATGAAATCATAAAAAAATAATAATGATGTTAATATTTATGATAACACTGAATAACAAAAATGAGCAGGAAAAAACAATAAAATCAATAAAAGGCCAGAAAGGTTAAATAAGAAAAGATTATAAGTAAAACAAAGGATAATAAGACAGTAAGTTAAAATAAAATAGAGGTAAAAGAGGAAAGAAGAAAGAGAAAAGACGGCAATACATAAAAGCAAGTCTGTAAAAATGAGATTTTGAATTAATGTATGGTACAGAATAAATGTATATAAATATTATAACTGGAAAAAATAGTTTTAAAATTGCACATTATATGACAATAGTAGCAGTAGCAGATATATCAACATCAATAGTGATGCAATTCAAATTAAAAAGACAATTTATTGAATCCTTTACAAAAGATTTCTTTGGATCAATAAATGTAAAAAGCAGCGGCTCAGTCATGTGGACTGAAGAGTGGATGCAGCTGAGGATGTAAAACGCTTGAATTTGTGTGAAGGTCAAACCTGAGGAGATGTTGAATTAATTCAGTGTATAGGCTGCTGTAAAAAGAACCGCTTCATGTGTTTTTAAGGGCAAACACAAAAGCTGAACATTCGAGAGGAGGGCTGTATTTCAGAATAATGTGACAGGCTGAATCTGAGCAGAGACGGGAGAGGATTTTTCATGATATCTTTTGTTTTATTGTGTTTTAAATAATAAACCAAAATTCACAGGAGGTGTTTCAGTGTCTCTGGAGCTTTATCATCATTGTAAATAAGTGGAAGATGCTGTTCTGTAGAAAACATGAAAGCCTGTCAGATAAACCATCCTCCACATTTGATTAAAAATCAAAGGTAGTACGGCTTTGCTGAATTTAATAGTCTGTTTGTGATTGCATATGAATACCTGTGTAAGAGTGATGCAAACACTTTGTAAATTTAGATGGTGTTAAATATGAGCTGTTTCTGGGTGAACGGTTTTGGTATCACTTTTAAAAACTCACACTTAAACTTAAAAAAAATGGGAATTAAAGTTGTTTTTAAATCTTTATTTTTATTATTCATAATTTCATTGTTACCGCTATATAACTTCGTTGTGTGTACTCTCTCTCACTCACTCTGTGTGTGTGTATATATATGCATATATATATATACATATATGTATATATAAACACTCTGCTGGTTTTTATATTTATTGATCCAAAGAAATCATTTGTAAAGGATTCAATTAGTTGTCATTTTATTTTGAATTACATCAGTATTGATGTTGATATAACTGCTACTGTTGTCATATAATGTGCAATTTTAAAGATATACTTTCCAGTTTTCATATTCATAAACATATATTCTGTACCATATATGCTATCATTGTCTGTGTGACGCTGCAACAACCAAACATCCCCATCAGGGGTCAATATGAGTTATCTAACCCTACCACATCCTATGAGAGATTTTTTTAATTGATCTTTTGGTCATACACATACAGAGGAGAACATATGCACTTATTAGTTAAAAAAAAACCCACAAATATATTGTGTTTTTTTCTCCTTTTTCATGGTCTGTCACATTTTTTTTCTTATACTTTAACTTGACAAACAAGAACACACATTCTAAACACAAATATGAGTCTGCAGTCCAGCAAAAACATACAAACAAGCCAGACCTACACCAAAAAATAAAAATAATAATACACCTTAGGAAGTCTACATAGTATACATGTATACAGTTGAATACAGTATCCTGCATAAAAAACTTACAAAAAAGAAATATTATGCTGGTTATATATATATGTTTTTTTGTTGTTGCAAAAACAGCCATCTGTAGCGCCGACGCTACGTGTGACGTATCCTTACCTTAGCCAATCACGGACGGAGAATTACTCAAAGCAGGAAGTCGTCACTGTTCCCAGTGAAGTATTGAGAGGTGACCAGATGCAGCGCAAGATGGCGGACCCAAAGATAGAAAACCACATTTACAAAACGCAATAAGTTCCTCCGATTGGCGGACCCAAAACAATTACTTCCGGTGGAAAGGCTTTCTCGTTGGCGGACTTCCGGCGCCGAAATACTTCAGGTAGTCGGATTTAGTCGCCGGATCCTTTTTTTTTTGCTCCGTTCATTCCATAAGAATCGAATTAAATTTATTATTGAGCTAAAAATCAAAATAAAACGTTTATGTATTAATTATGACTACTGTTTTGTTCTGATTTAATTCTGAAGTTTACAGTAATATGTATATATAGCCTGATGTCCTCATATTCTGATAATTTGTCAGAATAGGTAAATGTATGTAGAAGTTATCATCTTACTCAAATTCTTTTGTAAGAGTTTGCTACAAGTATGGACTGTTTTAACCTCTCGTTACACATCATATAACAGTGTTTTCTAACTTTTCTCTCCAATAGCTTTATTACACAGCACATCAATGTTTCTTAACTTCTCTGTGACCTTGTTTCTCCACTCCTATTAGGACCTCGTTTAATGTCAACAATGTTGCCCTGACCCTCACATATTTTCTGTTGTTCATAATTATGTTTTATGAGAGTGCTTATGTTGCTGCACAAATTTACTCCCCCCATCCTTTAGTAACATTGTGTAACCAGGGACATAATTTATGAAATGGTGTGCTTCCTGGTGAACCTCTTCAGGATTGCTTGACTGTGCAAAATCCAAGTATACAATAGTTGTAGAGACACAAGTCACATGATCTCTTTAAGGTTCAGAAGAGCCATATAGCAAAAACAATTGAATAGCGATATCATTACAGACTGTGTAAAGAAATGGGAAATTGTCATACAACTGCTTTGAAGATTTCTTTAATTTTTTCCAAACAAAATTGTGAACAGTAAAAAAATATATATATATACAAAATTCAGCACTGCCGTCGGTGTGGTGGGGGGCTTAAAACACGTTGCCACAGGCCATCATCAGCTCTGCTCTGAACCGGTTGATGCCATGCTCCTTCAGTGCTTTGATCAAAAGCTGAAAAACAGTCAAATAATGTGAACAATTGAAGTTATGCAGTATGGGTTAATTGTTGTTCTTGAGCTTTCCAAATGAATAAGAACAACCTCTTAACAATATCATCATTTTTCAAAGCAAGCTATATAGTTTGATCTACTCACCTCTGGGAGCATGACGTCAAAAACGAAATCAAGCAGATGAATCTCGCCTCTCTTTATTTTTTTAGAAATGTTTGTTGCCACCTCAATGAACCGCAGGAGCTCGAACATCTATTGAAGAAAAACACAGAAAGTAAACACCTTTCAAATGTAACACCCCTGAGAGTAAAAATACTCATGATGGATGGCATTTTTACTTACGCGCTGCTCACTCCAACTTAGTGTCCTTATCTTAAGATGCTGCTTTAGTCGGAGTGAGGTGGCGGGATTCCTCCAAAGGAACATTCTGTTGGAGCGGATCTTTCCAGACAGTAGATCATCGTGTAATGTCTGAAACCAAAGAGCAAGAGACAAAAATGTAATCATCTGAAAAAGAAACGGTGGCTTTAACAACTGATAGTGCATTCAAAAGCAACCTTGATCTGTGTCTTAGAAAAGACAGCATGAATTCCTCAACTGTCAACAGCATCCTTGATCCTGCAGAGAAATAAGAAAAGAGCAAGCCCTCATTTTTTCATCCTTTGAGCCTCGTATTTTTGACTGATACTATGTTTCCTTTGATAAATTATGTTATACCGAGGATGCTCAATGGAGTCCTCGCACCCGCAGTCAAACGGCTCCATTTCAATCCCAGCACAATCCTGATGCAGCCAGCCCCTGCACGTCTTGCACTGGACCCATTTTATGACGTTTACCTCAGGGTAAAGCAATCTGATCAAATGAGAGACAAACATAATATCAAACAAACACGCTGTCCAATTGATTATACCTCTGCAGCACATTTGAATGTATAAATAATTTTCCTGCATGATTCGTGCATTTAAACTATATGTAAAAGTGGTCACTTCATGGAAAATCACTGAATAGGCCCCGATAATTGCATTTATTAAATTGAGTCTGCAACACACCTCTCTCCTGTGTTGTTCGATGTCTGGTAGACACAGAATTGCATTGAATCTGCCATGCACATTCTTTGGACATCCGATACCGTCTGCGTCATGGTTTCCTTGACAAGGCAATTTGAAAAGTAACATCAATTACCAAATACATCGAGACAATGTTGATCCATACAACTGTGTGCATTTTGAAGGACTCCCACTGAGATAATACTGTTTTTACAAGGCAATTTCCTAACCTCTGTGTCCTGCTGCTCTGCCTTCCTCTTTAGACTGAAGACCGGAGTATGCTTTCCAGCAATGAGCTCTTGACATTCTTTGGTCCAGTGGGCGAAGATTTTCCCACAACTGTAATGACAATATGTCTTTAAGTACAATATATTGATTGTCTTCCAGTTAATTAGGACATCTAGTTTACTTAAACTGTCTACCTGTTCAAAGAATTGTTCTCCAGGAGCAACAGGCACCACCATCGCCGCCAAACAGGCATGTCATGCTGAAATTGTTGTTTGTATTTCATTTTAGTGCACAATACAAAATACAATCTTGAGGATGACACTGCGTGTTGAAAAGTACTTACAACTGAGTAGTCAAACTGTGACTCCATAACGATGTACATGGCAGACTTTAAAAAAAAAATTATGAGACAACATGTGAGATAACTTTAAAAAAGTCCATGTTGGAAAGTTATTCTAGATACAATATTTGTGCATTACAGCTCGTTATGACCTACCATCAACATGAATATGCCACAGTCTGAGCCGAAGTCCTGGCTGGGGAAGCCCTGATTTAACAAAAGCAAACGTTAATCATCTTGTCACATACACTTTGTAGGAGCCAGATTGGGGTTTTGCAGTTTATTGTTATGTATTTTTTGTGCCAGCAGATGGTGCTATTGTGCCCGTCTATTTAATGGGTGGGTTGATTAGGAGAGGTGCGCACATAAAATGATGAATGAGTAAATAAATCAAAACAACAGAAAATGTGTGTGACATGTGACATTATTCCACCTGCGGGCACGCATCAACTCAAGCAAAAAGGTGTTCGCCACAAGTAACAGCATTGGAAAGCTGTTATACACTTTTCAACTGTAATATAGAGCATGCACAAATACCTCCAAATCTCTGCCCGTTTTCTCAGTCCATTGCCCAGGACATATCTTCTGCGCAATGTTCCTGTTAATTTGAGAGCGTCACTTAGATTTCCCATGATGGAAACAATGGAATGCAGGGTTAGGGTTAGTTTGAGTGGTCGGAGGTGAGATTGAATGAATGCGGACGGCTTGCTTCTTTTCAAACTTCCTGAGAGTTCTTCTTCTTCTGTAAATTTTGCCGTCAGAAAGTGTAGGTACATACCGCCACCTACTGTTCTGGCATCGCAAAGCAGAAGTTCAAAGTTCATGTTTTGGGTCCGCCAATCGGAGGTAATGCGGAAACTTATTGCGTTTTGTAAATGTGGTTTTTTATCTTTGGGTCCGCCATCTTGGCGCTGCATCTGGGTACTCTTGGAAGTATTCCCGCGAAGACTGAAAGTCCTCACCAAAGCCGGAGAATTTCTGCCTTTTCTGTGTGTGTTTTTTACTTTTTTCGGGGTATGTTTCTTACTTTTTTTGTATGTTCTACAGACTCAGTCTTATAAGTGTAAATACACGATAACAATGATATTTGATCGCTAAGTAAAAGCTTGTGCAGTGACGGTCTCTAAAGCGTGGAGCAGCAGTGACACCAAACCCTATCTGTAATATACAACAAATAACACTCTCGTGCTGTAAAGACAACGATTTTTATGCGGATTTATTTCTATTGTGACCAATTTTAAATATATTCGAACTCCTTATTATTTCGGCTTATATCCCATTTACATAGATTATCGTATTTACTGTAATTTAAAGACACTTTAATTATAAGAAGCTTTTAAAGTTGACTCAGATATATTTTGTTGCATGAGCTGTCGGCCGAACTGAAGGGTATTGGTTTTGGTGTTTTAGAACCCAAATAGACTCCAAATCTCTCTGGGTAAAGGTCAAAAAAGAAACTCAGAGTTAATAGTGATTTTACTCTCGGGTTTGAGTTGGCACGGTGACCCTGAGGTTAGTCCCTGCCATGTTGAGATAATACTTAATGGAATAAAAACATATTGATCTAAGTTTAAGTATCTTCATTTAGGACCTTTGGAGTCTCTGCAAAACTCACGTCCCTAACCAGTGCCACATATGTTTTCTGGTGTAGAGTCCCAGCATCATGAGCAAGAGGAAAGTTGGAGCTGCTCACATGCCTGTGGGAGAATGCATCACACAGGTTTGACAGATAAGCTCGTTTTTGTTGTTGTTACTACAGAATCTGATTTATTTCATTACATTTCTGTGCAATGTTTTTCTGGATCTTTCTGTGCAGGTTCAGGAGATTTTAAGGCAGCGGTTTTGCCGTCAGAGGGTCCCGGACAGGCCTGGAGGAGTGGAAGCTCAGCACAAGTGGGTGTATTTGAAGTCACATCAACCTAATATGCACCAATTTCTACATCTGTTTCTGTCAAACATCGCTCTGAATGAAATATTAACTAAGTTTTTGTTCTTTAATTTGTAAAGAAATACTAAAAATTCTCTTTGAAGCTCGTGATTATGTTTAAAAGAGCTTTTCCTCTCTGATTAAGTGTTTAACATAAGAAAGCTAAAACTGGACACAAGTAACAAACTAGGGTCGTATGAAGTAAGAGAAGAAGCAAAAATCTTCTTGGACGGGGATTTTTGCGACGCTCAGAGGTTTAAAAATGGAAATAATCACAGAGGGTGTCAGGGGAGCTGTTACCTGTAAAAGACATGTGTTAGTGTTCAGTCTCAGTTACAGTGAGTGACCCACTTTGCTTATAGCAGCTTTGTCCCAGTTTGAAGCTTGAGATGCTCCAGTGTCCCAGCTGACTTAAACACAACAGCATCCCAGAGACTGAACTCCACCTCAGACGGTCAGGAGTCAGTTATCTGCAGCTACACACCTCTCCTGTAACCACAGAGCGCTTTATTTCTACCACTGCTGATGCATTGTGGGTATCCATAACACTGTATTTTGCAGACACCTTCTGGGGCTGCTGAAACGGACGGCTGTCCACGGGGAGAGTAACTCAGTGCTTATTGTCGGGCCCAGAGGAGCGGGAAAAACAATGGTGGGTCTTGCGCTGAAAATGGCCTGATGGGTAAAAAAACAAACTCAAAGATGAATCTTTGTGAAGTTTGTTTTAGACCGGGGGAGGGACCGACTGTCTGATGGCGTTTGTGTTTTTGTGTGCAGCTGCTGAAGTGTGTGTTGAGGGATCTGATGGAGGAGAAAGAAGTGCAGAAAAACCTGCTGCAGGTTCATCTCAACGGTACTGAGTCTCTACCAAACCTAGGATTATTTTTGCACGATTCGAGGACCTATAGATGTTTTTAATTCAGAGGTTTTGGGTTTTGTAGGTCTGCTGCAGACTGACGACAGAATAGCACTCAAAGAAATAACACGGCAACTCAGTCTGGAAAACGTAGTTGGAGACAAAGTGTTTGTAAGTATTTTGCAGGAGGTTAAATCAACATTTAACAGTCGTGAATCTGCTCCTAAAACCTGCCTCTGTTCTGTTTCAGGGCAGTTTTTCAGAGAATCTAGTGTTCTTGTTGGAGGCTTTAAAGAAAGGTAAAAAAAATCTGCATATTGACTGTGATCGCCATAATTTTAGACGTCATGTCTGAAGGCTTTTCTCTCCAGGTGATCGAAGCAGCAGCCGCCCCGTGTTGTTCGTCCTGGATGAGTTTGACCTTTTCGCCCACCACAAGAATCAGACGCTTCTTTACAACCTGTTTGATGTCTCCCAGTCTGCCCAGACTCCCATCGCTGTGGTGGGGCTCACCTGCAGACTGGTGAGCCTCGATCAATCACCCTAACTCCATTCAGATTCTACTTTGATCCTGTTTGTGGGATTTTTCAGAGTTTCTTTCTCATATTTATTACAGGATGTTCTGGAGCTGCTGGAGAAGCGGGTGAAGTCGCGGTTTTCTCACCGTCAGATCCACCTGCTGAGTAGTCTGACGTTCCCTCAGTACCTGGAGCGGGTCCAGACCCAGCTCAGCCTGCCTGACGACTTCCCAGACGAGAACTTTGCTCAGAACTGGAACTCCAGCATAAAGGTGAGTGAAGGAGGGTGAGGATAAACTGTGTTTGCACCAGTTATCATTTTTATCACCCGTTTGGTCTGATTTCTGTCGTCAGGCTGTGTGTGAAGACAAATCAGTCAGAGACGTTTTACAGAGACACTTCAACTCCAGCAAAGACCACCGGACGATGAACATGCTGCTGGTAAAACTTGAGAGTGAAAACACTGAATTTAGATGTCATCTCCTGCACATGTCCTTGTTCTTCAGTGCCTCAAAATCCTTGATCAGTGCTCACGGGTTCTTCGTCATCAGTTTCGGTCTGTTTTTATCCCCAGATGTTGTGTCTGAGTCGCGTCTCTGTTTCCAAACCCACCATCAAACCTGCAGATGTGCTGGAGGCCAGCAGGATGTGTTTCAGTGACGCCAAGGCGAACATGCTGCATGGTGAGAAATAAAAAACAAACTCAAAGACAGGACTGGATTTCACACTCTCTCTCATCATTCTGTCTCTTCTGCTCTCGTCAGGTTTGTCCATCTTGGAGCTGTGCCTCATCATCGCCATGAAACATCTCAACGACATCTACGAAGGGGAGCCGTTCAACCTGCAGATGGTTCACAACGGTGCAGACGGGTTCTTTTGTTAATAAATAAGGATTATAACGAGTTTGAACTGCTGGACAGCTTCTTAAGGAGATGAGAAACAGGAAAATCAGTGAGGGGGATCTGTTCAAATAATGAATCCTCCCTTTTTGTCTTTCAGAGTTTAAGAAGTTCCTGCATCGAAAGTCCAGCTCCATGTACAACTTTGAGCAGCCCGTCATCATGAAGGTCTGAATTTAACGTTAGAAGAAAAACAGTCAATATTTTAATATTTAAGCCTCTGTAATTACAGACCTGACTTTGGTTTGTTTACTCGTGTCTCTGCAGGCCTTCGAGCACCTGCAGCAGCTGGAGCTGATCCGGCCCGTAGACGGCTCCTCAGCCAAAACTCAGAGGGAGTACCAGCTGATGAGACTCATGCTGGACCACAGTCAGATCATGGAGGCCCTGCAGAAGTACCCACAATGCCCCACTGACGTCAAACAGTGGGCCATGTCAGCGTTCGGCTAGGACTCGGTGTTCACCCGCTGTTTTCTTCTTGAACTTTGTTTTTTTCTTGCACACAGATACAAACCTTTAAAAAACCAGCACTGTGACTTTAATCAGGGGCCAAAATGACCACCGGGAGAAAACATGGCTTCACGTCATTAAATCCACACCAGACTGTGACCGTTTGTCTCTGTATGACACTTGAAGAGTTGTGATCTTGAAATAAAAAGAGTTTTGTTTAACTGACATGAAAAAAATAAACTAATTTCATTTTAGAACTTTTAAAAGTTTCACCTTCCAAACACTGAAGAGTGGTGGAGCGGCAGGCACCAGGCTGCAGAGTGCTGCCCTCTAGTGGTGAGATTCTGCATTGCATTATATATATCTGTATCTATAAACAGAAATGCAGAAAACCCACATTAGATGCTATTTTGATTTGTGGGTACAGGCCTGTAATCAAGCAGGAACATCTAATCCTTATGTACCTTAGTGTAATCACGCTGACATGAGTGACCTTTCCTCTTCAATCCTGCACAGAAGCCTCTGAACATACAGCACATACGCGCAGTTAACAGATATATAAATAACATACAGGGGGATCAGGACTTCTTCTGGACTTCACGCAGCACTTTTCAGTCCAGTCTGAGCCAGGAGTCTGAGGAACAGTCCTGACACGTTAAATAAACTCTGACTTCTACCTAACAGGTGACTAAAGAAGATGACGCTCCTGCTTTTACCAAAATCTGTCTTTTATATGTAGAGTTTACCTGTTTGAGAAAAGACTCCTGACATGCTTGAAAACCCAGAATGCCTCACTAACGCTGTGATCTCCTGGACGGTAAACCAGGGTTGATTTTGGTGAAAGAGAGTCAGATCAGAGACAGAAAGAAAAACATCAGCAGTCACAATCTAAAAACACATTTATTTACATCACGTGGATCACTTCAGCTGATAAAAACTGTACGCTGAGAGCTGCAGCGCTGACTGCTGATCACTTTGTCTCCTCTGTGATAATGTCTGCAGGGTTTCTGACCGTTTTCACCGGTCGAAGGTCAGACTCACTCCAGCTAAAGAAACTCAAAGTGGGATGTTTTCTTTCGGTACTTCCTACATGTTTTTTTCCACTTTGAAATTCCCGACTAACAGTCTTGTCCTATTTTCACATTTTTTGCCAGTAACATAAATGTACAGTCACATGTTTCAGGAGTAAAAAGACGAGACGTTCTCCTCGTTTGACGGACTCTAGTCTGAAAACATCCCACTTCAGTTTCACGTCTCAAAAACAGAAACCCTGTGAGCGTCACTATCACCACAGACTGTGTTGGCAGATTCTGGATCAGCGCTGCAACTCCGGAGCCTTGAGAAATGTGGGGTCAAAAATGCTTGTAGTGTTTCTCTCTTTTTTTTTTTTTTTTGTAGAAATTTCAGGCCTGGCGACTGGAGTAATCCGGCTGCCAAGACAGCCTTGGCAGCGAGGTCATTGGAGTTCAATGTTTCCTCTAAAATTCTTGCCAACAGTTGGAAAAAGCAGGAGAGTGAGATGCTGGAATGAAATACCTGTAGTGGGTGATTGTTCTATCACATGTGGAGTATTGCAACTGCTCTCAAAGAGCTTCAGGGAGTCTTTAAAATGCAACCATAAGGGGACCCGAATCGGCTCCTTGTGGAACGCCCCTGGGCCAAATGTCTGTCGCCGTTTGTCTATTCCTCTCTGCCAAGAAACCCTTAAGTGCTTTCTGGGATACCACACAAAGTACTCCAATGAGCCTCTAGCTTTTAGCTTACACAAAGCTCAACTTAAAGTGAAGGACAGTTTTTTTCTGCAGCCGAGCCAAGCCGCGCTGCCGAGTCAAAACACAAGAAGAAAAAGTATAAATGAATGTAGACGAAACACTGAAGTTCAACACGCACTTATAAAGATTCAGCTCAAGAGTATATAGTTGATACAGGTATTTATGTTCTCATGTCTGTACAGATCCTAGACTGCTTAAAATAGTGGGGGGCAACAAGACACAAATGTTTCACTGGTAGTTTATATGCACAGCAATGTGAGGTGCTGGGCTGGAGGAAGTCGGGTAGAAACCGGTAAACCGGCCTGCAGGAGAGACCCACTCATACACCCCCGTTTGATCGCGCGCAGGCGAGACGAAACACGTTAGTTAGGATCCTCAAAACCTGAGAGGAGCTGATCTGTGAACCCCACATTCATCAGTCCTGCAGAAACGCCCGATCAGCTGGTCCTGCCGAGTCTCAGCTTCACTGTAGACAGTGAGGCCTCACTCTGGTCTTTACAGTTTAACTGTAATTAACTCAGAACTAACGGAGCTTAACGTTTAAAGCAGCTCCTGAACACATCGAACTGTTTACAGGTTGTAGGAGTCAGGGTTTAGTTGCATCAATCTCGCTGATTGTTTTTGTTGCAGTCACTAAAGTCTACCTGCTCACGATTGGTCAACATCGCCCCAACTGCAAATGGAAGACATACTTCCCAAACTCCACCGAGGAAGCAGCCAGGAGTCTGTGTTTGAGCTCAAACTGTGACCAGAGAGTAAAGACAAAAGAAAGGGAACGAGATTGTCTCAAGAAGCTTCGAGTTTTCAGACGATTGGTGGAGTTTAAATGTCGACACTCCGTCAGGTCTGTGCTTAAATTTGGGATTTAAAGATTCATTTTTAAAGAGTGTGCTGACTTCATCCTGGTTTGATTGTTTTCGCCCGTTTCACCGGTTCAAACCCTCTGCAGGTGCATGAATGGATCTCCAGGTACGCTGGTTTTACAGGTTTCTACGGCGACAGGGCACAATCACACGAAACCAGCCAAACGCAAAGCCCTCTAAAGTTACACAGGGCCGGGCTCGATCCATCAAAGTACACACAATACTAGAAATCCAGGAGTCTGAAGAAGAACATTCATTCTCGGTCGTTTTTTTGTCCATAGACTGAATAGAAAGAAGCACGTTACAGTTTATATTTTTTTCTTTTTGAATTAAAGTATTTCCTGAATTACAACCAAAAACAACCCCCCCAAAACCCCGCCCCCCCCAGGAAAAAAAATAACAATCGTGCCAACTCTAACAACGTTATTCTGAGTCGCACCTGAGCTTCGATCCCCCCAAAACCTCAGGCCTGTAAATTAAAAAATAAATACAACATATCAATATGCAAGGTCACGGATTTTAAAAAACAAAATTAAAATGCTACAAGTTATTCTTGTGTGTGTGTCTGTCTGTGTGTGTGTGTGTGTGTGTGTGTATTGAAAGTCACTCCTGCAGCTGGTCCTACAGAGGTGTAGGGTAGTTTGCGGCACTGGTTGCATATAACTCGCGAGAACTTAGAAAAGCATAGTACTGAATCCCTGAATGGTATTTGTCGGTCCAGGACGGTTCCTCCTCCGGCGCAGTTTAGACTCAAGCTTCAAAAACACTGAACCTTTTCCAACGTCTACCTACAGTACTGTGATGTGGACGCCAACCAAACGCTGGCAGGTTGTTGTTTCTTTTTTGCTGTGGCTGACTGGAGCGGCCACTTTGGCAGAAAACATGGAGGCAGAAGTGAAGAATCCACCCGGCTGCTGAAATACTGCGTTTGAGGGCACATGACTGGGACTAAAAACAGGAAATACTTTAGGTTCGTCTCAGACGGAGTTAGAGAGACTTTTACGAGATTTTTATTTTAGTTTTTTTTTTTAAATCTTGTAACGCAATGGAAAAGGAAAACAAGAGTTTGAGTGTTTCCACAAACTTTGGACCCCACAGAAACGCCTGTGGGTGAGGTAGCATTGACTGAAGGGCTGCTGGGGTTTGCAGTACTGCTGATCGTCCCTGACTGCGCGGACGACGGCGATATCGATGAGAATATCGTGCTCGTGCTACAGTAAGCGAATAAGATGATGGCTTCTATTTCCTTCAGGTTTGCTGTTGTAGTCATCTTATCATGTGCTGAAAATAACATTCCTCTCTCCTGTCAGCTCCTCCAAATTTAAGCTTAGTGTCATTTTTTTTTGGGTTAAAGAAAAGGGAAATTCTGCAGATTTCAATCGTGTAAAAGTTCCTCGTTATTCAGGGATGAAGTGGGGTTTAATCAGGTGAGTAGTTCTCAGTTTGGCTCTTAAAGTTTACACTAAAGGACAGAAAAAGTGCATCAGACAAATACTGGGTTTGACTTTAGACTTGCGGATTATCTGGAGGACTTTCTTCAAAGCTTGGCTTCTCTATATTTTCGAGCACTACAGTACGGCGTTTGCTTTCAGGTCATGAATGGTAGGTTTGATGAAAGCATCCTTATGTATTGCCCTGAATGTAAAATGGTTCAGTGGAGAGATGTCGAAGTATTTCTGACCCCATACTTGGTTTTAAAGAGCTTGAGTCTGAACTGCACTGAGTGAAACCGTCCCAAAGCTTGAGGAGAGACTGCAGGTCTGCCGGCACCAGTGTTCAATGTCCCTCAGAAGAAAGAAAGATTCAAAAATGCCATTGTTGCCTTTTGCAGCAGTGACAGATACATCCGTTTTGCCTGACATCTACAAGAGTAACTAATGTGGAGACGTAGAAATGGCACCAGGATGAAAGAAGAGAGAAAGAAGAGAGTCCTCATCTCCACTCCAGCTCAGACTGCGGTTAGCCGTGCTGTCGTTTGGTTTGTGTCACTGAGGTTTCCAAATCAGGATTTTCAGCCCTATGAGCGGAAAAGAAATCCTGCAGAGGACTCAACGTTTCAGCTCTGATGAGAAACAGAACAACCAAAGAATCCAGCTTTTCAGCCAGAGCTGAAAAAGTTTCATTTGTTGGTTGAAAACGTCTGAAAAAAATCAGCTGAACCCTGCATGTCCGCCATCCAAAAGACGGCAAAAATACAGGCGGCTAACCTTAAAAAAAGAGCTGAAAACAGTCGATCTGGAGAGGATTTTAAGTCTTTTTTTTCAGGAGGAGCAGCAGGTTAAAGATGTAGGCTAGATCTTTCAAAATAAGAGTTTTTAGTCTGTTTTTTTCAGGACCAGGACCAAATCAACACTTCAATCCTGACTGCAGAGACAGTTTAGATCAAACATACAAATTCTTGAGTGAAAGATTAAATCTAAATGAAGCTGGGAGTGTTTTTGGGGCACGAGAGCACAGCTAATCTCTTAACAAGAAGAGAAGAGACGAGAAAGAGAGAGAGAGAGAGAGAGAGGGAGAGAGAGAGAGAGAGGGAGAGAGAGAGAGAGAGGAAGCGTAAGATTCAGCGAAAGAGGAGGTATTCCAGTCGAGACAGCAGAGGATGAGGAGGGAGAGGTGGCGGATGTGGTGAGTAGCAAAGATTCCTGAGGTGTTTAAAAAGAGACTCTTGATAGTTACCCAAAAAAAAGAGAGAGAGAAAGAGAGAGAGAGAGAGATGTGTGTGTGTGTGTGTGTGTGTGTGGCCAAATGAAAAAGCAAGCTGGCTCAGCTAAATACAGGTTTGAGTCCAAAGTAGGGCTGGGTACCTCTGGGAAGATCCTCAAAAAGACCTTTACAGGTTTGGATCTGCTAGGACTTCTTCTCAAACCGGATCAAACAGAAATGAGAGAGCCAGAGGAGTCCGCTCCACAGGTGCTTTAACTTTGACACCAGAACCAAATACTCAGGATCTGGACCCGGTACCCAGCGCTAATCCAGAGAGATGCAAATACTGTTAATCCAGATCTCACGGCGATACATTATATTAGACCGCTGACAGTTGACACGGCAAACCAAAACGATTAAAAAAATCACTTTAAACGACAACTTCATCACAGGGGGATGTTTTTTTTTTTCTGTTTTTTCATTTTCAGAGGAGAGCTAAACCGAGAAAAGAAGAAAAATGATTTTCAGTCAAAAATAAAATCAGAAAGGGGAGGAAAAAGGGAGAAACTGGTGTTGGTATGGCGATGTGTATGGAGGCTTTCATGACCCACGATGCTGACAGCAGAGAGTTTGGATGTGAAGAGCTGAGGAGGTGGTGAGAAAGTGAGCCATGTTGTGAAGAGGGAGAATTTGAACTGTGTCCATCTGAAGTGAGGTATACCTGGTTGAAGGAGGTTTATGGTTTTTTATCGTCGTAATGCTTGAAAATGGACCCCCCCCTCCCCTCCCCTCCCGTCCCCCTCACCCCCCCTCCCCCTTTAAAATAAGCTTGATTACCAAGTTGTCTGGGTCCATAATACACTATGTACAGCAGCATTACACTATAAACATTCAGAAGCCGTTGCTTATTGGCAGAACGATAGTCATTTCTTCAAAATAAAACGCACACGAGAAAACAGCAAATGTATCCAGAGCCGGGAGCTCCTCTTTTCTTTTTTTTGTTGATTTTACACGAAAATGCGCTGAGAGTCCTGTGAACCCTCTCCGCTGGATCTCCTCTCTCCGTAGAAAAGCCCAGCAGAAGCCGTCGCCCTCCGGTGTGAGTGTATGTATATAAAAACAATACATGGTAAAAGTGTTTTTGTCCCAGCATGTCGACGCGTTCACTCATTAAAATCCTGAATCCAGTTTTTTCAAATGTTCAAATCCTCAGGCACACATATCAAAATGAGGTGGATATCGACTGATGTGGTGAGGTGGGCGCAGGGAGTTTCCTGAAGTAGCGGCCCGCACTTAAAGGAACAAAAACCAACAGAAAGATCGAAACAGAAAAGAAAGAGAAAGAAACTAAAACACCAGGCCAACCAACCAGGGCCGGCCCATCATCCCCTCCTGCTGATCCGCCAGGTGTCAGACCGATCATAAGCTGGACTCCTTAGGCGGGAGGTCCACGTTGGTCACCATGGTGACGACGGTGACGATCTCCTCCGGGCCGATGATGGGAGCTTGGCGCTGCATTTGACCGATGCGCTCCTCGACGCAGCCGGCCGACAGGCGGGCCTCGGCCTCGTGGTCCCAGCAGTCCTCGATGGTTTCGCAGAGCATCGCCAGACCCTGAGGGACGAGAGGATGAGTGTTACTGAGGGTTCACCGCTGAGGTCAGGGTTCCTACTCTTAAATCTGCAGCCTGAGAACAGATGGACTTCTGCGAGGGTTCGATAACTGATCAATAGTTTTGATGACAAACATCCACAGCTGTGTGACTGTCTGGATTTGAAACCTTTTTGGTTTCTACTCTGCTCCTTAAAAACATCTCAATTCAACCCCAACACCTCCTCCTCCTCCTCCTCACCGTGTGTTTCTGCCAGCAGTCTCGGAGGCAGGGCCTCAGCTTCTTATGGACCACCACCTCCTGCATGTCCTCCAGAGACGGATGCTGACCCACCTCCTCCTCAAACGGGAGCATGTACTCGTCGACCGGGCCTGAAACACACAACACACGTCCAGAAGTGAAGTTAATCTGGAAGAATCAACACGGGGAACAGTTCAAACATCACTGATGCTTCAGTCTCACCGTCAGCAGCCGTGCAGCGCGCCGCGAGCTCCCACAGCACGAGGCCGAAGGCGTACATGTCTATACGCAGGAAGGAGTCCCGCTGGAAGTTGATGGCGCCCTCCAGGACTTCAGGAGCCATGTAGCGCCGTGTTCCCACCTACAGCATCACAGAGAGGTCAGAGGTCAGCATCAGGACAGAAACGTGAACAGAAAAACAAGCAGGAGCAGAGGGGAGGAGGAAAAGTCACGACACAGCTCGCAGACGGGCTGAAGCGGCAAAAAACGGAGGAGGTGCACGCTCGGTCGACAGAGAGATGAAAAACCGTTTAAATGTCATGATTTCAGCGTGTAAACAGGCAGTCATATTTAGAGACGAGAGGGATCCAGACAGACTGTCCTGAGCTCTGCAGACAGAGAACATGTCTGAGTCACTCTGTGAGTCCACTCCTGCCATGGAGCGGTGAACACGATGATGAACGCACAGCTGCCTTTTCACTCATTCATTCACATGTTTGATCCGTTATCAGACACAAGTTTAAAACTGTACCTGTCCGTGAGTGTCTCCCGCTGACTTCCCTGCTTCAAACTTCAGGGCCAGGCCGAAGTCGGCTACGCAGGCTGTCAGGTTATTCTTCAGCAGCACATTCTTACTCTTAATGTCCCTGAGAGGCAAAAAGAAACAGCAGACCCTTCAAATTTAACAGACCCGTGAGTGGAGCGCCGTCAGAGCCGCTCAGAGAAATCCAGTGATGTGTTTTCAGATGTTAGGACAGCACACCTGTGAGCGATCGAGGGCTTGTGTCCGTCTTTGTGCCCGGGGATGTCTTCGTGGAGGTAGGCCAGGCCGCGGGCCGCCGTCTGAGCGATGTGGCACAGCTCGTTCCATGTCACCACGTTGGCCTTCAGGTAGTCTGTGAGTGAGCCCTGCAGGAAGACAGACGGAGGAGAGGAGACGTCTGAAATCTGAGCTGAAAGCTGTCTTCACATACAGACACTTTCAATACAGCTGGAATCACAAAGACTCAATTAAAATCCATCTCTCTGACACTAAAACTGAGAAACATCATCATCACATCAGAGGAGAAAAAAAGACATTTCTGTTTTTATTCCATAGATTCATTATTGCAGTCAAATTACCCACTCAAATGTCAAGGAAGTGATTCAGCAGTCACACCAAATAACTGCAGGAATATATACCGCTTCACAACAGTATAGAGACGGCTGGAAGAGGAACGGTTTCCATGGTAACAGCAGCATCCCTAATAGATGGAGAGCTTGTGGGTAGTATTGTATTTCACACACAGGGGACTTGGCATTAAAAGAATCGCGGTTGAAATAAGGTAAACTCCACGGAGAGGAATCCAAGCTCTGTGTGCGACGGTAACGTTCGATATTGACAGGCTAGAATTAAAACATGGAGCTTCGTACATCAATCCACCTGGACCTGCTCATCAGAACTCTGCAGGTCTTTTGTTCCTGGTTGATTACATGTCTGACGACTCGTTCTTAATGCAGATGAATCTTGAATCTCTGCGTTAACAGATGTGTCTCTGCACGATAAATCCATAAAAACTCAGAGTGATATTTGGCTTGAAAGCAGAAACTCACATCCGAGATGTTCTCGATGCTTCCGTTTGGTTTCCTCTCCTTATACAACATCTCTACTCTTACATAACGTATGTCAATATAATACAAGGTCACTTCTGCTGAGGCCGAAGACAGGTGTAGTGTCTACAGCGGCCACCAGAGGGCAGGCAGCACTCACAGATGGAGAAACAGACTCAATCTGATCAGTTCAGGTGTCCTGTTGTTTTTATTCCTCAATCATGTTGCATCATTGTCTGACCAGCAGACAGAAATCAGAGATTACAGAGACCAGCTGTTGACGGTGAGTCATACTCATGGTCAGATGAATAAAAAGATCAAGTTCAGGTAGTTTTGGAGAGGCTGGTTTCTTTTCAAAGCAAGCCGCTGCATGTCAGGGATACAAAGGAATAAAGCTGCTGCGCTGCATCAAACACAGAGGCATAAATCAGCTGTCAAGAAGGCGCTGAACTCTGCAATCACGGCTCCAGCTGTGTTACACAAGCTGAGCCTCAGTCCAAACCCGCTCTGACACCTGCTCTGAAAACAGAAATGGACTCAGGGAAAAGCTTTTCACAGGTTAAACTTCATGTTATGTATCCTCCAAAGGCTACAATAATTACAAAGCATGCTCAACCAGGCACTTAGCTGTACAACCTTTCCTAAAAATCCTCCAAAAAGAAATTCCTTCGGTGCTTTTTCTTCCTGGAGAGCTGCTACAAATCAGAGTAGCACTTGTGGAGCTGCTGCAGGGTTAAGTGGCTTTCTCAGAGTTGAATTGTTGGGTTAAAGCCTCGCCGCTGCCGCCACACCCCGCACAGCCTTTAATTTTTCAACCTTTATTCACGCAGGGATGGTTTTCTTAAGCAGGAGGATTCAAATTCTTGGCCCTGGCTGAGAAATTCAAGCAAGCGAAGCGTAAGAGAATCACTCCACTTGGTCTGTAATGACCCTCGAAACACACAGAAGCACTTAAAGCTCCGAAAATGCCACAAAGACCAGTGATTGAGAGGTAAGTGAAGCACTGAGGGGCAGAGAAGTCTGCTTTTTCAGGATAAACAAGCTTTAAAAGACGAAGAAAAGGAATTAGCATGTAGGAAATGTTCGTTACGGATCAGCTCTTCAGGCGGCACACAGACTCTACGTGAAGGTTTCATGCAGTTATTTCCTCCTTGTCCTGAAGATATTCACATCTGTGTACAAATAAACAATCTCACTGTGTTTTCATGGCTGAGTTTAAATCCTGTTTACAGAAGAAATCCGGCGGCAGAGCGGACAAAGTGTTTACATGCAAACTGTGAAAATATTTCTGAACGTCTCCTGTTCTTGATTCGGTTTTCAGGACTTTTGTAAAGTTTGTTTTGAAGAAGAAGAGCGTGCAAACACGGGCTGTGAGGATCCATGGATGTGAATGTGACTAACCTTACACCTGCAGGAACCTGTCCACTGTAGCTCCTTTCTTCCCTCAGCATTGTTGCTGCAGGGATACTTGTCCTGTCTAGTATGTCTGTCAGCTGCAAGAAGAAGCTGCTGAGTTCCATCTGGCTGAGTTTGCACTTTCAGTATGAAGCACGTTGATAAAGTTATTTCACTGGAAATGCACTAAATACAGCTTTAATTGTAGGACTGGATTATGGCGAGCGTGCACACTCATGCATTTATTTAAAACCTGAAATATTTTTAGTTTCTGTGCTTCAAACCGGAGCTCGCACGGCCAGTTCCTGCTTCAGTTAGTTGAGTATTTTTGCTTATTTTGCTTTCACAGATTCAAAATGGGAAACGCGGTGATTAAAGAACCTTTCGCGCCCACAATCGATTCGAGAACGGGCTGAACCAAAGTTCCCCAAAGAAAAAAGTTATAAAACAAACAACAGGAATCAATAAATATAAGAATAAGTGGAGCAGGCTGCTGGTGGTTTCTGGGTCCGTGACAGCGTACCTTGTCATGGTAGGCGGTGATGAGCCACAGCTCCAGGTCCAGGTTGTTGTTCCTTTTCTCCACACCGATGAAGTGGAGGATGTTGTCGTGCTTCATGCCGCTCACGCTGTACATCTCATACTCGTTCTGCCAAGACAGCTTGTCCTACACGGGAGCAGAGAGACAGAGATGCAGGTGTTATTTCTGTTATATCAAGATGTCCAATTTACTACAGCATCTTGATTCGCTTCAGGAGGACGAATCAGGAGGTGGAGAGTCATGTGGAGAATGTATGAAAGTCAATTTTAACTTTTTAGCAAAAATTTAGTTTTCTCTAGTCTTCTGCATGTCACATTAACTCATTCACTCCACATTCATGCAAGGAAGAGGCTGCCATGTAAAGCGCCCACGAGTTTGAACTCTAAAAAGAGGAGGATCGTGCACACAGCAGCGCAGCCTCATGCCCTTATATGGATAACTGAGAACACGGAGACCACGATGGTCAAACTTTCGAGGACACGACGATCATCAGTCTAAGAACAGCTTCATCGATCTGCCGCAGACTTCTTTCTCCATGAGTAAAATTCTGATTTGACCTCGCAGAACATGATCATCCGTGATATTCTGAAGCTGTGATTGGCTGGCTTTGTCTGGTAATTCAACACGACATACAAAACTAATCTAGAAGGAAGCGACGGAAGAGAAACTTCAGTATTCTGGGGGGTCAGATCTCTCGCTTTTGTAAATGGAGCTCAGCGGCTTTGAGGATAGCGATGCGACCGATTATCGAGACACAAAATTCAAACTTTACTTTTTACAGAAAGATAACTTTCTTTAGAGGTCAGACACAAGGTCCAGGTGTAAAAAGATTTAAAACTTCTCATTTGCGGACTGTTTTCATCAAACCTGTGACGCCCAGATATTACTCGTTTTTAACCAACGCTCTCTCACTGATGATTGCAGGAGGTCAGAGGTCAACAAATACTCCCAAACTCACCTGAATGGGGAAGATCTTCACCGCCACGTAGTCATTGAGCAGCTGAGCCTTCCAAACGCACCCGAAGCGCCCCCTGGCTTTCACCTCGATCAGCTGCAGCGGCTTGTGTCCCAGAACCGGGGAAGGGGGTGAGGGCCCGGGGTCCTGCAGAGGGGGGAGAAAAAGCAAACAGAGCGAGGACAGAGTTATTCTTTATTCTCTTTTGGTGGAGCATTAAAATAGCATGAGCTTAGAGTGAAGGTGACCGGGCTGTTGGCTCAGCGACAGCGTGCCTGAGGAGCTTAGGCCAGCAGATTCACTATCATCTTCACGTCTTAAATCACCACTTACACATTACTGTTATAGAGTCCCTTTTACGTGAGGATGCCTGCCTGATATTCCTGCTGTTTTTAGCCCTGTTCATGCTTCATGCTGCCCTGCATCACTGCCGTCTGTTTTAACTTGCTTTGTTAGCTTTACGGGTCTGTTGTTTGCTTCATTCGATTGTTAAAGCACTTTGGAAAGTGCTGCATGTTTAATATTATCATTACTGTGTAGTCTTTTGGCAGAGGAGACACAGCATAGCAAGCAGGGTTTTAGATTAAATCATTTTAAATTCAATTAAACTTCCAGGGCTGCACTTGCTCGGGGGTTTTACAGAAGCGGGACTGTCGCTGGAAAGTTGCCAGTTTGAATCCAGTGAGCTGCTGCTGCTGAGGAAAAGAGGATGTGTAGCAAGGCAAAAAAAAAAAAAGGACAGAAGACGGAGGGGGCTGGTTTCAAAGAATAAATGGTTTCGATGAAGATGTCGTGTCTAACCGTGGCAGGTCAAACCTCATGCGTGTGCTGTGCGCTCATGCTAATCCCATATAAACAAAGAGAAAGCGAGGAAGGCGAGCGTTCCAAATCTAAAGTAGGTTAAACACAGCTGGTGATCGGGATTAAGCTGATCACTTTCACATGTGACTTCACAGGGAAGGACAGAGGCCGAGCGAGGATAGAGAGACCCAGAGAGAGAGAGAGAGAGAGAGAGGAGAAGGTTAAACAGAAGCATGCAGAGAGCGAGGGAGTCACATTTCCAGAAAGGATAAAAGGTAGAGGAGAAAGAAAAGCACATGACGGATGGCCTTTGATGAAACCAGATATGCTGCTGTAAAATCCTCGACTTTACCTCCGTGACTCTGCTGTCAGTAAAAAAAAAAAAAAAAGGAAAAAAAGGAAAAGCATTCCCCTCTGCAACACCGGAGATGTTCATGTTTTTACTTGAACTGAAGGCTTACAAGGTGCTTGATAAGCTGGAGCAAGTTTGAAGACCCTGAGGCCCACAGGATCCACTCAGACAGAGACCATATATCAAAAGCTCTCCTCTATTTCACTGTTTTTTTTCTAACCTCTCGTAAAAATGCTCTCCAGTCTTAAAAAACTGACCAGAAAAACCTGAAATCTGAGACGCAGAAAGTAAAAATCTAAACTGTTAGTTTAGTGTACTGTCAGACAGTTGGCACCTTCCCTTTCCTGCAGCTAAATAATGATGATTTCAGAGCCAGAGAGCGTTGAGCAGAGTGAGTAATAAAAACAGGAAGAAGTGGCTTCAGTCTAAACGCCTGTCCTGACAAGATTATTACAGCTGCAGAAGCAAACTGCAGATCATTCAGAAACATTTAAGACTCAGATTTTTATCAATGTGAAACTGAGCGCCTGGTCGTGAACTCGGAGAGGTCGAGATGACTGAAAAGAGAAAAGTGTCTTTGACTGAGCTGCTCTTATGTGACAGTCACATTTTATTTCTTTCTTTGAAATCCACGTGAATGATCGTAATAAGAAGCCGATCCACGCTCTTCCCTCTGCCAGATGTCTTTAGGCATCTTTAAATAATAAAATAACACGTCATCGTATAAAAATCAAGGCTATCAGTGCTGACTTATTGAAAGCTCTGCTGCAGCACTGCTTCACCGTTTTCTAGGAAAAAGAAAGAACAAGGTTTCAGTCTTAATCTTTATGAATATGAGCTGAACATTTCCTGGAGTGGAGTCACTTCTGACATCAAGATTATAAAACCGACTTCACTCTAAAAAAACATTTGGACTAAACGACACTGAAATAAAATCATCGTTCGCACTCTGCTGCCAAAAATAAGCAGAAAACCAGCGAAGTCTGAGTACATTACAGCTGCGATACAAAAGAGTGTTTGGACTGTTTGGAGCATGAAGACGTGCCTTAACCTCAGAGTGCACACACTGCATATCAACACCAGTGTGATGTTGGATTATCTGCTCTTTAATGACCAAACGGCTCCCCTGAGGTGATGAACATTCGTCCAGGTTGATCTTCTCTGAAGTCGTATCAGAACATTTGCAGGAATAAGGAGAACCTTTTCTATATTGAGCAGGGTGTCTCAGGGTGGGAGGGGGTACGGAGGATTGGAGTGGGAACTCGTGTGTTTACTTGAAGTCTTTTCCCTCTAACACAGAGCTGTGAGGCAGACCTGCTGTCTCTACACGCTGCTTTCACACTGAATACCAGCCAAATGACGGGGAAAATTACCCAGGATGGTGCTGAGGTTGGATTACAGCGCGGCCCAAACGGCCTCGAGATGCCGCCTTGAGAAACATCTTTGAGGAACATGTTTTAGAAACCAAAATAATGAACATAAAGTTCAGAGAATGGTTCGTCTACATCTGTTTTCTGCAGGAATGAAACCTTGAAGGAGGAGGAGGAGGAGGATCGGATTAAAAAACCTGTTTCCAAAGGAGTTAACCATCCAGAAAATAACACACTCAGAGACAAACTTCTCCCATCTGCTTTGTTTCTCAAACCCTTGTCTGTCTTCCGGGCCTCGGTGTGACGAGGCGGCCCAGCCCGGCTCAACCCAGCCGGGCCTGGCCTCCCTCGGGAGTCACTGGATCCCTTGTCCGATCACAGGGCGCCGTGGCCTCGAACGGGGGGCGCATTACACTTCGTCAGCAGACCACAGGAAACAGGAAAACAGAATCTGCTGCTCCACGCCGTTCTTCCCAACCCTAACCCGTCTCCTGTTGCCTAATCAGGTTTCACCTTCGTTAAAAGCACCAGAACGGGTCCTCAGGCCCGGTTCGGTTTGTAGTGACGGTGGACATTAAAACGTATGAGGCCGAGTTTGTTTTCTCTGCACGGTTGTAATAAATACGACCACAAAACTGACGTCTCAGAGACTTGTTGACGTGAACTTAAAGAGCTTCCTACTTTTTCAACTTCTTCTCAGAGATGTCTGCAGCTCGACTTGTCTTCCTCTGCTGTAAATTTCCAGCCAAAGCACATTTGCCAAGGCTTGTGCTCCTCTTCTACTTAAGTAATTTACTCTCTCTGACTTGAAACATGTTCCAGGTAAGTGGCAATTCTCCTACTTATGCAAAATGTATCTTCACTCCTCCTGGCTCTGCTTTTAAGATGGAAAAATCAGGCTGCAGTTCCAGTTTTGTTCACTTCTACTCTGTCTGCCTGCACACAGGAAACATGGTGAGCCATAAGTCTGAGCGGATACCGTTCTGGAAACTGGGTCACATTACAACACAATGCATTACATAAACATTTAAAGGTGGACATTCATACAAAAAAAGAGGGCTGCATTCAGAGCCGGGTTGGCTTTTTTTTTTTCTCCACCATGCACAATACACTTCCAGCAGGGACAAAGAAATCCATCCATGCAGCAAACCCAGGCAGGGAAATCAAATAAGAGACAGACATGTGTTCGGATGCTGTTGGAAAAGCATAAAAAAAAAGAACAAAATGGTGGTCTGGGATTGAAGTGGAGGATTCATACCAAGCTCTGAACCCAAAAAAGGGGAGAAAACTGACAGAGTTTCAACTTCAATTGAACTGCTCTTACCTCCACCATAATGTGAAAGGCGTGCTTGTTGAAAAGGAACATAAGAAGCAAACAGAGAAATTATTGTCTGTCAGTTAGTGGATGAAAAAGAGGCAGAGAAAAGCTGGGAGATGACGGCTCGTCCCTGAGCAACCTCTTGTTCCTCCTCCTCCTCCCCGCACTCCAGACCAGAGGAGGGGAAAGCTATGGTTCGGGACTCATGGAGGGTCGCAGGTCTGGATCATAAAGGTGTTAATAAAAAAAGCATGGCATCGAAAAAAAGCAAGATGAGACATTTTTTAAGAGTTCAAATGAGACGGCAACAGAAGATGGAGTGAAAAATGTTGGAAAAGGAAGAGGAAATGTTCCCCCAATCACAGAGAGAGCAAACAAACAGAAATGCAGAGTTCAGAGCGAAAGCCTCCTGATGACAGAAGCATGAAAATGTTCCCTTAAAAGACACAGAAATGTTGGGTACAGAGACAGCAAATGAAAGAAGATTAACCAAGAGCTCAGACTCGGCAGAACCACACACAGAAACGTCCACGTCTGTCCTCCCTTTGAAACACAGAACAGGAAACGCTCCAGCTGAATACGATCTGTGCTGGAGGTTCAGTCTGGTCCAGATTAATACAAACTAAAATGTCTTTAACTGAGAGGAGTTACAGTCAGGGTTTTCCTGGGTGTATCTGGACTCAGTGACCCCACACCTGAGCGGGGATCCATACAGGTGCAGGGGGGGATTCATGCTTTTCTCACACATGGGTCCTGACATGACAGTTCTCGTTTGTCAGACACATGCATCAGATCTGGTCTGTAAAACTCAACACCAGAACAGTCCCCCCCTTTTTTGTTTTTTTTCATCATCACCTTGGGGAGTGGAGGGACAACAAAGAGAGAAGTAAGGCTTCCTTCTCATGGGTGGGACAGCTGCAGTTGCCCAACGAGGAGAAAACAAGAAGCACTGAGTAACTCATATATTCAGAGTCCAACACAAGTCCTCTGAAAGCTGCAGCTCCACATATAAGATGTTAAAGAGTTCAGTGATAAAACAAATGATGAGATTTTGGTCAGACTCTATCTGCAGACGGATCGAGATAAAAAAAAAAAGTCAGAGTACAGGGTTGAAAAAAATGTTAAAGTGCTCCGTGTGAAAGCTGTGGGTCTGTGTACTCAGACAGAATCAATTCCAGTTTGTCTCCACTTCACACTGTGGTGTGAAGAACGGAGGCTTGGTGGCAAATATGCAGCTCGCGATGGACTGTGATTAGGACATAATGACAGAGTGCAATAAAGTTTCTCTGCTGAAGAGAATTCTCTGCTTTTCATGTCGAGTTTAATCTTTTAAAGGAGCGTCGACAAAGTTTAAGTGAAGGAAAATCAAACCTCAAACCCCTCCCCTCATTTTTCTGACTCCTCCCCTCGGCTCGACCTGAAGCTCACAGCTCCGTGTGAAAGTACAGCAGGAGCTCTCCTCCTCCTCCTCCTCCTCACTGCGGCGGTTCTCTTTCTTCCTTCAGAGCCTCTCATCGTAAAATTAAAAGAACAGAGCCGTGGTAATGGCTCTGTTAATGATCATTAAGTGGGAACAATTACTTTTGCATCATGACGACTGCATGTTTCATTACCTTGAAACGAAAATAATGGCTGCAGCTTAATGTGGTTTTCCTTTGACCGACTTGAAACTCATTTTCTGCAAAGAAAGATGCAGAAAATTATACAGCGTGAAAGCCTTAGTTTCCTGTGCTTTTAAATGGGAACGTCTCACTGAGCATGTATTATTATATTTATTACTATTTCATGCCTCAGAAATCAGAATCGGAACACTGTATTTATCCCGGGGGGAGATTCGGTAATGGAGGGCGACTGTTTGCTCAGAGCTGATTTTCACTTGGTGTCAGGCCAAGTTTAAAAAAATAAAACTTGAGGACGTTTTTATGAACGTGTGCGTCATTTTGAAAAACCTAAAATGTGTGTATAGATTTGCAAAAAGGGGGTGGTGAGAATATACTGTTGCGTACGCGCAGACTATCTTTACAACTGTGTCTTCATATCAGTGATGTGTATGAAGAGTCTGTACTTAAAGCCTGCAGCAGCGTGCATGTGTCACAGCTGTCTCTGCTCTGCTCAGGCTGCAGCTTCTTCTTCATGACTTGATCACATCCCTCCTTTTAATTAGAGGTTTAGATTAAATGTCTGCAGTGCAACGCACAGCTCTGCCCATTATAAAAGACACCGCACTGGAGTTGGCACCAGCATGTACGACAACAGTGAAAAAAAATAGTCCATTACTCCCAACACCTATGATGAACAGCTCTAATAACTTCCTGTGTACTCAGCATGCTTTAAAAGCCGACCAACAACAGGTGTGGGCAATTTGTTTCTGTCACATTAAAAATACATGACTAAGTACAGAGCATTATGTGCTGATGACTGCAGTACAGTATAGAAAGAAGAAGCATGATAAAGCATTAAATCTGCTCTGCTGAAAGTTGATCTTTTCAAGCAAGTGATGAAAAACGAACCATTAAGTTTACCTCTCGGATTATCAGACAGTTTAAGGCAGGAAGTTTGGCAGTTTTAGTTGCTTTTTATTTATTTATTTACATAATTTGTGATTGGAGTGTCACCGGAGAAGAGCTGGTTTTCGCCCCTGAAAATGTTTGACAACTTTACAAAAAGGGCTCTTTCAGAGACGGAGCTTTTTAATCAAGGTAGGCTCCTTTCTTTAGGCCAGAGAGAGCTGTCACATCACTCCAAAACAGCCTCTGTATTCAGACTGGATCAGCTGGTCTGATGTTGACTCGGCTGGTTGGTCCTCGGTGTCGAGGTTTGACGTAATTTTTCAATCAGGTAGTACAAACCCAACCTAATCTTCGTGTTACAACTCTAATATCAAGCAGAGCAGACCTGACCGAGGCGCAGCGTTAATAAACAGTTTATTATGTTGTGTAGGATAAAACTGCTGTTTTCATCTATGGGGTCTGAGAGCCTCGAACAAAGAGACGCAACAACTGTTTCTACCTTCTGAAAAAACATGAACTTTTTCTTTGAGGAAAAAAAGTTCCTTATCCTTGAGACTTTTTGTTTGACAGCAAGAAAAACAATCGGAGCCTGTCAGCGGCGAAACAATAACTTGCGGTGCGTGTATTTTATCTTTCAAGGGCCAGTTTGTCCATGAGGATCAGAGACAAACACTTCGTTTTGAGGCTGAAGCACTGAAAAAAACACAATGTGATCTTTTTATTTAAATGAAGGAGTCCTCTTCGACAGCCTTTGGAAAACACATGAACGTAGAACGTGTCCTGCAGTATCAAAAATGTGATTTTGTGAGATTCATTTGTTTTTTTATCTATGAATCTAACGACTGGAGTTTTAGTCCTTTTCTCACAGGTGATATTTCATGTGTCAGATATCTCATCGAGCAGAGAAAGTCCTCGTATATATCTATATGTGTGATTGCATCAGGCAGGTGTTGGCAGGAGAAGACGGGGGTTCAGGCGTGTGTTTCACTCTCAACAGAGGAAGAACCGCTGGAAGCCGTCCTCCACGACTTTCTGAGAGTGAGCGGTTTGAGTGATTTTCAGGAGTCACCCCGGCTTTTTTAATACAGCCTGTGGTGCAACACAAAAACACATTCTTCAACAACGAGAGGAAAAAAAGAAGAAGATAGAGAGAAATCCCTCCACATCTCCCCTCCTGCTGCATCTATCTCACAGCTCTCGATGGGATTCCTCCTTCTCCCATATTGAAAAACCTGCTTTAATCAAGTACCAAACAAGCCGCAGATGCCGGAGCAATTTTAAGTGTTTCAGACGGTGAGAGCGAGTTTGTTTTCGCCTCCTTCATGTAGCGGCCGGGTGGGGTTTATTGCATCAGCTCCTTACAGAAAAGCATACAAGCTGATTTTTAACTACATTCCTGTACGCGTGACCTCCTTTCCATCTCTTGTCCTTGTACACCTACTCATTCATGCACTAATACACTCCTGCACACAAACACACACACTCAAACTCACACACACAGATCCAGTATGACTTCATTTGTTCCATCTCGGCTATTTCATTTCATGATTTTCTCCCCTTGTGATTTGATGAATATTTCAGCTGTTTGTTTTTTTCCACTGTGTCATCGTTCGTTATCTGATCGTCTTTGCTCGTGATCTTGTTTGCTTTCAAGCAACTTTATTTATTCATTTCTAAAATCTTTCCAGGTAAGACGTTTCCTAGCAATGCTGTTGTTGTTGTTTTTTTTTTCCAGTGCACATTAGCATTTGTTTCCTGACTGTATTGTATCACTGTCTCTTTATCTTCTGCCTTCTATGCTTTAGCACTGTGCAAATACAATAACTTAGCTGAGAGAATTGCATGTCTCTGTTCACTCTCCTCCCACGCGCTCCCCTCCTACCCACCCACCCACCCACCACCATCCATCCTCTGAGGCAGAGCTCTGAGCGCCTCTGTGTTTAGTTTTGTTTGCCTATATAAAGCCTCATCAATAATGCAGAGGCCCCTGACTCCTCTTCCATACTGTGGAGGCTCTGCATGGGTTTTCTTTTTCCCCTGCTGCTGCTGCTGAGCAGCAGAGAATATACGCTCGCTCCTCGGCTCAAACCGCCACACAACTGCAAAAAACACGCTATGAATCAGGATTTGGGAGATGCAGGAAACAAAAATGAGGATTTGGAAGAGTTAGGAAGGTTTACAAAGATGATGAAACCAGCATAATGTGCTTTTTTTTCCAACTAATGAGCCATAGAGAGAGAAAAAAGGATTGTATGAGCAAGTAAGGAGGAAAGACGAGTCAATGAATGAGTGCGTGACAAAAATGTAGCTTCAAATAATTATTTTGATTGAAGCTAAAAGATATGAACTGAAAACTAAAAGATCAGTTTGAACAGTTTTGATATGAAAGTCTGTTTAATACAAGATAAGCCGTCTTAGCTACAGTCATCTCCAGACACTCCGGCCTGGAGCTTTAAAAGCAGACTATGAAGGTCTGCCTACAGAGGAAATCTGGGAGTAACCAGGATCTCTGTTCTATGTGTACACTGAACTTAGACAGAAGCAAACTGGAGGTGGGGTCCTTCAGTATGAGGCAAAGGCCGAGGACGAGCCCACTGAGAAACTAGCCGGGTGATGGAGCCGAAGAAAGGAGGACGGGCTTTTGTGTCATTCTGCAAACTTGAGTCCAACTAAGACCAGAGATTTTAAAAATCGACCAAATCAGGCTGAGCTGAGTCTGAGCGATAAACTGAGAGATTTTAAACCTTGCTGCTCAAGCAGTCTTGGCACACGGCACTTTTGAACTGCGATGGTTATTTCTTTGTTTATTTCCAAGGTTTTGGTCCGTGCAGGAACTGCGGCGTTTTACATTTCTCCTTTGTTTGCAATTAACAGATGAAATGGGATGCAGTGGCCACCACGGCTGAACAGACAAAAAGAGAAACTCTAACTGCTTCAACAGCAACTTTGAAGAAAGGGGACACCGCTGTCCCTGCTGCCACTTTGATTGACAGGTGACCTCTAGAAACACAGTACAGTGATGAGCAAAGATGAGGACGAAGGAACGGCCTCACTCAGACTTACATGTGTGGGGACGAGGGCAGCCGGGTAGGCCAGTTTGTGGTGCCTCCACATCCAGAAAGAGAAGAGGACGACGGCGGCCAGGCCAATAATGGGAACCAGGGAGTAGAGCAGAGTGCTGAAGAGCTGGGGCTTCGTGGAAAATGGGTTGGAGGTGGCTGCAGCAGAGAAAGAAAGAGAAAAAAATCATCAAAACAGCATTTTAAGAGAAGCGACATTTAAGTATAAAACATAAAAAAAGAGAAAACTGAGAGGAAAAAAAAGAGGATGGAAGTCAAAAATAGAAAAAAATCGCATGCCTGATTGGCCTGACTTTGTGCAACATCATCTCTAAGTGCTGCAGCAGCCGTGCTCACAGCTTACTGCCACTGTGCTCAGGGATCATATCATTGCACGCACACACACTCACACACGCACACACACAGCAGGATTAGCAAATCCATCTCGTGACATAACGTAATCCGCCTGCCAAAAATAACAGAGCTCTGAACTGTGTCCGACCCCTGCAGGAGGCGCTGGGTGACGCCTGCTGGCTCAGCCTGTCCTCCCCATCACAAGGTGTGACAGTCTGATTCGGCAGTGCTGTCAGAGCGACGACGCCCTGGACACTGACCACAGGGGGGGCGGAGGGGTTTGCACCAGCTGCATCATGGGACTCTGCGGGTGTTTGTGAAAAGTTTTCCTCTGCAGGGTGTCTGCAGGTTTGAAGAAGTCAGATTTTAAAAGAATGCAAAGAGACAACCTAGCTGCCGAGCGATGAGAGCAAGGACAAGAGAGCGTCCGTTTGTTGGTACATGCATGCTCAGGGTTGTGTGTTGGTTAATTCAGGGACACTACATCAGCTATGCTCATGTGACTCTGAGCTAATTACCCCTAAAAAATCCTGCTCCTCATCTCAGTGTCTCCTCTCATCTTCTCCAGTCTTGTCTGCAGTGTCATCTGTCCTTCACTGTTGTTTTATGCACCGTGATAACTCATTTAGATGTTGGCCTACTATCAATTATACCATCGTAAGTAAAAGTCAACTCAATGCTAATGCATTAGCAGCAATAAATGCATCATTATAAGGCACTGTGCTTAAATATAAAGCAGCGGTTGAGAGTGGGAAGCTTGTTTATGGGTTTCACTGAAATGTATTCGCTCATTTTTTGCAGAATCAGAAGCTCATATGTTGATGTTTTAGGTTGACTTCGAACCTGCGGCCCAAATGAGATGATTTTAGTCCTTTTTGCGGAGGATAGAGCACCTCCGTGTTGACCCTGTCATGTGTCTTTCTCAAACTTGCTACCTTAAATGCTTCTGACACCTGGGAGCTCAGCAGCTGGCAAATATCCAGAACACAAGTGCCTTACATCACACACTTTGTCGAGGGCTGTGTCCTCAAACTAAAGCAAGGATAATGTGGCGGTGTTCTGTGGCAGTTCACAAAAACTGCAGAGGCAAAAGTTGATTCAACATCAATCTCACAGGAAATATATTTAACCTCACAGACTGTATTCACCCCTGCAGACAGAGGCAGCCGTGCTTACGACTTCTTCTACGTTTGTTTCTGCACAGAGATCTTTGGTAACTAACAGTTCGAACCAGAAAAGGAGGTGAAGTTGGAAAAGAAAGAGAGAAGGAAAGCAAAGAAGGAGATGAAAGAAGACTCTTAAAAAGTAAACCCTGTTTTGGTAAAGCTGAGATAGAGGAACATATCCCTGTGTGTGTATGTGAGTACATGTTGGATTGTACATACTGTAGGCGGTCGAATGGTGCGGGTCGCTCTGTGGGGGCGCTTCTGGAGCGTACAGGAACTTCTCGTTGCACATGTTGCCTTCACAGCAGCAAAAGAAGACATCAGGCTTCTCTTTCCTCTCCACACACTCATCACTGCAAAAAGAACAGACACGTGGAAATTAGGAACGAAGAGCACACACTCCCAAACACTCTCTCCTCTCACTGCACACCGCCAATCACATGGATGCAGTTGGTTTTTTTCTCTTGTGTGCAAAAAGGAACTTCATCAGTGAGGAACACTTACACAAACAAAGCAGACACGCACACACACACAAGTGGACCACTTACACACATGCACACACTCCTCTCCTTCCTCTCCATCCCCTCTCTGCTGCAGTAGAAGTGAAAGAAAAACATTTATAAAATAACTCCCACACATCTCCAACACACACACATGCAAATAAACACACATGTGCTCTAACAATCACACACACACACACGCACGCGCGCACGTACACACGCTTTCACACTCGCACAGTCATCAGATAAAAGCCAAAGGAAGTGGCAGCCGCCCTCGACTTGCTCTGGACTCTCCAGGGAGGCGAGGCGGCGCCGTCTGAGCAGAGGTACCCAAACTGAGCGGGCTCCAGAATCTACAGCAACTTTATCGCTCAGGAATCAAAGAAGACAAACACGAGCAGAACCGGCTCAAACCGGCTTCTGATGCCGGGACGATGTTCCAGCAAGGAAGAAACTATAATAAAACCATCTATTAATATCTGTTTACTGATCCCAGCTCGGACGCATACATCCGGCTGAATCTGTTCTATGAAGAGACTCGCTGAGAATTGGAGATTTCAGACACCTTTGGTAATTAGAAAGCACACTTGTGGGAGTCTTTTATATACACGAGTAATCAAGAGGGACAAAAACTGCGCTCAAGGTGTTTCTAAATGTACTCAGGATTCAGCGTTCTGTCAGGATGTGCAGCTTTTGTCCTGTTGGAGAGACATGTGCGGCTGCTTTCAACAACTCTCTGGGTTTTTTTTTCAGCGAGGACTTTGATTAAAAGTGCAAAAAGATTCACTGGATTTTGAAGCAGAGGTGACAAGTGTTGGACTGAGGTGGTGGCCTTAAAAAGAAATAACTGGAAGAACATTAAGGTCACTCCACATGTCTTTCACGGCTATTTTCTACCTGCTTTTTTATGATGACGTACCTGTCGTAGCAGTTGACATCGTCCAGCCAGCAGCCCTGCTTGACCACCTCGATCGTGCCGGACACGTTCTTCCACGTGGCGAAGCAGTGCCGCCGCTTGTCTTTCTCGCCATAGCAGGGCTCGATGCCGCTGCGGTTGGTGCGCTCCTTCTCCCAGCTGGAGTTGTAGTAGGCGCACTCTTGCGTCTCCGAGCGTCCCAGGATGGCACCTGCAGGGGACACAGAGGACACGTCTTTATGTTGACTTTTTTATTTTGAGGAGAAAATAACAGCTGCTCTCTCAGACATTTATGGACAAACCACCAAAATCTCAGAGATCATTAATGTTTGTATCAATAACTGGAGGAAGGACACACCTTTACAGCCCCAGAGTACAGAATAAAACAAAGTCACCAAACATTTCACCTCTCAGACCGAAAACAAACCAATGAAAAGTGAAACCTCCTCAAACATGAACAATAAAAAGCAGCTGATGGTGAGACGACAGTTCCTCTCCCCGCCAAAATAAAGGGGACTCTGATTTCCAGACGGCAGCTTTTCCGCAAACCGATATCCAGGGGAAAACTCTGTATGACAGCTCGTCAGTTTAGCACTGCTGCCGCCGCCTCTCATCAGCTGTCAGAGAGTTAGTCCACTTTAGACTGAAGATCGGAGGCCTTGAGTTCGCTTTCTCATCTGGAGATACAAACCAAACAGCTCATAACATTATCTCAGTATTATTTTTATGATTCCAGAGCTTATCAAGGTAATTTTAGTGATTTTGACGGTAAAAAAAAAAGTCACAAACTCAAACAGGCAGCTTCCTCCTCTCTGATTGTGAAACTATTACTTAACGTGTTTATGTGAAGATCATCACGCCCTGGAAAAGAAAGGCGTGTGCGTGTGTCAAGAGGTTATCAACTTCCTCAAACTTGGAGTATTAGTCAGAAAAGTTTCTACCTGCACCTTTAATAATCTGTAAAAACAAGGCCAGGATAATCTCCTTTTAAATGTACTTTTTCCTTGAAGTCTTCAACAGTTTGCTTTTTTTTGTTGTTGCTGTATAAGAAACCCTCCTGGGCAGATGTTACCAGACTATTAGCGGAGCATAATTCATAAAAAAAGCCTCTTTCATTTATTTGTTTATAGCTGTTTCATAAACTTTAAATTCCTCTCTTTTTCTATTCTTCCAGCCTGCAATCATTTGTAATCTTGCAACCTTTACCCCTGTTATTTATTGTTCCTTTTAATGCACCGAAACGCTCTGTTATTCAACAGAAAGCGCAGGGCAAATAAAGAATAATGCTCCAATTTAAACGATGATTATCCACTCTCCCCTGCCAGGGAAATTAAGTCCTGAAAAGGGAGTGTGTCCTGCTCTGCCCTGCCTGCATCGACTCTACTCACAGCAGAAGCTTCCAGAAATTAGGGCTCCGCTTGCATAATGGAGGCTACCTTTAGGAGGATCATGTATTTTTCAATAAAACGTCTGCTTATGTAGAGCTAGTTAATGCTAACGCCAGGTCCTGAGAGCACCGCAGCAGGTCTGTGGATGGAAAACAGAGAGAGAGAGAGAGAGAGAGAGAGAGAGAGAGAGAGAGAGAGAGAGAGAGAGAGAGAGAGAGAGAGAGAGAGAGAGAGAGAGAGAGAGAGAGAGAGAGAGAGAGAGAGAGAGAGAGAGAGAGAGAGAGAGAGAGAGAGAGAGAGAGAGAGAGAGAGAGAGAGAGAGAGAGAGAGAGAGAGAGAGAGAGAGAGAGAGAGAGAGAGAGAGAGAGAGAGAGCGACTACTTCACGGGCAGGCTGGCGAGGTCGCTGTGCCTCTTAGCAGCGCTGACGGCATTTTCTTTCCCTGTCATCAAAATTCACTTTCCCATGAAGCCCCTGAGATATTCCACAGCAACAGGTGGAGCTGTAAACTGTTGCATGAGAGATCCAGAGCAAATGGCCCAGGGTGAAAGAGAAGGAGGAGAAAATAGCCGGAGCTGGAGACCAGATGATGTGGAGAAAATTAACATGGACCATCCAAAGAATGTGCAGAAGTGTACGACAAGAAAAACCACGTGTTATGTCACAGAGTCATGGAATAAATGAGTTCGAGTACGACACATAAATAACGCCGAGGGGACGATGACATCAGTTGGTGTGTGGTTCCTGCGGTTTCTATTTCACTCCCTCCTACAAACCCTCATAGCAAACACATAGCAAAGATATCGCTTTCTCCGTTTGTTTACAATGTTCTTTTAGTTTCTTCTCATAAAAATAAAATTCAACCCTCCGTCAAAAAGGAGAGAGTTGAAAAGCCTTCATAATCTTACAGAGGAAACTTGTGAAGTGGTGCCAAAACATCTTTTAGTCAGCTGCATCTGCAGCAGCAGCAGGATCAAAAGTGAGGAGGTTTGGTTGAGAAAGGCCCTCGTAAGAAAAGAATACACACAGTACAGACTTGACTGAAATCAAGGAGATACGGGTCTAAGCCTTCAGATATCCCATCATGCCTTTAAGGTGTTGTTTGCCTCTGGTAGAGTTAAGAAAATAAAGATGTTTTGCTGTGACCGCTGATGAATGATGATATTTCTCAGCTGCAGATGAGCTTCAGGCTAGAAAAGAGAAGAAACCAGGTCTGGGGTTTTTTCTTGAACCCTCTCCTTAGATAACCTGCTCTCTGTGGTGTGATTCTCTATCCCATGACGGATGCAGTGACTGTCTAAAAATGAGGTGTATAATCCTCGCCTGTGTTTGCTAAGTTTATCCACTCCATCAGCCCTTCAGCAGTTTAAGCATCCACTGTGTGGCGCCTGCTTGTGTTCCCTTTACTCGTCCTGGATGGCCATAAAGCATTGTTTCCTTCGCCGGGCCTTATGGGAGCTGAAGGCGATAATTACCAGGAGGTATGCAGAGGTAAGGCGGGAGGTTAGCTCATTAGCCACTTCTGGGGTAACGGCGTTAACCATGCTAGCGCTGATCGCTGCGGATGCTGCATTGGGGTGCTTGTTGCATACGTATTTTCACTTTACACAGAGTGATTTAGAGCTCCTGTATCAACTCGGTTACAAGCCAGCCATAATAATGAGCGAGCAGGGAAACAGAGTGAATCTGTGCTGCTGGAGAGCTGAGGTATGATCCATACTGAAGACATGAGACACAAGTGATAACCAATACTGTCTGAGGGATGGAGGAAGAGTCAGGTCTGCTGAATACGGCTGCAGCTAACAGTTCGTTTCACTGATTGATCCAAGGCTCATTTATTGATTAGTTGGTCCACGAAACGTTTGATAGATGCCAGTTTAGGTTTTCAAAGTTGGGGTAGGCAGGATTCGGTTAAAGAAACACCTTTTTTGCCTTTAATATCAGTCAATAGTGATGAGTTATTACATTTGGTGATATAACGATGTCTCTGTGTTCTCTTATGTCTGTGTCGTCCACGTTTTACATTTTTTAAGGGCCCGCTCTTTCTGACTGTAAACAAAGGTTGGGAGGCCGACGCTGCTCCCCCGTGTCGTTCAGGAGCCCAAACAAAGTTAGCGTGCTACAATATCGGACAGTAGAAACCAACCAGAAAGTTCGGAAAATTGTCTGAATCCTCCTTTGGCCACGACTGCCGACACAAGCAATGAAACAAGGTAAATACCGGAGATTTTGGCGGCATAACGGGCGCTTAAAACGGAGGTAGACTGTTACGATACGAGCGAGCAGGAGCGTCTGTTTGTGGGCGGGGCTTGCTGGAGCAGAGAGGGAGGGGAGAGGAGGAGCTGAGGGGAAAACTGGTTGGGAGGGGTAGAGTTTACATTCAAGGTTTCTCCTAAAAACTGGAACTTCCTCAGATCCTGACTACACCACCTTTAACTTCCCCTCCGTCTCATTTTTCAGCTTTAATAACAGACGCACGCTCTGAGATCAACTGATAAACTCCACTGTGGAATCATTAACAATCCCTGACATGATTGATTCATCAGGTTTGAAGTCATCCAGCGGGCCGTGCTTAGCTCCTCCCCCTACAGTTGTGTAAATACAAAATACAGGAACCAAAGAAAACCTGACCTAACATAAAGTGACAGTCAACTAATGTATTTCTGGGAATAAAAGCAACACTTAAAGCTCCTTTTTTGTTCCTTTGCCAAGGCGAGCTGCAACGCCTCATCAGCTCCATTGATAGCGCCTCCCCTCAGGTACTACACTGTGTGAGAACAAGCTGCCAGCCCTGTGAACTGCAAATACAGTCCTGCGTTGTAAATACAGCCGTTGAGAGCACAAATCAATCACTTCTCTGAATTGAGGCGACTGCCTATAGAGCCGTGTGCCAAAGGTGGGCAAAGAGCTGCGTGGCAGTGTGGCGGATATGAAGGATAGAAAGCAGGGAAATCAATCTTCTGACTAAGTCTCCGCTCAGAGTTCACTAAAGCGGATAATGTCACCAAGTGCAGAGCCTACATGGAGCGACTGAGCGAGGACATACAATAGGGCTTCCACCCACAAGCACACACATCCAGGCAGTAAAGAAAGAGAAGGCTCTTTGTCTAAGACAGATATTTCACGCATGGAAATGTCAAACATGAGTGGCACAGGCCGGCTTTGTTTGCCATAATAAGTGATGTGCAAAAAAACTGCAGCGTTTGGATGAATGTAACTCCATATTTTTACAGCAAGGTCGACTCCTTTGTAAGAATGATGCTTTCGTTATATTTAATTTATTACCGACTAAAAGGAAAGTTTCATAATGTTGAATCCAAAGAATGGAAACAAAAGAGGGAAAAAAAGCCAGAAAAGGAGGGAAAATAAAGAGCTGAAGGCAGTTAAATCTTAATCAACATGTCTTGTTAATTAAAAATAATGTGAGACCCAGAGGAAGGTCAGCTCACTTGGGGCTAAATTAGCAGGAATAGAAGTGTTTGAACAATATGAGCTTCATGCTTCAGCTCTGAGAAACTCCAGATCCACTCCACAGAGTTTTTGTGATGTTTAATTGATCACCTCCTGAACAGAAAGGACATCTTTGTCCTGTAAGATGAATATTTGCTCACAAAGGGGCAGACCCCAATGAGTCAAATCAGCACAGCACCTTCTGGCTTTACCCCCCGTTTTCACCTCCTTTCTTCCCTGGAAACAAAAAGACCATATAACATCTTCGAGAGGCTCCATTCTCTCTTTTCCAGTCATACAGCAGATTTATCAAGGTTAACCGTGACCTACTTTAGGGGCGGACATTTCTGCAACGCCTCCCACTGCAAAACGTCTGAAAACACACGACCTAATTCTCAATCCACTAGGGTTTGATTCTGCTGTTCACCTCTTGCTAGCAGCCTGTTGCCTCAGAAAATTCACTCTTACATTTTAAAATCTAACATTTGAGGCGTAAAGCTGATGCTCTCTTCACGTCTATTCAAGGGAAACTCTCAGAAACATTCAGCGGTAGGTTCTAGATGTTCCTGCAGCCACAGAGTGATCAGATAAAGCAATTAGAGGGGAGTTTTAAAGAACAATTAGGCCAAAAAAAAGGAGCTGTGATTCCCCACAGATACTGTGATATAAAGATGGAAAAGATTGTTAGCTTGGCAGAGATGCTGTGAAAGGAGGAAATGACTGATTATCTGCAGCCGGCTCTGAAAACTCAATCTTTTGTGTGACAGCCAAGGAGGTCACGCTAGGTAGAGTCAATTCAGAGCAGCTGAATCTGAGAATCACAGTGAGAGGCCGTGACACCGCGAACACGAGAGGGCGAAGCTTTACTCTTTGATAGCAAGATGCACCGTGATAGACCTGAAGGCTGACAGCCAACTCGCTGCTGGCCTCAATTCACCTGAGGCTTCAAAAGGAAACTGGATCTGCAGAATTGATTTGAGCTTTCAGAGATTAAATGTTCAAGAAATGATGTGTGGAGCAAAGATGATTTCCAGCAATGCCATGGATATTCTGCAAAATCAAAGCCTGTAAATGAGATACAAAGGTTTAGACAGTTTCGTTCTGAAGCTACGTCCAAATACAGAGGAAGTGACAGGAGTCAGATTTGGCTTTACCCGAATCTAGCTCTGATGAGAAAAGAAGTACAACTAGAAGTAAGAAGTAATGACTTCAATTCACTTTGTTACTCAAATGAAACACTCTCTCTCAACCTCCTCCTCCTCCTCCTCCTATCTCAACCACGAGCCAGACTTCCTCAGAGCTACATCTCATCCTGTGTGTTCAAACGTGTCTCTTTATCTGTAAGCGAGAGGCTACGAGGTAGAAGAGGTGGTTCTGGTCTGATGTGCAGCCAGGGCAGTGAGGGGCATGCTGGGTGGGAAATGACCACGGACAACTTGCCAAATGTTGGAGGAAATTTGAACGTAGCTGCTCTGGAAGTTAGCCAGCTGAGGCCCTGGGGTTCGGTTGTCTTTACTCCAAACCTAAAGCAGACACTGAGTCAGAGGTTCATTTAGCAATCCTCTGGATGTTTTGTTCCTGTGAGGTTGAGCAGCATCACTGACGTTCGGGAAGAATAACACCTGGCACAGAGGCTGCATTCAAGACTCACAGTTTCAGTACAAAACATACCTTTACATTGATAAATAGACTCTTGGCTTGTCTCCATCGCCAGCTGTATTAACACCACAATAAAATGATTCAACTGACGGTACATCACGTTCAAGAAAGAAGACAGTCACGTGTCTGGTTCTGCTCACAGGTGATCTCTGCATCATTCAGCTGAAGTTTACCTTCAAGGATACAGACAAAAACTACAAAAGAGGGAAAATGTTATATTTCAGACTCAGAAAGCATCAGCTGAGCATGTTTTTGCCTGACAGCTGCTGAGGAATCCAGGAACTACTATCTAATTTCCTCTCTGGCTGGTCACAGAGGCCGTCCGTGCAGCACTCTGCTCTGTAGCCTCATAATGAAGTGGCATTTTGGCGGGCCAGGCCTGCACTGAAGTAGGTAAACAACTCATTCATCAAGGCTTTTTTTGTGTGGCTGCCAGGAGTGGGGATTGTTCGTTATGATGGAATTTGTTCTAAGGATCAACTTATCATCTGCGTCCGCTCTTAGATGAAATAGACTCGGGGTGATGTATGGCGGTTTGGGGCGCTGGTTTGTGTGGGAATGTGAGCAACTGGAGGTAAAAACAAAAGTGAGCGATGATTTTTTTTTTTAATGAAGAAGTGAGGCAGAGGTCAGGGGTCAAGCTGCTGTCTGCCAGCAATTTGTTGTCACTGCTGGTGCAATTTGACACTCCTGCCCAACATCACTGACTCAAGACACGACTAAATACAACTTTGGCACGTGCAGATAACTGCGTGCATTTGGCAGACGACCTCTGAGGATTGCACTAATGAATTTTAATTAATACTCTTACAGTGGACAGTGCAGTGTGTGTTTGGCAGAGGAACTTGAGCTCTTTTCTCTGTTTTGGATGATGAAGATGTGATTTACGTGCACGCATCTGTATCTGCTCTAGATTCAGTTTTTCACCTTATTTCACTTCACCTGTACTTTTGGATCCTGATAACACATGGATGCACTTTATCTAAAAAAGGTTGGGTTGTCCTCTTTGGCAGTGGGATTTAACAGATGTAATGGTGTGTGTTTATTTTCAAGGCTCTTTCTGAGAAATGACCAGAATACATCACAGATTACTTTCCCAACTTGTTGATCTGGACCTTATCAGACACAGTCCAAAGACTGTTTTACTGCAAGTATTTCAAGTTTTTACTGAGTTTAGGAGATCAGTGTAGCGGTTTGAGTTTATAATAAATGTCCTAAGATTAATAATTGATAATAATAATGAATCATGACTTTATTATAAATTCAAATCTCCACTTGTTATTTTGGTGCCCCGTGTGAAGCATTAATGATTATTTAGATCACGGTTGGGCAACCATGTGCCATGGAGGGCCACCAGGTGATTTCACTGACTACCTCCAAGCAGAGAGCAGGGACTAATCAGTGAAATCCCCTGGTGGAGTTTTGGGTTGGGAAGAAAACCTGCAGCCTCTCGGCCCTCCATGGCACATGATTGCCCACCCCTGATCTAGATGGTCAGTGATGGAGTCAGTTTAAAGAGTAATAAAAACTCTGTCTCTGTTCTCTGAAGTGACCAACTGTGAAGAGCCAGAGGTTTAGGTCAACCACCAGTCAGATCAGTTGGGTAACCTGAAAATCCAAGCTAGTCTGGAAAGATTTATATGATCCTGTGTCCTGGGACCAGATAAGGAACCATTCCTGCGAGGAATGTATGAGTTTCTTGATGCTTCATCAGCTTTTAAACAGTTTCAAATCCTTGATTGCGAATCAAATAATTTTTTTAATTTTACCCTCTGTATTTTCTGACTGGTTTTCTTATCACTATGGAATGGTTTTCTTGTTCAGATATAGGCTGTTATTTTCCCACAGATGGGTGTAAACTGCTTAGACATTTGATTTACAACATTAAAATAAACTAATTAGTTTTTCACTTCTCCGACGACATCATGCTTTCCTCCCCTCCACTGAAAGTGCACTGCTGGTTAGACATTCACACCACCACTTGCCTTCCAGGCAGCTCCTGGCCTGCTTGGATAGAGATATTCTTTACACTGTTTATGACTGTTTAACTATCACAGGCATTAGACACCAGAGCATCATGGGAGATGAGCGGCCTATGGCGAGGTCACCACCTGAACGTAACTCGCACACTATGTTAGAGCTAGCGGCTGATTCTCAAGTCCCATGGCACCAAGTTTGATAACACGTTTGTCTCTGTGAGAGAGCTCTATCATCTGATGGTAATAATCATAAAAATATTATAGAGGAGATGTAGGGGAAAGATAAGAGCACAGATGGGGTTTGTTCTTTGGATGACTTGATGTATTTCAGGGGGAAATGTATAATGATATTAGTTTCATATTTGCTCCAGCAGGAGTAGTAATCTTGTTGCAGCGGCCGAATGAATAGAGAGGTAAGAGTGTAGACTGAGCACAGCCAGACGCTGTTTTACAGTAGACGGGGTTTAGCTGGAGCCCTGCTTTAATGCCCAATCAGATGGTGTCGTGACATGGCAGGGGTGGTCGGGTTGGCTTGGGTGAGCCGGTCACAAAGACTGCACTCTTTCCACAGGGGCAGGAGGTGGGGGCATGGTGGCGAGGTGGTGGAAAGGGAGGAGGAGGGGGGCATTAAAAACCACAGCACTCAGCAACTGAATCCAATCCCTTTAATCCCTGCTGGTATGCCCGAGCGACAAACGCCCATTGGTCTCCGCCTCAATTAGCGCTGATGGAGCCGGCTGCTGGACAGGTCAGGAGGAGGAGGAGGAGGAGAGAGGCTGGGTGGACTGGACCATTTTGTACAAGAAGTACATACCAGCCTGTGTGCCCTGTGCGTAATGCATGCCGGAGATTCTTTACAGGACGCACGATTTCAAACTCCTCATTATCTCTGCTATAAGGATCTGCAAAAAAGCCCCCTTCTCCTCCATCCTCTCTGTGCCTGGATTGTCTGGATTTATTTGAAGGGTGTGTTAAGTGCCACTTGGGCTTAAAGCTGTACGGTGTATTGAGTTTGCAGTGATATTGCAATATCGCAAAGCCTGCAGCATGGGCATTTCAATTCATTTTTATAAAACAAGCAATCAATGATGGGGAGAATGGCGGGAGAGAGGGGGAGGAGGGCGGCTGGCAGACAAGCTATTATATATATGAGGAGATTGGTCCTTTGTGAGTAGAGTCCAGTTCAGTGAAAGATATTTCCCATAATCCACTGCTGTAAAGCTATTGAATGTGCCTCAAGCACCCATCACAAGGTAATGCAGACTTGCAATAAAACCTTTGGAGAAACAGCATCACAGCTCATATTGCAGGGACCCTTACAGTCAGTGTAATCAGAATGCACTATGGCGTCCCCCTCCTGCAGAAAAAACAAAACATGAGTGGTGGGGAGCTAAAAGTGTACAAAAATACACTCCGTGGTCAAGGCTAGCCCATGCTAAATGACAGACTGCTGCGACTGCTGATGTGTGTTGCTAATAGACCTCCCCATTCTGAGTCATCTCACGTGGCCCCTCCAAGACATGATGTCTGCCGTTCAATTATGTTCACTGTTTGCACGGCCCAGGTTCACATTTGTACAAGACACACCAATAAACGCTGGAAGTCAATAAATCCCCCTCCTCCTCGTTCTTTCATCCGTGCAGCCATCGGACGACCTCGCTGACTCCTGGCCTCGTCTTTATATTTAGTGTAAACTAATGACGCATACAAGTCACAAGGTCCCTCACAGCCAAAATAAATGTGTATTTTTAATTGGGATTTTATTACATGTGCAGTAAGATAAGAATTGTGGCTCTCCCTGATGCAGAGGGTAACAGTAATATATACAGTATCTGCAGGGCTTTTAGTCTCCTGTATCAATACCAATGATGACTCAGTGATTACCAGGAAATCACTGCCATTACAAAACTCCTTCCCATCAATATTCCCAGGGAGGGAAAACTACCCAACCATAAAGAGTTTCCAGACCAAACAGATCCCCTCTTTTCTCTCACCGGCAAATCAACACAGAGGTTTAAGAAACAAGTGAGCCACAAGTGTCCGAGACAAGTCAGATTAAAGAGCTTCACCCACAGAGCTATGCAATAAAAATTACATTTAGCTAACCACACTGGTATTTCAGCTTATTATGACGTCATTTCTGGGATTATTTTAAATGCATCACACACACCCCCGTCTTTATCTGAGTTACTCACAACTGTGTTTTTGTATTTAAGAGTTTCTGTTTGAGCATGCTCAAAGTTGAAAGACTAAGAGGGGGATGTAGAAGAAGAAGAAGAAGAATCTGTACTAATGGATGTTTTTGACAATGAGAGAGTCATACTTGGATCAAAGAGATCAAAGATATCACTAATTATTCAAATTTCTACACATGTTGCCTTGAAGTTCCCATATAGATGCTTTTACACATTTCTTGGGAAACCTTCATACTTTTAAAAACATTTACTTTAACCGTGCAAAAGTAAATCTCCTTCAAACTCTTGGAGGGTGTTATCTTTTTCACCTTGTTTTGCAGCGCAGGTGTCATAATAATCAACGTCAGGAAGTTATTTACAAGGTGCAAATGTGAGAGATAACAGTGCTAAGTTTCTGAATGCTCTCTCTCTCTCTCTGAGGCTGTCCATTTTTGATCCATTTGAACCATTTTTTAACTCGGGTTGTATGCCAACAGCACTGATAAGCATAATGTTATTTCAGTCTTCAGGAGGATTTGCGTTCTGATTTACAAGCTTATTCCTCATTCAATTCTCTAAATGTGTTATTTGTGTTGCTAACAGGATAATAAATGTCACACCAAAGACCTGTTGATGTTTTCAGCTCACACGGCTGCATCCTAAATGGCATTTGAGGTTTATTAGACAGTAACACAAAGTGACGGCCACAATAATGGCGGGATGATGAACCCACATTATCACCGGCGAACAGTGTTCACCCTGGCCCCGCCGCGTCCCCGAGAACCCATTACCCTTTAGGTGGTTCTGGTGATAAGAGGTTACAGCGACCTTCACGGCAGTGAGGAATCTTGGTGAGATGGACGAAAACGAAGAAGAGGAGGAGGACGAGGAGGAAGCATAAAGCAGGCGAGGACTCTTGAGAGAGCCTGAAACAAGAGCATGATGAATGTACAGCTCGCAGTTTTTAATCAAGGATCAAAGCAGGGCCTCTCCGTCTGAGCAGCCAGCCTGTCTAGACTGAAACTCTCCCAAGCACATAAAGCAACATCTGCAGGATGCATTAATTACAGTAAAGGACCGATCGGGACTATTCTCCAGGGTGCCAACACTTCCAGTGGTCTAGACTATGATAAAATAGTCCTGTGCGGATTCTATATCCACATGTTGACACACTCTGGTGGTACCGCTGAAAAACACGGCCTCCTCGCTTTAGGTGAAACTGTTTTCAACCTTCGACTTACTGTCCTCCCTATCATTAGTTTTAATTTGAGTCAGTAATGCTTACAGGGACAATTCATCGACTTCCCATTACAGAGGTGCGCTCTGACTGCATTTACATTTTAGGCTTTTAGCTGATGCTCTTACACGGCCTGACTTACAATAAGCTGAGCAGGTAAGCTTTTGCTCAAGGACGTGCTGACAGGATGAATGCCTGTACCGGATGTTGAACATGTGACCCTTTTGGAAACAGGTTGAACTCTTGTTGGCCCTGCAGACCTGTACTTCTTCTGTTAATACCACATGACTGAAGGAGAGTCTGTGTATTTCTAAACCTGCGCCCTCTTCCACACATCGACGGGAAAGTTTCATCGTCTTTCAGGGCAGGAGAACTGGATCAAAATAAGAGAGATGATTTTTTTTTTCCATATCTGACTATCTCTATTTGTTTTTTACGAGTGTTTGACAAAATCACATGAAGAAACAGCAGAAGAAAAAGTCAGAACGACTGTTTTCAAAGCAGAATCACACTCTTCAAAGCCACCAAACCCAACTGACAAAATCAGCAATTAACCTCACAAACTACGAGAGCTGCTGGTCTAACCAAACACTGAGGGTTAGTTTGTGTTATTGTGTAATGAACACAAATATGTGTAGCACACTGTAACACTGTGACTCAAATACAAATAAGAAGAGAATCCTGCTTTAACATGGAGGAGTGAGGGTTTCTAAACTCGGATCATAACAGCCAGCATAATAACCATGATTATAATTTCAATCAGTGACCGTGCAGCAGATCAAACTGTCTGCTCATGTCTTCCTCAAGCTTACACCTCTGCTTCCTCACAGGGGGTGAAGCTCAATTAAATATGTATGTTATTTTAGTCTCTTTACTGCAGGCTCTACGCTGCTGCTGTTATAAAAAGGTTCAGAGCCTTGCAGCGTTTGCAAATAATCTTTTACATTTGCTTTCACTGGCTCGGAGTATGTAAGATTTATAGCATCAGATGGTGTCAGCCTTTAGAAAAATACACTTTCAAATGATTTCCTCTAATTACTTGAACCTCTGTGCTGCTTTTTCAACTGGATTGTCCTGTGTGGCAATACTCAGCCCAGTGATACCAGGAGCAGGTTGGAACAAAGCGCTGCTGCTGCTGCTGCTGCAGGTGAAAATCCCCTCCGTGGCAATTATGGAGTTAGGATGACTTATAATTGTAGTGAAAGTTTAGATAGTCATTAATGTGGCGAGTGTGTTTCAAGAGGCCGTGGGCCTTTGAAAACCTCTCATAACATTATTGTGTCATTTCTACAAAGGTTACCTGCTGCGCCTTTCACACATAATAAACACGATTCATTAAGTCAACAGGAGTGGGTTTAGTTTCAGCTCAGTTCACTCAGAGATGGTGAATCTTCTAGAGGTTCTCTTAGTTTTCCTTTTCTAAGGAGGAGCGGTAAACTGGTGAAAGGTTGTGTTATCCTCCATATACTTAAAGACCCATGTCCACTAGAGAAAACAGAGAAATATTAAAAACTGCCAGTTCACAGCCAAAACTGTGTGCATTCATATATTTACAAATTTCTCACTATAGCTTTCTGTAAAAGCACACCAAAACTCTCCATGTCTCTGCGGCCTACGTAGACGACCAAACACCTCGTCACGGTCTTAATTTATCCAGTGTTACTTTTGTGTGGACGACGACTTCCCCAGCCCAACCCTCCAATGCTGTTTCTAGTCACAGTTTTACCTCCGTGAGCATGAACTGGTGCTTTTTTTTGTGTTAATGCTCAGAATGATACATGACCCCAGAAGGAGGCAGTCAGGCTAGTTGGACCCGATGGGAAAAAGAGGCTACATCTGGCCTTAACAAACACACCTGTGCTTTTGGAGCCTGATGCATAATGTAGAAGCACATATTAGAAAAAAAGATGGAGGGGGAGGGATGGGACAGAGCTGGTTCAGGGCCTCTGAAACACCTGAATCACTGCAGCAGAGGAGTGCAGGGTTTAGTCCCAGTCCAAATGGGTTGGATGTAGGGATGAATTACAACCCCTGTGTGCATCAAATGTATTGTTATTTCATTTCAGCCATACTGCCTTAGGCTTCATATTGATTCAGTGTTTACAAGCCAGACGCAGGATCACAGATGAATATCCAGCCTCCTCAGCCCCAACACAAAAAAAATCATTTTAGAAAGTATTCTTGTATTGCTTTCAGAGCTTCATAAAGGCTTCAGAGATTCTCTGTTTCCACTCAATCAATAGACTGGTGATGGGTTTTAACTTTTTACAGAGTAAATAATCAACCCAGTGAGCCCGAGCAAACATTGCTTTTAGTCAGCTATTTGGACTTTTTTGTTGCTGCAGGTACTTGAGTGGTGGATTAAAAATAAATGGACTTCACTTTCTTTTCTATGCAAGGTGTTTGGGGCTTTTAAGACGACAACAACACTTGTCTTCTAATGATTAACGGTGTTCAAAAGACACTTTTGAACCTTGTCTGCAGAAATCTTGAGTTGAGTTTGAACCAAAAGGATTTATTGACTAAAAGAAACACACGGAGAGCGTGAATCAATGGTAAAAACAGGTTTGTTGGGTTGTTAGCCAATAAAAGACGATCTCAGTAAATAAAGGTCTTAATTTTCATCATGCTACTCTGACTATAGAGACCCTGGACTGATGATAAACCAAGTCTGATGTGTTGCAGACCTGAAATCGGATCATCAGACCTGTTTTTGCTGCTGAGGGTTAAAAAAAAAAACGAACCCAGAGCTGCTCCATCCTCCAGCCGTATTGATGTAACCTTACACTGGTGTGCAAGAGGATCAATGTCTGTGTGAAACTGCTGCAGTGTACAAAAAGGAGGCCAAATGTGAAGGCAGTGCATGGGACCAGACCTGCCCAGTTATCAGCCTCTGTGGTGAACACATGCAGAGAACGTAACGGCCATTCTCCCTCCAAATCATCAGCAAAACACAACCTTTACACCGAGGATGACCTCCACAGCCCGCGCTTGATTGATTGAGTTGTACTTCATCACATCAGAAGGAGATGGAGAAGAGGACAGGGTCTTGTTGCTTCAATTGAGACTCATTAACTCGTTGGAGAATATGAGACGGCGACGGGGTCAAAAAGTCACGTTTCTAACCATAGAAGACGCACAGCTGATATTTTCAGCTTTCAGTAAACAGAACCGGCTGTATGTTTATCTTTCCGGATGCTGTTGTGTTGACATGCTTTTACGATTTCTGACACTAAATGGGAAGCGCCAAGGTTTCTCTCTGCCTTGAGCTCATATTTAAATTTAAACTGACAAGATTTTAACATTTAAACGGGCTGGGTGTAAAGAAATTCTTTCATTCTAATTCATCATGATAATTAGGATTTTTCATTTCTTTTATTGTGAATGCTCCTATTGGAATATTGATAAATTCACACTTGGCTGTGCAGCCCTGCCTAAAACCAAAGCTTACACTGCTAACAGAGACTTGGAGCCGTATCTGTTGAACCAACAAACTGGTTTCTTCAGGCTCTTGTCATTATCAGGATCTTCTTTAAACAGACAGCATAATCAGCTTGTAATTTGTGAAAATATTACCATTGTTCAATACAGAAACAAACCATTGTGATCACATAATTGCAGAATTGCTCAGCTCCGTTAAAACCTGCATTTGGTTAGGAAGCGGCACAGTAAATATTTACAGATTAGCAGTTCAGGCTAACACGTGATCAGAGGCAGAGGTCGCCCTGAGTTCAACATCCGGTTGCTGCAGAGGCACATTATCAGATCAGTGGAAGTAAAATGTCATTTTCCAGTTCAGCAGAGGCCTGTTTTTTTCTTCTTTTTTTTTTTCCTTTTTAATTAAAGCGACCCAAAGCAGCGAAAACTCACACAAGAAGCCCGTTCACTACCCTGTCACATCAACACTGGAGCAGACAACCTTGACCCGCCATGTGTTACAGCAGAGTTTAGACATGCCAGCAGGGATCAAAACACGGGGCAGCTGCTGGATGCAACAATAAACCAGGTCAGATTTCACATTCCTGCCTGTCGGACACCTTCTCTTCCTTAATAAAGGTGTATTACAAAAGCATGTTATGTCTGGTTTTCGGGGCTTAACTAGGCTACTCAGAGTACTCATAAATAGACAGTAGTCCTATAAAGAGAATCCCATAAACCACATATAGCATGCTAATCCTTGGCACTATTTTATTAATGACCGTTCTAACACTGAAGAGATTTATTGGCAAAAATAAAATACTGAACAATTGATTTCTAAAAGTGAAAGGCTGAGAGTAAAAGTGATTGTCCAGAAAGAAAGAAAAATAACCGTTGTACAGTACGACTCGTTTGTTTTATCCAAACATTGGTGCAAAATGCAAATGAGTTTAAGTTTAACTGTTACGTAAGGTTACCTCGAGCTGCAAATCTTCACATGTAGAGACAGACAAGTACGAGTTTATAAGCAGCACAGGAGCAGAAAAGTACAGACCACGGTTGTTGGGAATGAATTTTGAGGAAAAAATGTGATGGTTTGGTTTCTTCATTTGAGAATAACTTCTCTTTTTCAGCCGTATGATGAGGTTCACTGAATATCTTTGTGTGCTTTTACACTACTTGAAAAACAAAAGGCTGATTGAAGACTTCCACTTTAGCCTGAAGAATTTGTTTTTTTCTTTTTCCCACGTCTTTGATGACTTTCAGATCTGAACTCGAAACCTTTTTTCTTTTTTTACGAAAGTATTCAACAGATTTATCAACAGTGGTTTAACAGTTATTCGTTGCCCTAGTTTCAGTTGAGCAATGGTTCAACCTTCTTAGTCTTTTTCAGTTTCATATCAGAGTTCACTTAAAAGTAGTTATGGTTTGTTGACAAAGCAGCTCCCTAACTTTAAAGAGTTCATGTGTCATTTCATCGCTTTTTGTCTGTCTGTTTGTATTCTTTATAAAACTCTCAACAGTATCCTGACACTTCTTGGCGTGCTGCAGTGACAAAAAAAAACCTCTCTTGGCAAAGTGCCCTGCAGGTTTTCTTAAACTGAGTAATTTCAACTTGTATTTCAGGACAGATTATTATTCCATCGTGTAGGAACCGCTCATTTCCCCACTTCAGACCGTCATGAGGGAGGGAAAGACTCATCTGCTACGCCTTGCTACACAGACGGCACCTGACTTTGCCTCCAACCAACCTTAAGTATCAACGTATTTGAGAGGCCTTTTAATTTCTGCTCAAACACACCTCAGGACTCGCTGTTAGAGGACAATTCACCTGCAGCTTCTGATTCTGTTTCACACTGTGTCTTAGGGTCTGTGTTAGGAGAGCTTTTCTTCCAGTGCACACATCCAGGCTGCTCACAGTCAAACAGCACAGAAAACCGGTTTGTAAAGTTGCACAAGAAACCGACCAACTGTCAACAACACTTTACATTTTTAAAGAAACCTAATACTCGGATTAATAAACAACAATAGACCAAAAATCCTGCCCTCAGGTGTGATTTTTGCCAGCTCTGGTCAGCCTGTGTCTCCTATCAATGACAATCCAGTCAAACCAGCAGACAACGCAAAGTGAAACTAATGCTGCCTTGTTGTTATCAGATTGGACGTGTTATTTGTGGCTGGCACTGCAAGAAATGGAAGTTTAAAGCACCGGGTTACAATTTGTCACCTTTCTGGCATGTGATGAAGTAAACATCAGAGCAAATTTAGGTATTATGATACTTGTATTAGCTTCCCAGCGGCATTTGGACTTTGTTTACCCATTAGGAGAGAGTCTCCTGCTCGCCCAGTACTATTTCAGTGTCATGTGATGCTAGTCTGTTTCATTTGGGGGGTGGAACAGGTTCACTGAGGGCATAAGGTCCTCTAAAGCCCACAAAGGAGAACACTATAGGGTCAGAATGAACCATTACATGAACTTAACCTACAAGTTCTTTTTCAAATAATACTACATAATACTTCAAAACACCATAAAGCAGGGTCATCTTTAATCAACCATCAGTAATCAACCAAAAGGTTATCATTAATATCAAAGAGTTTCAAAAAAACTGTCTATTTATGTGGATAGACCCAGCAAATGTCTCATAATTTAAGTCTGAAATTGGTTTGCTATTTCTTTTTTGTACGAATCTTTTATGATTGCAGCTTTGCAAAAACTAAATTATTTGTATATTTGCGCCACAGAAAAAAAATAAACTAAACTCCAAAATGATTTCTACTTTGAACAGGGATGTGTTTCCTTCATAAAGAGGAAAAAATAAGGTCCAAACATATCTGCAAACTGAACAAGAAATATTTTTTAAGTCCATGTGACACTAATATGCTCTGTAAGAAAGCCTACACTCCCAAAATGACCTCTTTCCTCCTTATTGTCACCTTGCTGACCCTGCTGGTATCACTGTGCATCAACCTCTGGGATATAATCGACATAATACACCTATGAAAGTATTTTTCTCCCAGTAAAACAGACTATTTCTGCTTTAAAATACAGTCTGTGTGTTGCAGAAGGGAAAGATTTAACCTATCTACATTTTGTTTATCCTTTTGCTTGAATATAAACCCCATCACACGTCTATAAAATTGATCTTAAGTTTTAGAAACATTCACGTGCCTTTTAACGCACTTTTTAAATCTTATCAATAAGTAAAAATATGTTTTTACAATATCTGCTTTCAGCCTACAGTCACAATTAACTGTTAAAATTTATTGCATACTGTTCCAATTTGGTTCCAACAGTCAGGACAAAACAGTAATCCTCATACAATCCCAGAAGTTTCCTATAACCCCTCTATGAAATGAAGCTTCAAAATTCCCAATCTCCACTGGTATGTCCCGGTTAGAACCCCTTTGAGAACCTTTCAGGTCCCCAGGCCCCATCTTGGACTCACTGTATAATGGATGTCAATGCACATCCACACTGCACGCACGGAGAATGCAAAGAAAAGGGCACCAATAATGAAGTGGAACGGCAGAGTGGGATTTTCCCCCCGTCTTCCCACAGGCTTGCATTGCATTTCATTGCATTCTCCTCATGCAACGACCAGCTATGCATTGCACTCTGCAGAAGTAACAAAAAGCATTGAATTGAATTATCCACAGTTGACAATAAACCATGCATAACCCCATCCACACCCACCTGAAGAGCAGGAGATGAGGAAAACGGCGAAGGCCAGTTTGGTGGCGTCTCCCATTTTCCATCCGAATCTGATCCTCTGACTGGAGAGAGAATAAAACAACAAACCAAAAACGAATAAACCTCAAACTAACTGAGTCAAATTAAATGTCTTGTTGCCCTAAAGAGCACTGTCTTTGCAAAAAGGACATTTTAAAATGTCAAAATCGAGCCCGAATCCAGAATATCCCAGGTAATGCCAGCCTTAGTGGTCCAAAAAAGAAGAAGCGAAGAAGAGCGGGGTGATGAAGAAGAGGAGGGTGATGAAGAAGATGGTGGTGGTGGTGGTGGTATTTCCAGCTTTACACACAAGCAAATGACTTTTTGGCATTCAAGCCAGGACTGTCATGCACTTGGCAGATCTGCAGCATTGTTATGAACATACGTGTTCACCTGTGCCTGTTGGCGTTTAACCTGCTGATATCAGACCAGCTAGGAGGAGAGCCGAGCCACAGCCGGGCAGGGCTAACATCCATCGGACTGGAAATCAAGCGCACTTCGCTGTCCTCCAATCAAACTTATCCTGGAAAAAGCTCCGTCGCATAGCTTTGAAACGTCAAGAAAGCGTTGAAATTAGCATTTCTAGTCTCCTACCATGAAAAGAGGTTTTTCATATCGCGTATTGCTGTTGATATATTCCGTGTGGAAGCGTCAATTTCGTCCCGACAGTCCGGCGGGGCTGCCCGGCCACAACCACAGCTCCGTCCGCTCAGACAGGGAAACAAGCGATTAAAGGGCTCCCTCCCGTCCTTTAGCCGTCTCAAAAGTGTACCAAACGGCCTCTCCCCCTCGAAATTACTTCAACTAACAAGTGGAAACAGTATCATATGTTAGCAATAACCTCTAAAGCTGTTGTTAATCCGTGTAGCTAAAGCAGCTATCGTGTTCAGGACGAGTTGATTTTCCCGAGTCCGTCTCCTCCTCTGCTCGGGACAATTTCAAGATGGCGTCACCGTTCAGCGTCAAGTCAGAACAACCGCCAAACCAGTACATTCATTTCCCGCCTAGGACTTTCAAAATAAAAGCTATCGAGCGTTAAGGGTGGCGTGTTGAGCTTCAAAAGCTTCATTTGTACAAAGTACAAGACTTTTATCCGCCCTAGCCTGACATAAAACATGTTATTTAGATTAGATATATCAATAAAAAAATGGGAACTGTGTTTTTACCGCATATTTCTCTAACAGGTGGCATTGATCCAGCGGTAATCTACAACTATGGGAGACGTTTTTGGAGAAAGAGGTTTCTTTTTTATTGGTATATTTCAAAAGAAGTTCGCACCAAATTCCCTAATATAGATCATGTATCCGATTTAATTTACATTGACATTATATTTTATTTTGAAGACTTAAATTTAAGAAAGGAAAAGCCGCAAACAAGTCCTCCCGGGGATAAATCAGATTAAATAAATCATTATCTGAAAAGTTGCACCACAAGGTTTTGTGATGTTTTTCAACATTTTTGAAGTCAAAATGATCTTTTTCCTCTACCGGTCTGCCTCATTCATGCGAGCTTGTCGAAAGTGCTTTACGAGCTGGGGATTGTTTTTAATTCGGGAGGGATGCTCGTTTTGTAGTTCTGGTGTATGCCGTTGCAGGAAAAGTTGGGCGGTTAAAATCCGACTGAAATAATCTGCAGTCATAAAAAAACATATCCGAAATAGTGTTTACCATTTCTTTTAAAGAACATATTAGATTAAATGTTTAAATCTTTGTATTTCCGTGCATACTTGATAATGACATGTTGTAAACATTTGTATTTTACTGTGAAAATTTGCATTGAGTGCAAAAAAAGGCATGTAAAGGATCCTAATCAGCATCCACAGCCAATTATACTTATGTTTCATAAGATTCAAACCACAGAATGTATCCTGGTCTAAATAGTCAGCATACTCATAACGTATAGCATGTCACTGTATGTAGGTCACCACATATTGCACCTACATATAGCCCCATGCTGCAGTATGTGCTACTATACAGCCACATATCAGATTTCAACATGTGTTGGGTGCTCAGTAATAAACGCTGAGAATACCATGAAGTACAGATATAGGCTTGGCCTCGCTCCCAAATTTGCGTGACACTAATCTCTCTAATAGCCTGGAGCAGATCTCCAACCATAAGCGCTGCTAAACGATTAGGAGGTCAAAGGTCTCGGGGGATTTCTCTGACAAGCTGGAAGCTGAGTCACCTGTTCAATATTGGAGCGTTTGGCCTTCATCCTCAGCAAAACACACAACCCTGTCTGAACGCAGTTTAATGTTGGGAGCTTGAGGCCCAGGGTGAGGAGTTCAGTTCCTGTAAAGATGTTAGTCCCCTTTCATTTTGAGCTATCAGCACTTTCTGGAAAGATCTCTGCAGCGTCTTGGAAATGTTTACAAGTTTCCCAAATGACTCATTGGGAAATATCAGAAACATTCACCCAAAAACTTGTGTATCAGGACCTTTGTGGTTTACCAAATCAGAGTGTAATGAGATTAAACTTCATTGTTAAATTCCTTTGTCTTGCGTCACAAACAATTAGCTAATTGAATTACAGGAATTTAAGGTGAACCTCACACGACCTCTTGATTTAATTAAAGGTGCATGATCAACACAACTCACCTGCAATATGACCCCCGAGTATTATGACTTTTGTAATTGGAGATCTGATTTATGAATATTTTGTTTGGCAGCTCAGAAGTTCTCTATTATACCCGGAACTGGAGGCTATAAATAAAAGTTATAAATCAGGATTATGAGTGTAACGCAGCAGCACAAACAGCTGTTAATCATACTTTTGTTTTTCCAAAGACCTTCAGTGTCAGATGTTGAAATATGAGGGGACTTCAACAAATGTCATCAGAATATCAGCGTGTGTGGTAAACTCAAGTTAAGCACGACTCTTATCAGGGTGTTTTGGGCTGGAAAAGATAAGTTCAAACCTTTCAGCAAATATCAATACTACAAGCTTTGGTCCTAAGATGGTAAAATGATGAGTGTAAATAATAAACATGTCAAAAAAGAAACTTCTAATTAACACAAACTGAAACACAACTACAAACATGAAGACAGGCAGATAAATATCTGAGATCATGCAATATACATATCTCTCTATACATGTATATAGATATACATGTATATATATACATATATGTTTGACAGGACAGGGTGAAATGTTGGGAGACACAAAGAGATGGGGGAGGACGTGCAGCACATGGTTGGGGCCGGACTCGAACCCGCGGCCATTGCAGGGACTGTGGTCCTCGTATATGGGGCGTGCTAACCCGCCCAGTCATCTGCTCGTCATACCCTGGTGGTGGTAAAATACCTTAGGTGTCACAGCTTTCCTGGGGTAGCCTGATGGAAACATGGCTGTCAATTCACGCCTACGACCTTTCCGACCACCACCAAACATCACTCACAATCATACACCAGTGGAGGACGAACACTGGGAGCAAGGTGGGTTAAGTGTCTTGTCTAAGGACACAACGAACACGCTTGGGTCTGTCACCAGAGGCCCGGGAGCTTGAGGGTCCTGTTCAGTATCTTAGCTCTTTCTCTTCTGGAGTGAGATGTCTGATGTTGGGATCTGTTGGAGCCACTTCTCCAGTGTTGGGGTCACTGCCCCATTGACCACAGGCACTACTGTTGCCTTCGCCTTCCAGGCTTTTTCTGGCTCCTCTTTCAGCCCTCAGGGTCAATGCTAACACCGGTAAGGCTAGTAGCTCAGTGTTCCAACATCCACAATTGGCAGCTGCAATCACGACTAGCAATTAAGGAGATACAACACATTAATGTTTTGGCAAGGGGGAGCCAGGAGGCAAGGTAAGATGGGGGTGTTGACATTGACTCCTCCCCTTGAGATTGGGTACCAAGCCCTGGAGTTGAGCAAGACTGAGAGATAAGTTCATGAGTGGTTAAGGTGGTGTCCTGGTAAGGGGGAGCCAGGATGCCAGGTCAGATGGGGAAGTTAACATTTACTATGTTGGACAAAGAGCAAACTGAGAGATGAATGCCCCTGCAGTGATCACTGGCCAAGTACCTAAAGGGAGTAAGGCAGGTCCTAAAGAGTCAGCTCAATGGCAGAAACAAAGTTTGGGTACCAAGCCCCAGAGCTGAAACTGAGAGATAAGATCATGGCTAAGATTGTGTCCAGGATGCCAGGTCTAGATGTACCTCCAGAGGTACAATGTGAATGCAGTGATACAATCCAGGAACGCAGCAATGGCCAATTACCTGAAGCGAGTAAGGCAGGTCCTAGAGAGTCAGGAGAAAATTTAGGCCACATATATTAAAACTCAAAGTTGCAGGACAATGGAAACAGGTTATTTCTTCTCATTAGGTCTGGTTGTTTTTAACAACTTAAAACCCCACCTGAAATTGGAGCTTTAAAGCAAAAACACTGACTTTGGTCTTAAAAAGTCCACAAAGCTGCCCGTCATGAATCAGCCTGATTTTACATTTGTTGCAGAATACAGCTCTTTATTTCTGTTGGAGGTCTTAAAACGCCAACCTGGGAAAATACTATGTTGTTTTATTGATCTGTGTCTGATTGGTGATGGCAGGGCTCGTAAAACTCATGACACGGCACAAGATTGTTTTTGTTCGTGACTGACTGTGGCGAACAACAAAACTATATCTCCTTTGCATTATAGCTTAAAAACCATTGAATCTGTAAGGACACACGGTTGTAGTGATTTGAAATGAGCCTCATACGGTCGCACCAAAATATATGTAGTGATTTGAAATGAGCCTCATACGGTCGCACCAAAATATATGTAGCGATTTGAAATGAGCCTCACAAGGCCGCACCAAAATAATACTTGGCGATTGGAATTTATAATAAATGTCTGAAGATTAATAATCTCAAATTATGACATTTATGCACTCGTTGAAAGGGGCACCACCCACCCTTAATGGTGGGAAAATAAAGAAAACAAAAGTTTAATTCAGAAATCAAACATCAAGTCAGTTTTAATTAATCAGTCTTAATTAATCAGTCTTAATTAATCAGTCTCATATCTTAAGTCGAAATTCTAATTTCAGGGACTCCACTTCTGGAAGAACACTAACAGACAGGAACTTAGAAAAATAATGATCTGTTTATTACAGGATAAATGATGGTACAACACACATGCAATAAATGATGATAAGATAATGAAAATAGATAATAATAGGTGAATAAATAAAGATTCTGAGTCAGGCTAGGAGCACTAAAGTTAATGATAGTGAGTGAATATGTGCTAACATATTAACCTACACTAACTTTGGTGTCGAGATAAACTCGGGTGTAGATTTGGAGGAATCTAAGATCACCAGAAATAGGTGGATATCTGAGTTATGAACGCGTGAGACAGCATCAGCCCTGTCTGGAGCTCTGGAGGTTTGCATACTTAAGTGAGACTGGTCCTTGGAGAAGATGGAGCAGGTTCCGAAGGTCCGGGGCTACTGGCGGTTCGAGCGGTTCAGCTCAGAAGACGACTGAAGTCAGCCGAAGGATGAGCCAGGAGTTGCAGCACTCGGGCCCGAAGCAAAGCCAGCGCCTGTGGATCCTGTGGATGCTCGTTTGGGTACTTCTTTGGTCTCACTCAAAAACTCTGGCACAGAGGATGACCTGGGCCTGTTGGATTGCGTTCGGAGGTGACTTTGAAATCACGCAGAAAACTCAGAAAAACGAGGCTCGAAGAGCAGAGAAAACTTTCAAAAATGGCTTTGCGAAATTAAAGAAAATCAATCAAAGGCTTAATCTTGAATTGCTATGCGCACAAAAAGTTGAAGTTTCAAAACTTGAACTAAGACGATGTTAAAGAAAAATCAACGTGAATCAACACGTGGCGTAAAACTTAGAAGACTAAGAAAAAGTTCTAAGAGAAAACAAAGAAACGCACCACAGAAGGGTGTGGACAGAAGAGAAGGGGCATAAGAGCCGGGGACAAGAGAGTCAGCAGAAGAGCAGAAGCATAAGAGAGATAAGAGAGTGAGCAACCCCACTCCACTGGTTTTATCTTCTCACACTGGGAGTGTCTGAGGAGAAAGAGGAGGGGTCATCGGGTCTCTGATTATTTGATCTAACTTATTCTTTTGGCTGGTAAAAGAGTCAGATCTGATACTCACTCACTATGATTAATATCATTGAATGCTTGGTTTCATGATAAATAATTTGATACTAAACACATATGAATGAAGTGTAGGATCACATCAAACATTCTCATTATGTTTTAAGTATCACATTGAACATGCTAAATTACTCTGAAATGAAACAGATAGTAACACATAGAAACTGTGAACAACAAAAGAGTAAACACATGTGAATGAACGTCATCATGATTAATAATGGATTCTAAATATTCACATTCAGATTATTCAGTGACATTATAACCACCTAATGGTTAAGATACTAAATAAATAACTAAAATATAAACCAAACATTTCTAAACTATTTCTGTTACTTAGAGTAAACTTAGGATTCATAGTCAATAAATTTAACTCTTAAAAGTTCATGAAACAGTCTGAAAAGCTGTTGGTCTAAAGAACTAAAGAATAAGGATTTATTCTGTCAGATAAGATAACTTGGCTTCTGAAGCACATAGAAAAACGGGAAACATCTCATTTTAACACAAATTTCATGATTAGACAGATTAGTACATTGCTGAATGCATAAGATGTCATGATCAGTCATTTGTATTCTTTCACCAAAGGAATGCAGTCTTTATCAGTGTATGGTCGAGCAGGGTTTTACGACCGAGGTCTGGAGGTCAGTGTCCCCCCTTATCCTGGGGTCCGTATGTTCACACACTTTAAGACGCTAAATCTCAAATGGGAGATCTGGGTTGAGACGTTAATGTTTATTTAGATGGTCAGTAATGGAGTCAGTTTGAAAGGTAATAAAAACTCTGTCTCTGTTCGCCGAACTGACCAATCCTGAAGAGTCAGAGGTTTAGTCAACCTCCGGTTGGGTCACTTATTTAACCTGAAAGTGCAAACACGTCTGGAAAGATTTATATCCTGTTTCCTGGGACCAGATAAGGAAGCTTTCCTGTGAGGAATGTGTGGGTTTCACACCCAGGGTTGTCTTGATTGCTACAGTCCCCCCTTCGTCACGGTGGTCCTGTCCATGGAGCATCGGGACGACGAGTAGACAACCATGAAGCAGCAGCAGCAGCAGCAGGTGTATGCAAATAGGACTGATGCGTCTTGTCATCACTATGTGAATCACTAGTACTGCTTTGAGATAAAATTAAGCATGCATTAAGCTATCAAATAAAATAGTCTTGTTGTTAGACTTTTCTCAGTTAACTATTGGTAGACTAATGTGAAAGAAAATCTCCTAATTTTTAGTATTAATGAGATTTAGAAAAGCACTCTTTAGTCTGAATGCTAACTGGATCTAAAGCTATAGCTGTTTTTCATGCTTGCTGGAGAAGTCTGAAAGTTCAATTTCAGTTTCAAAAATGGTTAAGACTTAGGTGGAAAAGAAATGTCTGCTATAGACATATTAACCATCTGTGTATGAGCATAGTCAACCTGAATCACAAACATCAAAAGTTTACTGCACAGAGTTTCTCTTAAACTTTGTCTGTTAAACTTGGGGATGATGCTCTTATCGGTTTGACTAATTATCTGCTGTTGAGTCTGAAATTTGTCAATCTGAGTCTTAGTGACAGAAATTTCAGCTTTTAATCTGTTCATGGGATATTTGACAGCTGACAAGCTGACTATATTGACAGAGGAGAGACAAATGCTAACAAAGAAAGCAGCAACTGGTATTGCAGTCATCAATGTATCACCACAGCATTTGGATATCTTATTGGAGTCATTTAGCTTTGGCTAGGTGACTTCTGCTTTCGCAGGACTCACACCTTCATGACTCCACAGTGTTAATCTCAGTGGTTAGCTGAGTAGTCATGTTTATTCACCTTCAAAGTGGATGAAACCGATTGAGGTGGATAATAAGATCGTCGTTTCTGAGAGTGTGATTTACTCTGATTCTGCCAGTCATTCACCCCACTTTGGCGGTGTTGATGGTTTTTCCTTTGTCTGGGATAAAACCCACCGTGACGGGAGTCTGAATAACAACAGTTGGTCTCAAAGTTTACCTGGCATTGGTCTGGGTCAGACCTGGGCCTTGGTGTGTAACTTTGACCTTTGTGAGTTTGTTGAGGTCGAAAAGGTTTTGGAGGCCTGGTTAACCACTCATTTGGAGGCTTATCGGAGCTTGAAAAAAACACAGTCTGAAGCTTCGTTCAGCTCCATGGGCAGTGATTTTGTCTCCATAGCCAAGAGAGTAACGGGCTCTGCTTTCTTAGCCAAAGTTTGTCGTTGTTTGGCAAAACCTTTTACAGCAAGTTCACGAAGCTGTCGGCTAGTCAAAGTGTTTGGACAAGCTAAGACGCCAAGATGATGACTGGTGGTAGGGTGGAGGTTCTGGACGAACAGCGTTTTGAAGTTCAAGTCCTCCTCCATTTCTGGTTCATTTCGGAAACCAAAGTAAGCTTCGCGTAAGCGGTTGTAATAATGTTGGGGAGGTTCTGATCTCCCTTGTTTAATAGACAGAGCAGCAGAAAGGCCTGTCTGGGTCAAATGATCAGAAAACTCTTCAATTAATGCTTGGCAGAGCAAGTCATAATTATTTCTGACATGATAAGGCTGTCGTTCAAGGAAACTGCTAACCTCTCGACTTGACGTTGCCTTAATAAGGTAGATCTTGTCATCAATGGTTGCACCTGGAAATTTCCTCAGGTAAAAGTCAATGTCTTTCAAGTAGGTGCAGGTGTCAGTAGCACCTTGGTGCTCAGGTTCAAAGCGTGCTATGTTGCGAGCAATTTTGTCAAGATCCCTATCTGAGGGAGATGGTAAGAAGCCATCATGAGGAGGAGAGTAGGACTCTTGGTTTAAGGATGACCTCTCAGGGTCAAGCAGGGTCCTGTCATGATGCTGAGAGAGATACTTAAGAGTTGGTTTGGAAGGAAGTGATGGCGCTCTCTCAAGTGGCTGATCACCTATCATTTCTTCAAGAAACGTTTGCTCCATGCGTTCTCTTTGGGCTCGACCTGACTGGAGGGAGCATTGTAACTCTCTTTGGGCATCTTCAAGTTCTTTGTCTGTCTTTTCTTGCCGTTCTTGACAAAGAATTAACTGTCTTTGAGCTATCTGGAGCTGGTGCTGTAAGGTAGAAGTTTGTTTCTCCTTAACTTCAAGAGCTTCAGCACGCACTTTGACCAGTGCTTTCAAAGTTTTTACATCTTCTGTTGCTTGCTCTAGTAGGGATTCTGACTGTATCAGATCCTCTGTGGTCTTAGCAAGCTGCTTATTCGTGTCATCAAGTTCTTTCTCCTTTTTGTAAAGGGTTTCATTAACTCTTTCAATCTTGTCTTTGAGATCAAGATTTTCTTCATGACTTATCAGTGAGGGAAGCTTTGACGCTTCACATCTGGCACTGTGTTTTTCTAAAACACTTAAAGACTCCTTAGTCTCCTCTAGCGTCTTTTTCAGAGCGCTGTTTTCATCTTTTTGCGCCTTTATCTTTGCTAAAGCGCATTCCAGCAAGTAGTCTTTATACTCAAGCTGAGAAGACATCATGACAGACATGCATCTAGTGAGCTCTTTGTCACGAAGTGTCGTGGTTAAGGCTGTTTCCAGTAAGTCAGCCATTTCATCCTCCGGATTGGAGGGTTTGGCCTTTTGAATCTTAGTCATGTACTGAGGTATCAGCTGACTAGTTAAGTTTGCTAACACTGTGTGTATGTCCCTCAGGGGGTCTCCCTGGCTGGACTCTTTTGTGTTAGGCATGTTTGGTTTTGGTAAAGAGGTGCAGGTGGTTGGTTGATGAGTTTGAGTTGGCTTAAAATGAAAAGAAGAAGCAAAATATCAAATTAAGTGGGTTAATCGACTTAATTTATCAGTGCTTGATAAAGAGGAAGAGCCTATCTGAGTAGATCTCTAATGGAGAGAAAAATAACATAAAGTTAAATTCATTTCAATGAAAATTGAAAAAAAGGTGAAATGATGTTAAATTAAATTTAACATCAGATACAGAACCATTGAATAAAGGGTTCAGTTTGTCTCCGTGTTGCAGAGATCAGCAAAGCTTAAATAAACTGCCTGGTGCAGTTGGATGAATTTGAAAAATCAATGAAATTGTCAATTTAAGGAATTAACTCTAAAGTTAATTCACAAATTGCAATAAATCCAAAGGTTCAACTACCAAATCTATCTGGAATGTTAAAAGAAATTTCAAATATTAATTAATTTGTTCATTAATTAATTAATCTTATGAGGAGGGTTAATACATTCATGTATTATAGGGAACAGTAAAACTGCTCAATGGTGTGATAAGTAACAACAAGATCAGGTGATTGATTCAAGGAGTTACTTTATCAATACATTATGGAGGCTCTTATAACAAAGATAAAAATCAAAAATCAATGATCAATGATTTAGAATAAGCACATCAAACTTCATCAACCAAGTCAATCACTTGAATTATGTCTGTAGAGTGTTACACACTGACTACAGAGAGGCAGTACAGCTGGCTGATACTGCAGGCAGATAATAGCAGTGTTAGCTCAATACCAAAAGCAACCATGTGGGGCAGTATGGAGTTGGGGTAACTGCACAAGCTCAACACAAGTGGAGAAGAAGAAGAGAAGAGGAAACAGTCATCCAACTAGCCTCTTGTGGCTGTGAGGAGTTGGGAAGTGTGCAGGAAGGGGCCTTTAGGCTCTGCCTCCTTGAAGGGCCTTATCTGCTTAAGGCCAAATGGTCAGTCTCTCCACTGACAACAAAGGGTTAACATTTCACAGCAGGCTGCGTCTGCACCCTCAAACATAGAACTTTACACCATCTGCTCAGGCAGATTGGTTCAATAAAATCATTTACAGGAACAAGAATCAAAGTGACAAATCCCTCAACAGCAGATTCAACTGCAGACTTTAAAATCACAAATGCGGCGATTTGTGAACACAAATTTTGTCTGAATTCACTCAAACAACAACCTCCCACTGTTACAGTGGTTTCCTGTGACAGGTAGCTAATCTGTCAGGGGAAAGGAGGAAATCTGAATCCCATATAGTTACTAGAACCTCGTAGCAGACTACAGAGACTTCAGGGGCTTGAAACCGCAGCTCGGAGCATCGCGAACACTGGGTTCAGCCAAAGGCCTTAAATACAAGCGTACGGCGACGCAACAATCGTGCACTTAAATATTGGACAGTCTAGACAGAGCAGAAGAGTCAGTCTCACTGCTACTCAGAACAACATTTCACGCTGTCCAGCTCAAACACAGACTACAGGCATGTAGTACAAAAGTGTGTGAAACACAGAGCATAAAGGTTTTATGCATAGATCAGGAAAACATCAGAACTTAGTCAAGCAACTTCAGCAAGCATAGCATTGATTGTGATTAAGTCTAAAACAGCCTGAAAATAAGTTTCTCTCATCAATTTGGAAGGCTAAGTTTTAGGTTGTCTGTTAGTATCCAGAAGTTTTGTTTGAAACGCCTCACGCAGGGGCTCCAAAATATATGTAGTGATTTGAAATGAGCCTCATACGGTCGCACCAAAATATATGTAGTGATTTGAAATGAGCCTCATACGGTCGCACCAAAATATATGTAGCGATTTGAAATGAGCCTCACAAGGCCGCACCAAAATAATACTTGGCGATTGGAATTTATAATAAATGTCTGAAGATTAATAATCTCAAATTATGACATTTATGCACTCGTTGAAAGGGGCACCACCCACCCTTAATGGTGGGAAAATAAAGAAAACAAAAGTTTAATTCAGAAATCAAACATCAAGTCAGTTTTAATTAATCAGTCTTAATTAATCAGTCTCATATCTTAAGTCGAAATTCTAATTTCAGGGACTCCACTTCTGGAAGAACACTAACAGACAGGAACTTAGAAAAATAATGATCTGTTTATTACAGGATAAATGATGGTACAACACACATGCAATAAATGATGATAAGATAATGAAAATAGATAATAATAGGTGAATAAATAAAGATTCTGAGTCAGGCTAGGAGCACTAAAGTTAATGATAGTGAGTGAATATGTGCTAACATATTAACCTACACTAACTTTGGTGTCGAGATAAACTCGGGTGTAGATTTGGAGGAATCTAAGATCACCAGAAATAGGTGGATATCTGAGTTATGAACGCGTGAGACAGCATCAGCCCTGTCTGGAGCTCTGGAGGTTTGCATACTTAAGTGAGACTGGTCCTTGGAGAAGATGGAGCAGGTTCCGAAGGTCCGGGGCTACTGGCGGTTCGAGCGGTTCAGCTCAGAAGACGACTGAAGTCAGCCGAAGGATGAGCCAGGAGTTGCAGCACTCGGGCCCGAAGCAAAGCCAGCGCCTGTGGATCCTGTGGATGCTCGTTTGGGTACTTCTTTGGTCTCACTTAAAAACTCTGGCACAGAGGATGACCTGGGCCTGTTGGATTGCGTTCGGAGGTGACTTTGAAATCACGCAGAAAACTCAGAAAAACGAGGCTCGAAGAGCAGAGAAAACTTTCAAAAATGGCTTTGCGAAATTAAAGAAAATCAATCAAAGGCTTAATCTTGAATTGCTATGCGCACAAAAAGTTGAAGTTTCAAAACTTGAACTAAGACGATGTTAAAGAAAAATCAACGTGAATCAACACGTGGCGTAAAACTTAGAAGACTAAGAAAAAGTTCTAAGAGAAAACAAAGAAACGCACCACAGAAGGGTGTGGACAGAAGAGAAGGGGCATAAGAGCCGGGGACAAGAGAGTCAGCAGAAGAGCAGAAGCATAAGAGAGATAAGAGAGTGAGCAACCCCACTCCACTGGTTTTATCTTCTCACACTGGGAGTGTCTGAGGAGAAAGAGGAGGGGTCATCGGGTCTCTGATTATTTGATCTAACTTATTCTTTTGGCTGGTAAAAGAGTCAGATCTGATACTCACTCACTATGATTAATATCATTGAATGCTTGGTTTCATGATAAATAATTTGATACTAAACACATATGAATGAAGTGTAGGATCACATCAAACATTCTCATTATGTTTTAAGTATCACATTGAACATGCTAAATTACTCTGAAATGAAACAGATAGTAACACATAGAAACTGTGAACAACAAAAGAGTAAACACATGTGAATGAACGTCATCATGATTAATAATGGATTCTAAATATTCACATTCAGATTATTCAGTGACATTATAACCACCTAATGGTTAAGATACTAAATAAATAACTAAAATATAAACCAAACATTTCTAAACTATTTCTGTTACTTAGAGTAAACTTAGGATTCATAGTCAATAAATTTAACTCTTAAAAGTTCATGAAACAGTCGGAAAAGCTGTTGGTCTAAAGAACTAAAGAATAAGGATTTATTCTGTCAGATAAGATAACTTGGCTTCTGAAGCACATAGAAAAACGGGAAACATCTCATTTTAACACAAATTTCATGATTAGACAGATTAGTACATTGCTGAATGCATAAGATGTCATGATCAGTCATTTGTATTCTTTCACCAAAGGAATGCAGTCTTTATCAGTGTATGGTCGAGCAGGGTTTTACGACCGAGGTCTGGAGGTCAGTGTCCCCCCTTATCCTGGGGTCCGTATGTTCACACACTTTAAGACGCTAAATCTCAAATGGGAGATCTGGGTTGAGACGTTAATGTTTATTTAGATGGTCAGTAATGGAGTCAGTTTGAAAGGTAATAAAAACTCTGTCTCTGTTCGCCGAACTGACCAATCCTGAAGAGTCAGAGGTTTAGTCAACCTCCGGTTGGGTCACTTATTTAACCTGAAAGTGCAAACACGTCTGGAAAGATTTATATCCTGTTTCCTGGGACCAGATAAGGAAGCTTTCCTGTGAGGAATGTGTGGGTTTCACACCCAGGGTTGTCTTGATTGCTACACGGTTAAGAGAGTAAATCAGAGAACAAAAAGCTTCTGTTGGTCAAGCTGGGTTTAGGTACAAGTAGGTGTGATAATGATGTACAGTATGCAAGCATGTACGTGTGGGGAAGAGAGATTAAAGAGAACAAAAAGGCCGACGTCGAAACATAAAAGGAAGATTAATAGTGTTGAGAAAAGACCAGATCTGCTCTAAGAAGTCTTTTATGTGAAACAAAGTCCTCACACACTCCACTCCTCACTCTGCAGACGTTAAAGAGGCCAGTATACTCTGTCAGATGTGGAGAATAAGCTTTAGCAAACCCCTCCCCCCTCAGCTTTCAACATCAGATTAGTGGGAATCTGTGTCCAGCCATTTCTGTAAAGCCGGGGTTTCCACCACCACACTCGGTTAGTTCCCCAGGAACCCGAACACAGTAGGACAAGGACAGTACCTGAAGATTCTGGACATGACTTCACTCACTGGTTCATCAAGTATCATTTTAAAGCTCCAGGTTTGGATGTTTGGTTCTTGCATTCATGAGTTTCTGGAGTCAGAAGTGACAAATTTCTGCGAGGAAAGACTGGTGCACGTCCAACAAGATTTACCAGTATAACCAGAAGAGTCCAAGAACCGACAAATCTGTTGACCGGTGACATTGAGTTGGTGCCTCTGGATTGACCTTTAACCTCAGTTCCTCTATGACTCCAGTTTTTGATTCTTAGCATGACTTTTATGTTATTTTTTCAATCATCTTCAAAGTGCAACACTTTGATTTTCCTCCAGGAGACATGAACTGAAATAATTCCCAGTGTCTTTTGCACTGACACGTCTTCCTCGGCAAAGCAGGCTGTGTTAAAAGATATCACATGACAAACACACCAGTTAGCATGTAGCCCTGACACACACACACACACACACACACACACACACACACAGAGGCCTTCTTCCACTCATATGGAGAGGCCAGGTTAGGCTGTGTGTCTCTCTGTCTTCCTTTGAGTGAGGAAGATCTTCAGTTCTGGTACTGGAGATTTACCGGCCAGCTAATCCTATTACTCAACTATCAGATGCCAAATCCCCTCTAATGGCATTACACGTGCCAGAATTACGTATGATGATGCTCACTAATGAGAGCTCAGCAGATATACCTTTACTGGAACCAGTGGCCCTTTGCTTCAGAGCAGCCCCGTGGCTCTGCGGCTTAATGGACTCAGTATTGAGTGTCGAGGGAAGTCAAATTTATCGACAAAGTGCTTTTAACAAAAAGCAGGTTGCTGCAAAGTGCAGAGGAGCAGAGTAACAAAGGATAAATACGTCTAAAACTGCACGCACACGCTTTAAAATGGTAATGTTGAGGTTGGAGATGAGGGTGTGTGTCTGTGATGAAGAGAGCAGCAGGGAAACACCGAGGAGGGGAGTGGAGACTGCAGATGCAGACGTGAATGATGAATGGACGGATGGAGTTTCCCAAACCGTAAAACAGGCTGTCGCTGCAGCTTCCTCTGCCCATGTGAAATCTGAAGAGCTTCTTTTCTGAAGGTGGAAGTCCAATACGCCAATAAACGTCTTTGGAAAGCCTTCGATCAATGAGACCTGAGGTTCAGCATCCCCTCTTAGTGTGTGCAGCTGTGTTTGCAGCTGAGGCGTTTAAATCCAGTCAAATATTTTCCTATCAGATTGTTCTAGACTGGATTGTGCCGTATCTCCTATCCCCAATCATAATTTTTATTGTACCCAAAGTGGAAAATGTGTCAAAAGATTGAAAAAGTAACATTTAATGTATGTGTGCGGACACCGAGCCATTAAAACCCTTTTCAAAGGTGACTCAACAGCAGGTAACCATCATAACGGGGTCAGCTTGTAACCCCGCTGCAAAGACGTCCAAACCTTCCTCGTTAAGAGCTCATTCCAACACTCAGAGTAACGCTCAGCTGTTCGAACCGCCTCCTCCTCTCTGGTTAAAGTCCGCCCAGCTGATTTTAAAGACTTGGCTGCAGGGATTTGATCCCATTCAGCCAGCAGAGCATTAATGAGGTTCAGCGCTGATGTTGGAAGATAAGGTCCAGCTCACAGTCGGCGTTCCAGTTCATCCTGAAGGTGTTTGAGGTCAGGGCTCCATGGGGGCCAGTCAAGTTAAACCACATTAAACCTGGCTTTTTTTATAGACCTGGCTTTGTTCACAGAGGCATGTTGAAACGGGAAAACCTTTTCCAAGCTGTGACACAAAGTTGGAAGAATATGTTGCTGAAAATATCCCCAGATTCCCCCTTATTGGCAGAGAGGAGCAGGAAAACAGAGCAGAGAAAGTGTGATACAAAACGGATTTCAGCCAGTGAGTTTAAGAGGCTGTTTTGCAAACAGCAGAGGAAATATGCAGGCAAGTACGTGAGCAAAAATAGACTGTAAGTCACATTAAAGAGACAGTGAAATACATTTCTACAGCATGCACTAAACCAGGCAGTGGTCCAACACTGAACCTTATGGGCCAAAAATCCCTTTTCAAGTCTCCAGAATCCCTTTAAAAGAGAGAAATTTGTTTCCTTTCTGCATCGCACACGGTACATATGTGATTAAAAACCATCAGCAGGTATTTCAGCGGCTGGGTTATGGCTCCCTGGCTAAAATCAAAGCCTCTCCTTCTGCTCTTAAAGCGCCCGGGAAAATGATTTATACGCCTGCTTTGGGCTTGTCGCGATGCCACTCAGAGCGATTTATCTTGTCTTGGCCCTGGCCGCTGTAGCCAGAGCCAGCCAACCCTCCCCCTCCCTCCTTTCTGTTGTTTCAGCATGAATGATCTTTTCCATTGACAGCTTTGTTCATCCCTGCAGGCAGATCTGCACCTGTAACCAAAGCCCGGTGGATACCGGCCTAATTACCGTTCTCATCTGGCACCCAGCTGCCTTCCTTGTCCTCGCACGAACCCTGCACAGAAGAGGAGCATTAGCGAGTTAAAAATGAGCCTTCATCGCTTGTAGCCGTGCTTTATATCTCCGCTGAAGCACAGCTTAAGCCGAGCAGGAGTTTTTAAGGTTTCAAGGTCAGCTGAAGTAAGGCAGAACAAACCCCGGGTTGCGTTGCCCATCGTGGTTGGCAGATCACGCTCATGTCATGGAGGCAGGTATCACTGTCTTCCTAATCCCCAGCGTGCCAGAGGAGATCTGCAGCAGCTACTGTTTTTACACCCAGACATGCAAGAGCTGTCAGCAGCAGAGCCACGAAACACAGGGCTTTAGAGGTCAGCAGGAGGGAGCTTTAAGCTCCTTGTGCACGAAATGTTAAAAACCCCAGAGATGTGGCTGGAAATAGTAGAAATGCACTCAGATATCAGAGATGAGAGTGTCACCGAGCATTCACAAAAATCTCAACTGTAAGGAATAAAAAAATGGATCCTGCTGTTTGAACATTTGAGTAAATCATTGACTGACATCAGCTCTGCCAAACTTCACTCTTGAAGATTTTCAGTGTCAGGATCTGTTGTGCTCTGGTTTTTCTGTCCCCGGAGTTTTGTCCAATCTCGTTACGCAGCTTTGATGGTTGATGGGTTGCATGCAAGAGCAAAAGACACAGACCATATAGGCCGTGGTGCAAACTCTGAAAACTCCATCTGCTATCTGCAGGGGACAATCCACTTAAAACCCTCCAAACACGCATTTGCATGCACGTCCAGATAACGCTTCAGCTGCTGATTCAATCTCCAACATGCAACTCACTTGTCTGTAGATTTCAAGGATGCAAATCAGAGGGATTCTCTGTCATCAATCTTTGGAGGATTTTTTCTTACACCCCTTCGCTTTATGATGCAGCTGGTGATCTGCAACTTGTGCAAGATCATCGAAAATCTGCACAAACCTCCTCTGGGCGAACACAAAGGAAAGTGGCGAACACTCAGGGCGTGCAGAAATCTCTCACCAGCTGTGCTAATGCTACTGCTAATGCTTTAAGTAGGAAACTGACAAACAACCAGCTGTTGTTTCATGACGTTTACAGTCAGGCTTCTCTTTTTTAAATGCTGTTACAGGTTATAAAGAGGTGAACATTCATCAGACATTAAACTGCATACTCAGAGATTATTGTGGATTAGTTCTCCAGGTGTTTCCTCTGAGAGAATCAGTGCACAGTCGTTGAAAAGCAGAGTGTTTTACTGGTCGAATACCAGTATGTCTGTGTTTGTGAGGCGTGTAGGCGTCGAAAAATGAGCATACAACCTTCTCTGCCTCAACAAAGGTCACATAAACAATATACCCTGTGTGCTGGAGTGAATATTTCTCTCCATGATGGATG